TGGCAGCAAAGGATCAGGACTTACTTGACACCTTCAAGGGCAGCCTCAAGGATTTGCAGGACAATGACAAGGATTTGGACCACTGTTTGCTGTGGAAGGTCTGCTGGTTTGGTGTGGGGGTCACTGTGAGAGGTATATACTTTGAGAACACTTGGAGATTTGCACTTTCAGGGTTGCACTTTGTAGGGGGCACTTTGAAGGTCACACTTTGAGAGTCTCAGTTTGAGGGGTGCAGATTGAGGGCGCACAAATTTTTGAGCACTTTGAGGGAAAACTTTGAGGTATCATTTTGAGAAACATTGTTGGAAACATTGTTCTTTCATAGCCAGCCACTTTTCCCAGTTTGCAAGAAAGCATCCTTTGAAAGACATCTTGCTGTCTAGACCACATTTTGAATACAACTAGCATATGCACCCTTACATGGTCCAACCCAAACCTTATGTATTTCATCCAGCTTCAGACTGTGCTAGGAATTACCTGGAGGCAAGAAATGGGATGTCGCGAGTGGAAAGGATTGGATGACAAACCTGGCCAAGCAAACCCAAAAGGCCAATGAGAAGATTGAAGGAGTGAAAACAACTCTCAAGGTGAGGGGGTTGCTGTAGGGTAAGACCAGAAATTTGTGAGAACTTGAAATGCAGGTAAAGCAACCTATATTTTATATAAACTGAAGTTGTCATAGTTCAACTGTCTTTTTTGGATGGGTTGCAATTTTGACAATGTGTGCAACCCTGGGCATATCACAGATTCTGGCAGCTTTATCAAGAGCATTTTGCTCTGCTAGCAATGGTGTCGCAGCAAGAGATTGCAAGACTGGAAAACATTTTTTGGCATGGGTTGGGGCACTTGGTGGCTCTTGTGCATGTGCCTGAAAAACATTAGTCCAAACAATTTTGTTGTTATGATGCATTTGGCTGAGGTTGATGTTTGGAAGTTTGTGGCATTGTCTTTTTTTTTGGTGTGCACTGCAAGGTAGAGGCTGGAAAACACCTTCCAAATTGTGAGGTGGCATATTGAACATTCATTTTGATAGCAAGATACACTTTGAGAGAAAAATAGGAAGCACACAGTGTAGGGTGCATGTTGGTTCAAAACATGGGGTGAAAGTTAAGGTAGAAGTTATTTTGGGAATTGTGGAAGCTTGGGGGTGCCACTTCAAGTCATTAATGTCACTTTGAGAGACCCACTTATGAGAGCCACTTTGAGAGACACACTTATTGGAACCACTTTGAGAGATACACTTGTGAGAACCACTTGGAGAGACACACTTCTGAGAACCACTGAGAGAGACACACCTATGAGAACCACTTTGAGGGACACACTTGTGATAGCCACTTTGAGAGCTACCTTGAAATTCAGAAGCCACATGTTCAACCACCCAGGTGCTCAAAATCAAAAAAACAATTTGCACAAATTTCACACAATGCAAGGTATAGTAATCAGTTTGTTTAAAACAAATAGCTTCGAAACATGAAATATATGTTCAAAACAAGCTGGCCTTGAATTAGCTCAGAAATAGGGGAAAGTGTTTTTCTTTAACATTATTTTTAAAGCTATTTTTTAACTATTTTTTAAACTATTTTTAGAACTACTTTTTTAACTATTTTTTTAACTAAGACAAAAACAACTTAACTAATTAGTTAACTTTTTTTTTGCCTAAAAACATCGACTTAACTATTTTTTCAGAATTAACTATTTCCTTCTTAATTGTCTAACCTCTTCTATAGGGTTGAACAAAGATGGAAAACACCAAGTCGAACACTTTGATGACTTTTCTAGTCGAAAAGTTTGCAAGGTCAAGAACTTGCTGACGGTTTTGAATTGCCAAGTCATAAAAGCAAAGTCGAAATGGTCAAAACTTTCCTTTTTCTGCGAAAAGTTGAAAAACACGAAAAGTCGAAAAATCAAAAAAAAAAACATCAAAGTTCCCAGGCCAGGAGATTTATGTTCGAAAAGTCGAAAAAAACGAAAATTCAAAAAGTCGAGAAGTCGAAAAGCCGAACACTTTTTTTTTCGCGAAAAGTTTCACCTGAAAGGTCGAAAAGTCAGAAAGTCAAGACCTTTTTGACTTTTTGGCTTTTTGCGAAAAAAATCACCCGAAAAGTCGAAAAAAAACGAAAGTCGAAAACTTTTTGACTTCTTGACTTTTTGCGAACAGTCTTGCAATTTTCGCGCTGTGCGATTACCGGCGAGAGGAGCGCTTAGCAATTTCTTACAATACTTGACTTGCTAGCTGCTATTGATGGGAAGGCGCTTGAGGCTCGAGATCGTTCCGAAACAACGGAGATGGTACACCGCAACCTTGCGCATGCAAAATCTAGAACTTGGATCTATCGTGTCGCAAACCCAATAACACCCTCTAGTAAACAAACATAGCTATTGAAAATGGCCATGTATAGTTGATTTACCTATTAGAAATGGTGATTTTCCATTATGTCAACGTTTACCAGGGGCTAAATGATCCCCAAGATCGCTATAAATGGGTGGTAACTATCATCCCCAAGATTGCTATGTTTATGGCAGGTTTCTTGCAGTGAGGATAAGCCAAGTGCTCAGATCGTGCCCAAATTTGGCTTATAAACACTATGGTGCCATAGTTCGTGAACGCTAAGTTGGTTGAGAAAACTCAAACAACTGTTGGGTTTGTGATTATGTAATATTTATATATACATAATATATATATATATACACTATATATATATGTGTATGTATGTATTTACCATGCATTTAACATATATATATATATATAAATATACTATGCATTTAAAATAATATATATATATTATCAATATTATTGCTATTACTATAATAATTATAATAAACATATGTATATATATACGAATATAATATTATATATTATCTAATGGGGTAAATCTAAACCAACAACATAACTGGCTGGTGATTTGAGGCCCGATGGCTTGGACCTTGGACTGGCCCTTGGACATGTTACCATGGTGGCTACCAGCTCATCTATCTGTAAACTCAGTAAGCTAACACTTTGCAGACCATCTGGTTGGTGGTTCCAACATGTTCCAACCCCTCTGAAAAATGCGAAAGTCACTTGGGATGATTATTCCCAATATATGGGAAAACAAAAATGTTCCAAACCACCAATCAGCCATTTATACATGAGCTATGAACTTTTGAAAATGGATATTTATAGATGAGCTATGGACATTTGAACAGTTTTATAAGCGTCTGTTCAAGCTCAGTAAACTAACACTTTGCCATGGATATTTGAAAATTACTCATTTATAGATGATTTACCTATACTCGGGGGGTATTTGCCTATGATAAAGGTGATTTTCCATGGCTATGTCAAATTACCAAAGGATACCCAGCAGCCCAGCAACAGTTCTCAGGTCCTCTTTCCCCCCAACTCCTGTGTCAACTGCCTTGTCGCTCATTGCAAAACCCTATGTTAATATACATACAACTTACACAACTATCAAATATATTCTTAACCATGGTAGATATGACAAAAAAACGACCTAATCATTCAACATTCTTAATTAACTAATATGAACTATAAACAATCTGTAAAATAGTCCATCAAAAAATACTTTACTGCGTGTGATCCCCACCATGACATTTATACATGTTGTTACTGGCAAATCTTTTCTTGGCATTCTATCTGACATTTTATCTGGCATTCTATATGGCATACCTTCTGGCATTCTATCTGGCATGTCTTCTGGCATTCTATCTGGCATATCTTCTGGCATTCTATCTGGCATTTTATCTGGCATTCTATCTGGCATACCTTCTGGCACTCTATCTGGCATATCTTCTGGCATTCTATCTGGAGGTCCAGCGGTGCACACTGAGCTGGGCAGGTCCCAGGTTGAGGTCCAGCGGTGCACACTGAGCTGGGAAGGTCCCAGGTTGAGGTCCAGCGGTGCACACTGAGCTGGGAAGTTGGCAAAGAGCTTGGCCAAGAGTTGGCAAGGCGGAAGTTGAGGTGGAAGTTGATGCAGACATGGTCGAGGAGAAACAGGCGGAGGAGAAGGAGGAGGAGGACGAGGAGGAGGAAGAGGAGGAGGAGGAGGATAGCTACAGCTAGCCGAGGAGGAAGAGGAGAAGAACAACTCTGATAAAATCTAACAACCCTCACCTGGCAGGTGGGGAACCAAAAACAAAAACTATCAAACAATATCAAACATCCATAAGCATTGGACAACATTAGTACATCCAACCCAGCCCCAGCCCCCCCAACCATCCAGGCTGCCACAGACCAGATGTTCCTCCGAGGGCATCGCCGCTTCGCCCAGCACCTGGCGGCAGAGCTCCGTGAACTTCGCGACGGAGCCCAAGGGTTTGCCGCCCAGGCCGTAGCTGTGCATCGCCACCAGCAGGCCGTACCTGGGGAAAAAAAAACACCGTTTTTTTTCGGAGAAAAAGGGAAGAGATGGGAAAATGGGTTGAAGATGGGAAAGATATGGGAGTTAAAAATCAGTCAAGGCTTTGACATGGTGATGTAAGGTAATTCATGGCATGATTTAGGCATCAAACATTGATCAAACCGGGTGATCCATCGGTGATGCATCAAACATTGATCAAGGCATTTGGGTTTGATAGGACCAAGGGTGATCCATCGGTGATGCAGGTGAGACATGATCGGCGCCTGATGTTGCGCAATTTTGCGCAAGGCTTCCCAGATTCATATTCCAGAGTTTGAATTTGAAAACAGCAAGGGGCAAGAGCTGTGGTCACCCAAAAAAGAGAGACACGACATTTTATCAAAGTACCTCTGGGGCTTACGCAAGTCCAGCTCCGTCTTGCTATCAGCATATCTGGTTTGAAACATCGAACATCAGAGTGGATTGACCCAGTTCTGAAACACCCAAAACACATCAACAAAAATCACATGTCCAACCAGCCATCATTCACCACCACATGCCCACATGCCATGCACTCTCCGTCCCGTCCCCCTCTCCGTGCAGGTGGCATAAAGGATCCCACATCGACAAAAGTTCCAGCCACCGAGGATTTTGGTAGGTTCAAAAGCAACAGGACCTCGAAAAACTCCGAAGATATGAAGATCATTGGAACACCATGCGAATAGAATGGACATAACATATCAAAATATCATGGGAATATAAGGGAATACCATGGAATACATACGGTTATATCATCAGAATCCAATGCCATTGTAATGCGCCTTCAGTGTTTTTGCCGTGCTTTTTCGATGTTTTTGTGTCAAATGACCAGCAAAATCCATAGGACTGGAAGGTGACCTTAGCACCTTCATCATGATTTCATAGGTGTAGTAATGGGTATAATATGGTACGGTAAAATAGAATAACATCAATAATATGGTATAGATAATTTGGTATATTGTATAAGATTTATGAATGATTCATTATAAGTACCGGTATAAATGGTTGGTGGTATACCTCCCCCTCTGAAAAAAAAAATATGAAAGTCAGTTGGGATGAAACATCACCAGTTTTAATGGGTAAATCAACTATCAATGGCCATTTTCAATAGCTATGTTTGTTCACCAGAGGGTAATGGGCATAAGAATGACAATTAGATAATAGGTATAATATGGTATGGTAATGGCTATAAGAATAACAATTATCAGTAAACAAATGGCTGTAATATGCTGTAATGTGGCTAAAACAATGTCATAAACCACCCATATATTGGAATGGTAAACATACCACCTATAAACATGTAGATGACTGGGGGATGGTAAACAGGAAATTGTTTTACCCACATGAATATCCATTATCCCATTAATATCTATTAATATCCAGTGATTAATGGGTTTTTTCCGGGATTGACTAAGCACTGGTTCATGGCATTGTTTTACCCACATTATATCATTTATCAGTATTTATATCCCATATATATATATATAATATCCCACTATATCTCCATCCTATAGGTGCCCAATGAAAAATCATCATCAAAAATTATCTCCATGGCTCCCACAAATCAAGGAGCTGGTGCGCCCCAAAACCTTGGCCGCGCCGAACTTCACGAAAATCCCACACAGAATTTCCATAGATGTCCATAGAAATTTGTTGATATCCCAGAATATCCAAATTTGTTGAAATTCTGAGATATTCTGGATTTTTCCATAGGTGTCTATATCCACAGAATTCTACCCATACACTCAGAATATCGAATTGGGCTTTCTCAAATTGATGGCCAAACATCTTGAAACTTCATGAAACTTATGCAGTTTCCAAAACCAGGAGCCCGGAAATTCAAGTTAGGACATAAATTGGAGGAAACAACATCCCCTGTTTCAAGACATCCCATATTGCGATCTCTCATGAAAAATAGCCGTAAAGCCGTCGTAAATTGTAGATATAACATATTTTACTCTCTGGTAAACATACAAAAAGCTATTGAAAATGGCCATTTATAGTGAGTTTTCCCATTAAAAATGGTGATTTTCCATAGTTATGTAAACGTTTACCAAAGGGTAATAGCCCATGAAATCTCTTGACTTATCATCCCGGTATCCCCATGAAAATACCCCCACAAATGGCCATAAAAATCAGACTTCAATGGGGATGAAAACGTAATTTTTCTGGTGATATGATATACTGGGGGATAATTCAGAAAATTGTTATCCAAAGTCTGAAAAATAGGGCGTTCACATTCTGTATAGAACACGGAACCCTCCTCTAAACAAACATAGATGTGGAAAACCCACCATTTTAACTGGAAATCATGGCTTTTCCACATCGTTTTGTGTTCTTTTTCCAGTGGGTAGATCACCATTTATGTCTCACTGAAAAAAATCCAAAATGTTGGTGAAATTTCACTGCTTCAATCCCAGATGATCCAGATGTTTCTTGCTTCACTGCTTGGTGGTATACCTACCAACCCCTCTGAAAAACGATGGAGTTCGTCAGTTGGGATGATGATATTCCCAACTGAATGGAAACATGTTCCAAACCACCAACCAGATCATCGATTTTCCCAAAGAAAATGGCCTAAACTACGCCCTTTGCCCTATGCCGAGTGGCTCATAGTTGGGCCGATACTTCTGTCGCCGTCCGTCTGCATCGTCGCGCTGTAGGCCGTGGCGCTGCTCGTACAACTCGAAACCGTACTGGTCCTTGCCTGGCAGACCACAACATGGTTCCATGGTTCACATGCTGGTTGGTGGTTTCAACCTACCCCTCTGAAAGAGATGAGTGAGCGTCAGTTGGGATGATGACATTCCCAATATGATGGGAAAGTCATAAAATTCCAGTCACCATCAACCAGTTATATTCTCCCAATATTAACCATTATCAACCATTATTAACCATGATTAACCAGGATTATCCCAACCAGCATGTTCCAGTCACCAGCAACCAGCATGTTTTGTCATGAAACATGCCTAACTGGGATGCCTTCCCTGCTGGGGCGGCCTCTGGTTGTCGGATGACAGACAAATGGGTCATGGGAATTCAGCCAACGCCACAGTGGGAGATTTTAGTGGAAATGATGATTGGGGAATCAGCTACATTAATGGTTTATCTCCCACAAAATATGGCTGAAAATATCTTATTAATGGCTTATTCCTATTAATGATAGTAGTAAAATATGGCCGGAAAATATCCTATTACTGGTTTATAGCTGGAATCATCCCTTATAAATGGAGCTTTAGAGCTGGGATAATCTCCAGCTCATCGTGGGCTGGATTTTCCAGCCATGTGAGTCACCGGAGGCGATTTGTGAACCGTGGGAAAACAGGGATGTCAAAGATATGGGGATGGGTCAAAACCTTGTACCCCTGGTGAACATCAAAATAGCTGGTAAATGGATGTTCATTCCCCTAAAAATGGGATGTATAGGTATTGATCCATAGCCATATCATGTTTGAGAAAGAGAACTACTTGGTGGCGAACTACCCACGAATCGTAAATGGCTTATAAGTAGGGTTAATCCACTGAAATCACTGGGGTTATAACCCACTTACGATTGGTGGGATGAGCCACCAAGTAGTAATTTTACTATAACATGATTGATTGCTATTCTGATTGGTGATGCAAACATCAGATTTGTCTATCATAAATATTTATCACATTCGTTTGGGTATTAACATTCATATCATATATTCTACCATTGATAACATCAGCCATTACACAACCCCCCTCCTGGAGTTCTAAAAAATAGTTCTAAAAGCCCAGCCGCACTTCATCTCGCTCAGCTGCAGGATCTGAAATTTTCTCTTGACGCTGGAACAATCGGAACAATCCATAGAATTCAATAGATACAAATTACATCTACCGTGGTCACATCAGTCACTAGGGATTCCCCACATCCAAATCCTGGGTTTGAGAAAAAACCCTTCAGAAGCCCCCATAGAAATGGATTGACATATTTTCATACATTCCCATCACCAGAAGAAACTGAGCAATCCAACCTTTTGACAATGGTACACATGTTTCCTGTCCCAGCCTTTCTGCATCCTGGCGGTGTTTTGGGTGCTGTACTTCTTGTAACCTGCAGGCAAACAACCCTTGCTGAAAGGTAGCGGGTCGCGTACTTCTGAACTCAAAACCATGATGGCACTGTCGCCATTTGACAAATCATATCAGCAAACGCTTTTTGGAGAAACCACCCAACACATCCCAAGACCCCAAGCACAAAATCCAGCTGGATTTCTTGGGTGATTAAACACAATCCAGGGATTCTGTGGATCATCCCCCATGGCTTTTTCGCTTCGCGTCGCGCTTCTTCGGCGGGTCACTTTGACCGCCATTGTTCCCTGCATCGAAGTAGTCCAGCATCGCCTTGGAGAGCCTTGGCTGGTTGGTTATTGCAAGAGGTTAACAGAACGGTTAATGATGGTTAATGATGGTTAGTTGATGGTTAATGGTGGTTAATGGTGGTTAATGGATATTACTATCCTCTGGTAAATTAAAATTGTTGACCCTGAAAATCACCAATTTTTAGAGGAAACTCATCTGAACCAACCCCTATCTGGCAGGGTCTATGTTAATTTACTGGAGGGTAACTACGGGAAGTTGAACTATTCGAAAGCGCAGGAGTAGCTTAACCCATGGATTATATGGGGGGTTCCTAAAATAGGGGTACCCCTAGTTATCATCCATTTATAGATGGATTTTCCATGAAATCAACCATCCAGCTATTGGGGTATTCCCATGACCATGGAAACCTCCGTATAATAGCATGTTTATAACATTATATAACTACAATGTTGATTAACCATATGGATAATAAACCATTGTAGTTATATAATGTTATATATGGAGGTTTATTGAATATGTGTCCATTATATGGTTTATGTTTCCATTGATCTGGGTAAATTATAATATTTCACTAACCTGAATAGTTCGGCCATTTGGGGATTTCCCGAATCCTAAACCATGATTTCCAGGCTTCGGTCGCAGGGTTTGGTCGTGATGAAATTTACCCATATATATATATAATCTGATAGGGGTGAAATTCCATGAAATTCCATGTTGTTGGGATACAATCCATGATTTATGGCTATATAATCCCTATATGGGGTAATAATGATATTCTTAATCATATAATCCAGTAATATCCATATTATTAATGGGGATATCCATGAAATTCCACGTGGGTATATAGGGATTCTAATGGTGATAGCCCGCCATGGCCCAGCAGCTTGTCCCTGGCTTCCCCTTGGATCACCGTCACAGCCCAGGGCTGCGAGTTCGCGATGGACGTGACGCAGCGGGCGGCCGCCAAGATGTCGGAGATCAGGTCCTACAGGTGGCCCGAAATTGGTGGAATGATAACTAACATGATAACCCCAGTTAGAACCATTTATAACTTATAACCATTTAGAACAAGTTATAACCATTTTAGTGAATTAGTAAGATAATTTTAGGTTCCAGATTTCATGCCATACAATATAATCCACTGCGGATCTTCGAGGCGTCATCCCACGGTAAGTGGTTAGGATCACTGGCGACGAACCAGTTAGCTTAGCCAGTCAAATATTCAACGGGAGAATCTGGTAACAAAAGTTAAAGTCGCAACTATAATATATTAGTAATAACATTTGTATAACATATACAATATTGTAAAGTACATACTGACATACTACTTAGCTACTTTAGGCAACAGCCGACATGCACTGACCCACCGAGCCACCCAAATATCTCAAATTATAAATGGCCAGTGTGAACGCTGAAATGGCACCCCATTCTCAAACAAGCCCATATATGATACCTATGCAATACCATAGTAATAAGATAGTAGTATCATAGTAATACCCATTTGTGACACCATGAATATCATAGAAAGTGACATCATGACCGTGGTAGTACATCTAATATGAATGCTAATAAATAATATGGTCTGACTATAGTATATGCAAGCATAAATGCATATAAATATACATATAAATACATAAATACCATATAAATACCATATAAATACCATATAAATACCATATAAATACCATATAAATACCATATAAATACCATATATGCAGAATAAATACAGATAAACACCATGTAAATACCAAAGAAATACCATGAAATTCAGGCAACTTTCCACCTCTTCTCCCTTGGCTCCTTGGGCACCACTTTGGACACGTCCAGACTATGGGAGCAATGCCGGGAGGACACGAGGTGCATCAAACCATAGGCTGAAGGTGGCAACTCAGCCGTCGGTGTCACGGACAAAAACCGGAGATGTACTAAGTCACTGCAAAACATCAACATGAAACCACTTGAGAACATGAATTATCATGAATTACAGCATGTCCGGAGGATTTTTTTTCCGAACTTGGAGATGGTACTCCAGCAGGCTGTGTAAATAGACGGGGCTTCTGCGAATTCTCCCTTCATCCAAGTTACTTGGCATAGTTCCTGCCATGAGAAACGTCCGGACATGGCTGATTTTTGGACGATTTTTGGAGGTAAAAAATTCTATAGAATGGTGGATCATCGATGGAAAATAGATCCAATAAATGAGACTTCACATGACTTCACTTTCTACGAAATATTGAAATCACATCTCCCCATAAAGAAACTATCAGAGTCGTATTGGGTAGTTAGCATATTGATATAATTCTCTTGAGATATTGGGTAGTATACAATGACTATAATCCACTATAAAGCCCCTATAAGTCAAGGCGCAGGAGTGGCTGGCGCCATTAGCCAAGCTGGATCGCAAGTCGTCCATCCTCAATGCACCAGGGATATCCAGGGATCAAATGGGGAAATTTTACAGGAAAGCCCCATGTTTAATGGGAAAATCGATGGTTTCCGGTTAAGATTTTCCCAAGAAAACCAATCCATTGAATACAATGTTGTGCCCTTAGATGTAAATCATTGTACGTGTTGCGTATGTAATTTTATAATATGGTTTAAGTATATTTATAAAGCTCCTGAGAACATCTTTCACTCAGGGCACAACATAATTGTACGAATGTTTGAATCAAATACGGAAGTAATGACCCAATCATTACTAATGTGTGGGGAATTAATACGAATGAATCTTGTAATTGGGGGCCAAAACTATAACCCACATTGGATACAAACACAGATGAAATCCAAATATGAACCGGTACTTCGAAGGATCAGATTTTGGACTGCATGTTTCTGGAAAATCTGTTACAGGATCCCGTTGATGTCAAGACCAGCCCTCTAGTTTATTGACAAACAACAAAATAGTGCGAATAACCTAAGTTTCAACTTAACGTTTGGATGTAAACTGGCACAAACGGATGGGTTCTAAAATGGCACCTAGGAGATTCAAATTCACATGGAATACATGGATTTTGATATACCCTCTGGTTATTTAACATAGCCATGGCACATGGCCCATTTATAGGCGGTTCACCTATTAAAAATGGTGATTTTCTATGGCTATGTTAAATAACCAGAGGGTATTTTGATTGATTCTCTATAGGTAAACTGTAAACTCTTCACTTGGTGAGGCTTCACCAATGGACCTTCTGCCACGCCAAGCATCGCGTGGTCTCATCCACGGGCAATCTGTTCAAACAGGCCGCCGGCTGTGGATCATGACCATAGCCCAGGCTGATGCCGCAAATGACGAAGTGATCCTGGCGCTGATGAGAAAAGTGGTCAGTGATCTGCATTTTTGCTATAATTATGGTTCTAAATGCTAGTATTTCCTATTAGTTGTTACTATCAATTATTATCACTACAACAAATAAGTTCTATTACTAGAATTGATTGTTAGTATTAGAACATCACTAGAACGTCTGTTCTATTATATTAGAATGATTTAGAATGAATCCTTTTGTGGCCATCATCTACAGTATGTGATTTGTAGATTCATTGTCATTCTGTCTACAGCATCAACCCCCATCCTCAACCCCTCCTCCGGAAACTCGTCGCCCAGGACCTCTTTGTAGACGCTGCCATACTTCGCCACCGCAAAGTCACAGTGGACGCCCAGGCCCAGATCCTGCGCACCTCAGGCGTGGAAACTCACCTGAAATCCGTCCCCACCTTTGTTTGATACTTGTTTTTTTGGGGGGTTACAGTAACCTCTTGTAGTTGAACATCATTGAACATCATTGAACATCATTGAACATCATTGAACATCATTGAACAGTTTGATATGGGAAATCTATATTATATGCTGTGTTCAATCAGTCACTCATCGAACTTCCGAAGCAAATTCGCCATTGAACTCAATTACAAGTAGGCCAAAACCATATTATCACCATAATATCCACATATTATCCATAATATCCAAATCTGGTTGGTGGTTTTAACCATCTTTAAAAGTCAATGGGACGGATGACATCCCATATATTATGGAAAATAAAAGCCATGCTTGAAGCCACCAACCAGAAATCCATATTATCCATATTATGTAGTTCAACCTGGCTTCCATGGCTTCCATCGTTTTTGGAGCCTAGGAGCACATGGAGATGGCCGTCATCGCTGAGCCCATGTCCAGGTACACACCATCCACGGGTGGCTCCTCCTTCAGACAGGGCCCCACTGGTGCAGTCACCAGGACGTGCAAAGGTGCTGAAGCAATGGCACCTCAGCCATGGCAATGATGGCCATGATGGCCATTTCTGAATCCTAAGCTTGAAGATGTTGAATGATTTGTAAATAGTCCAATGTATATATCACGTGTCAACTGTCAAAATGTATCTTCACCCCTATAGCCCTATAGATTTTGATCCTCAATGTTACGACGAGTTGCTTTTGGTGCCCTCCAGGGTGGCCTGTTGATCCTTCCTGTACTCATTCCTTGGATCGGTCATCGAGGGACAAAGGGCAACCTTGACGAGGGCAGCGTAATCAACTCATAGTACGTCATACGTCATACGGTGGTGCGCCAGTTCGTGAACGCTACGTTGGTGCAAACAACTCCAATAACTAGGATTTACGATACACACACATATGTATTATATATATATGCGTATACGTATATCTAACGATACGTACATATCTACAAATAAGGTTAATATGTATATGATGGTTTTATCTCTATATATATATAACAAATAAATAGACCAAATAACTTTAATGGGGTTTATGAAAAAAACAACATCACTGGAGGGTGGCGCCACCGATTTCCGTTGATTCGGACCCGCGGCACTGCTTTCTCCATGCGCGGGATCATGGCACTTGGAAGGTCCGCGTACCTTCGAGCCATGTGCTTCCCAATTTCACTGGCCGAAATGATCATCAAAGTCACTTTTTTATCCACTAATCACACACACATAAATTAATATATAATTATATATATATATATGTAGATGTCATATATGCATGTATACACATAGCTACATTATACTGGATATATCGAACACCATCTCCAGAAATCTTCCGTATGGGAGCCACTTCGGCGCCACTTCCGCGTGCGAGGAACTCGCTGGTGCCAGCATCGTTGGCGTCCAACTTGGCCACGAGTTCTGCAGCCAACTGCGCCTTTTTGTCGCCTGAGGAGATCGAGCTGATCGAGCTAAGCCACACAAAAACACATGGGTGAAGAATGGAACTGTAAAGGTAATATCAACACACACACACATATACATATATATATATATATACATATATATATGTCATATAATATAAATATATCATAATATGATATATATATATATATAATATAACAATAAGTAGAATAATGATAATGACAATTATAATGATAATAATAATGATAATATATATATATATATATACACATGGGGTGCATCCCCAAAATGAATGGTTTATAATGGACACCCCTATTAAAATACATGAATTGAGGGGTACCCCCTTTTTAGGCATACCCCATATCTTGAGAATCAGAATAATTAATCTGTGCAATTTAGAATAAATCTTACCTCGTCATCTCGTGCTTAAATCGTGAAACCGGAACATTTAGTGATCTCGTTAAATGAGCATTTTATGTTTAACCCCTCGTCGAACACAGCCCAGTTTTGCCTTGCAGATACAGCTCTTTCATCCCATTCAAGCCTCACGCCTTCCCTTTGGCGGGGACAAGTCTTCCAAAATGCTTGGCGGGGACAAGTCTTCCAAAGGCTGGAGGAAAGGGAGAAGGAAAAAAAACTTTTCTAGGGGAGAAAAGTTTTTTAAAGTTTTTTTTGTTTTTTTGGCTTGGACCAAATGGCAAGTGGAAAGAAACACTTTTTAGGCTGCGAAAAGTTTATTTTCTCTCCCCGGCATTCAACGTTCCAGACTAGGAAAAGTTGTTCTTCTCGAAACAAGGGTCTGCATTTCCTCTTGAGAACGGGAAGCAACAACCACAAGCATGGCCAACAGCTACAGGAAAATGAGCTTTCAGCAAAATTGCTGCAGAATCACAGCTTGCCAAAAAAAAACTTTTCAGCTCCAGAAAAGTTTTTTTCCATGTCCCTTGCCATGGAAACGGTGTCTGAGCACCCACCTCGTCTGACTGAATTTAGTTAAACCACCTCGTTAAAAACCAAAAGGCTACCTCGCACCTCGGCTGTCCTCGCTATAAATTGCACAGATTAATGGCAATAACAACAAAGAAGAATAGTAATCATCATAATCTTAACAACAACAATGATCTATAATCACAACTCTAGAGATGCGACATCTATATGGATTGTGTTTTTTTTTAAACCATTCTATTGGATACAAAATCTCTGGGTAACTATCCCGAATTCTCGGATCGATTCTGCAAGATGATCCCAACAAATACCAGGCCTGGCAATGACATTCACAGTTTGCGACATAGAAAATGGCCATTTAGTTCGTGGATTTACCCATGAAACATGGTGATTTTCCAGTTCGCTATGTTAGGTTTACCAGAGGGTACTCTCTTTTTACCATGGTGTTTATTTCATTTTATGTCATTTTTTCAAACCTCGTTTTGCACATGTGTTTACATGTTGTTTAAAGGAAAAATGCGGCCAACTTAGGTCATGAGAGAATCTCACCTGTGAACAAAAGCTGGGTGATGCCGCACACGACTTCAGCTCATCAAGGACACAGATCAGCTTTGACCCTCCAAGTGCCCATGAAAATGGGTAAAAATCCCAAGTCACCATGGGTATGATGTATCATAATATGGCATACTACCCCGTTTTTGTACTTACTTGGAGAGTCACTCGGAGCACATCCCCAAGATATTTCTTTGGCGCCTTGTACCACCACAATCGTCCATGGCTGAGTGTTGGCAGAGGATGGCACACTGCGCAAACCCTCCAGGATCTCTATCATCACCTGACGGATGTCAGGGGTTGAAATCCGCACCTGCTCTGGTTGAAAAGATGAGTTGATTGAGTTGTGAGGTTCTGCATTGCAAATATGTCACTATTATTAAACATTGTGATGATTAAATCTGATTACCTCATGATGATGGTGCTACATTATGATAAAAATAGTGCGGAAAGTGCCGTATCCAACAACCATTTTAGGCCACGGCATGCCATTTCACACTCTTGGACGGTCGCCTGCTAGATGAACCGTACAGGGGCCACAAGCTTTTGCAAATATCCCCATTTTTATCTGGTTGGTGGTATACTTACCCCCTGAAAAAGATGAGTTCGTCAGTTGGGATGATGACATTCCCAATATATGGAAAAATGAAACATATTCCAAACCACCAACCAGTTATTCTTGACAAGTTACACTCAATGTTTGTAGATTTTGTAGGACATGTCTCCAGGTTGCTCAAACATCCACGCTGCTAGGATTAGTTGGCGAAGCGTTAGCAATGGAAGAAGCTTCAAAAAAAGGGGGTTCCTAGAATGGAGGTACCCCAAATTATCCGTTTTAATAGGACTGACATGGATTGTCCATTATAAGCAATCCATATTCGTTCCTTTCTCGATGTCGTTGGGGTTAGCACTCCAATCACTCCAGCCTTCTTTGGAACGGCACGTGATGCATCGAAACGCAGCGTGGAGTGTTGCGAACACATCTGCTGAACCTGGGAAGCTTGTCGGTTGTCCCACTGGTACAGTCTTTCAAAAGGTGGCCATCCGTAAGTAGTCATCTCATTTCATCATGCTTTGGAGGTGATGCAATGAGAGCGATGATGAAAAAAACATAAAAAAACGTCTGCCGAAAATCAGCTGAACCAGAACAGGCTGGAAAATCTGGCAGGATTTTTCTGGAAAGCGGCCTGCACCTGTCTTCTGAGTTGTTTCCCCAGCCACTCCGATCTGCACAGTAGCTCTAGAATGCTGCGGAAGCATCTCATAGCCACATTCTGAAACAACTCATACCATCTCCCACCAATCAGTGTCAGTTGCAAAAAAGGGGTCAAAAGACCATATTATCTGGGTAAATTATAATATTTCACTAACCTGAATTAAGGCCATTTGGGGATGATTTCCCTTATTAACCATGATTCCAGTGAGGTCGCAGTGAGGTCGTTATAATTTGCCCAGATATTATTGATGGTTGTATAAGTTACATACGGATTTCTTGGTTGCATCAGTTGCATCCTCATCTTTCAAGGTTGTTCCATCCCAGATAGAAGGGGAAAAAACATGGTTGGTAGAAGGGGAGGCCACTCACTTATAAGGTGATTAACCTTTGGCAATTTGACATAGCCGTTTTGCTATGAACAAAAACATGGTTCTTTATGTCTGGTTCATTGATGATAAAACATTGTAAGCTGCCATAGCTACCCTCTGGTAAACTAACATAACTATGGAAAATCACCATTTTCAATGGGTAAATCCACTATAAATGGCCATGTTCAAAAGCTATGTTAGTTTGCCAGAGGGTATGTTGAATTATCAAAAAGGCTATGGTGTGTCCCCATGTATTTCTTGTATCCTCATCCATGGTTCATCCCGAAATGGGACCAAGATGCTGAAACATCTCCTGCATCCACCATGCAGTTATGGCCATTTATTAGTTATAAATGGTTATTTCAATGGGTTTATAAATTCTATAAATGGGGTTATCAATGGATCAGTTTATATAAGGGAAAATCTTAACCGGAAACCATCGTTATTTTCCCATGAAGATCATGGTGTTTTCCTGTAAATTTTCCCTTAAACCAATCCATTGAGGTTATAAGTACTTATAACTGGTATAATTCGGGCCATAACTGTGGTTTCTGGATGTTTCTGGGGGATGATTGATATGAACGGGGGGTTTTTAGCTTCTAAGTTCTTACATCCCAAGCATTCATGGTTTTTAAATTACTACATCCCCGTACCATATAATGGGGTATATAATGGGGTATATAATATCAGTATCTATATCCAAAACTCAATATCATATAATGGAAAATATAATATCAGTTATAACTATATCCATAAACAAATACCTACCATGGGGATAGAATATCAGTTATATCTACATCCAGTATGAATTATGATAAGTTATAATTATCATCCTTATCCATTATCTTTACATATACATCTATTATACCATCTACATCCATTATGAATAAGTTCTTCCATTCCCATGATATCCGGGGCTAAAAATGTGCCTGTTCTATGGCCCAGCTACTCCACGAGGTCGGCTGTCCAGGAGTTCGATGGCCCGTGACAACTTTGAAACATCTTCCTGTGGATCATCCGATGACTTTCGCGGTGATTTTTATGGTGATTTCTATGGTGTGTCTATTTTCTATCGTGATTTCTATGGTGTGTCTATTTTCTATGGTGATTTCTATGGTTCATGGTGATCTCAATGGTGATTTTATTGGTGGAGAGGGAAAAAACCCACCGAAAAATACCAATTTTAGGGGTCCTTTACATACCCTCTGGTAAACTAACATAACTTTGAAAAATCACATTTTTTAATGGGTAAATCAACTACAAATGGCAATGTTCAATAACTTTTTGTCTGTTTACCAGAGGGTATGATTTTCCATGATTTTCCATCATGAATCGCCTCCAAGGTCAAATTGAGCAGTGTGAAATATCACTCCCTCTATCATTCCATATATAATCCTGGTTGGCTTTTTTTAGGGATTCCCCGTTCTTGGATTATTGTAATCCCCCATATATTGGGTAGTACAATCCCTTATGATCAACCAACCATCATTTATCAGTTATATTCACTCATATCCCCATATTTTCATGGTTAAAATGCCATTTGAATTACCTGGCTGGTGGTTTTAACCATCTTGAAAAATATGAGTTCGTCAATGGGAAGGAGTATCCCGTATATGGAAAATAAAAGCCATGTTTGAAACCACCAACCAGTTACTATAATCATCAACATATCATCCACCCTGCCAGGGGTGCAGCTCAAATCCCTGTGCCTTGGGAAGGGAGTTCACCAGTGTCTTCAGCTCATCCTGGGTGGCGTCTTTCAAGGTGCTCGATGCTCCAGTGCCCATGGCCACGCCACGACGCCACGACGCCACGACGCCGTACGGCGTGCGGTGTGTCTAAGGTGGGTGCCCCAAAGCTGAGCCAGACATGAAGCCAGGAAGCCAATGATATGGGGATCTAACCTATCATTTTTATGAAGATATCATGGAAAAATAATGGTGATCAATGAAGATCCAATTTCAATCATGCTGTGTTTTTTTTCGTAACCACCCCCCAAAAAAATGGATAGACAAATTATCTTACCACATTTTTACACAAGTTTAGTAGGAATTCACGTGTCATTCCTTTTGGGAAATCCAATCATGGTGCTCATTCTGGCATATCAAATGGCATTCTGGGTTCCCTCTCTCTCTCTCTCCCTCACCATTTCATAGTGACAGTGTCATGGATGCCACTAAACAGTCTAAACGTGTAGGTTGAAATAATTTCAACATCTGCATCTATATACCCTCAATCACTGGCCACTCAATAATTGAGAAGGGGGTACCAAGCCCGACAAGACATAGATCAATATAGAATTGTAAACGGAGACCATTATGACGATTTTGCAAACGATGTTGATTATATACAAAAACCTTACAATGTTGATCAATATAGATTGGGGGCACATGATCTTACAATGTTTTTTTTTGCTCTTTTGCAAACGGAGACCATTATGACGATTGGGGTCTTTCTAGCTGACCCACATCACCACCAAAGGAATCATATTCCCTTTTTCGATTCCCTATAGTAATAGTAATTAGTGGATTTCCGACTTGGAATGATTTGGAAGATAAGCCAAGAATCATCAACAAACCGCAAATCCAGGATAGTTGGTCAAATCCCAGCTATAAACCTTGAGGTCTAGTGGATTTCCTGTTTTCCCATTGTTTCCCTAGGTTTTTTCCATGGACTCCGATTGGAAGACCTGACTTCGTCGCAGGTGCCTGCGATTCTCCAAGTTGGCGTAGCCCCAGAAAACATGCCTGTGCCAGGAGATGAGGGTCTTTTGGCTCGCCTGAAAATGTGCCCGATATCCGTTGTATGATTATCTGGTTGGTGGTTTGAACCCCTCTGAAAAATATGAAAGTCAGTTGGGATGATTCTTCCCAACAATATATGGAAAAATTAAAAATGTTCCAAACCACCAATCAGATATATATATATACGTATATATATATATATATATGTATGTAATATATATATACACATATGATATGGGGGGTCCTTAAACTGGGGGATCCCCAAAACCATAGGTTTCAATTATAAAATGGTCTGACTTTGGATGATTTGGGGGTACCACCATTTGAGGAAAGCTCTATATTTACACATGAGTTGCATAAGTTGGATGTGTTTTTTTCAAGCAACTTGTACAACTGCTGGGCACCTTGTAGTGAAAAGGTAAACACTGACAAAACAAACTCTGCCAACGTGTTTCACTAAAATTTCCGAACTTGAAAACAGATCTTCAAACCCAGTTTATCTCAACAGGGACTCCACACGAACCCTGCATGCTTATGCTTTAAACTTTACAGTAAATCCCCCTCAAACTATAGAGTCAAACCGCAAAGCTACTGACCTAAAAAAAAATCCCACGACTTGGTCTTCTCATGGCCTATCCCCTCATATCCCCATGGGCTTCGGCAGACACCATGCCTGCTGTGGCTGTGACCTGGCTACGTCATGCTACGTCCGCCAGGAGTTTCCCGTGATGGATCCCCCAACGTTCGAATCTGAGTTGGGACCATGTTTCGAACATGACTTGCCATGATTTCCCCCATGGTTTTGCAGTTTTGCTATATGATTTTCCCCCAGCACCTTGCCAGTGGGTCTCCTCATAGCGAGGGCCTTTAGGGCCTGGCTCTGGCTGTGAAATGCTAAAGTTGGGGGTGGTTTAGAAATATGTTTTAACACAATGAGTGATGTTTTTGATGGCTGTATCTGAAAATAGGGAAACCCTAAAATCACTGGTTAATGATCATGTTCATTCATTTTCCCATAAAATATGGCAATTCTATGAGTATCAACACCACTTGTCATACCCTAATGGTGCCACAATGACGGCAAAACCTTCCGAGAGTTTGGCAAGAAATGGTGTTTCAATCTAGTTGGTATATGATAAATTATGATGGGATATAGTTGGATATAAGGTCTTTTCTTCCCCAGGATTGTGTATTTTTGTCATGTATTGGGGCCTTAAGAACCAACCAGAACCATCAGTATGGTGTCATACCTCTGCCTTTCGAGCTGGTTAGAAAAAACCACGTCACTATAGGATGAAACCACCAAATGGAGGAGACCTTGAACCAAATCATCCATGAAATCCCAGTGTTACTAAAGGTTCAATCCCGGTTTTTGTGAAACTAATGGAAATGTCAGGTCTTCTTAGGGAAAGGATTGTCCATGCAAGAGTGAAGTTGTTCCTCTTGGGGAGCAATGGTCGACTGCCCAAACCCAGCCATGACTGGGCTATGGGCACACAGTCTCCGCCATCAAGTCGGAACAGAACATTGATAAACCATCTGGGCAAATGATAATTCACTAAGCTGAATAGTTCGGCTATTTGGGGATGATTCACCGAATCCTAACCATGATTCCAGGCTTCAGTCGTTCGGTTCGGTCCTGATTTTATCTACCCCTTTCACCATGATTGATAAACACCCAGCAATAAACCAGCCTCAATAGAGGGTTTATTCTTGGATTTCCTTCAGGGGGTCCCCAAAAAATAAGACATATTCACTATTATTATTCCCCCAGTCATGGTGGATTTCCCAGGAAAATAAAAACCATCACCTTAAACAAAACCCAGGTGAAACTCTTGGGTGAAAAAACCGCCCACGGGATGATGTGATGGCCGTGATGGCGCCAACCAAAAATCCATTCTCTTCGCTACGGCCGAGTCCCCCAAGAAATCACTTGGGCCTGGGGCTTGTTTCTGTTCATACCACTTCTCCCCACCTCAACAAGTCATGAACATTCATGAACCGTGACCGGAACCGTCACCCCGGAAAACCGTCTCAATGATGACCCAATGGAGATGGTAAAAAAAGTGCATCATTCTGAGGCCCTTAATGGATCTTAATTTCACAGAGCGAACTGGAAAAACGTCGTTTTTACATATTTTCAAGAGGTCAATCATCATTTGAAGCCACCATCAGCTGACTCAATTTCATAGGAATTAGCTGAAAAAAAGCTCCGGGTTTCCACACGCCACCAGCTCCATAAGCCCTGTGGATTTTGGCCAGGTCCGGTGGGAAAAACTCCACCGGAATTGTGTCCCAAAATACGCCGTGAAAAAAACGCTTTGTTTTTGTTTGTTTTTCACTGGACCAGCAAAAAACGTTTTATCTCCCCAAAAAAACTATAATTCTATATTTGAACGGGGATAAACAACAAAATAGAATGGATATTTTTTGGGTGATTCTCAATGATTCTCAATAAAATGTTCTCAATCATGGATGACAATCACTCCGAAACCATCTAAAGATGGCTGATTTGCCATGTTTGAAACAACCGGCGGGTATCAACCAACAAATCCCCGTTGCATCACCGCCGTTTTTCGTCGCACCTCTTGCCGTGACTGTCCCAAGTGCTCCCACCTGCGGTGCCCAACTGTTAAAAGGTGAGGGTCCCCATATGTGGTTAAACCCATGATATATATATATATATATAGATGGATATATCTATCTAGATATACCTATATAGATAAAACTTTATGTAGATCTATTGCTGGCCTGGGGGTAACAAATTAATATTCACCATAAAGCCACCATAAACCCAAGCAGTTTCCCTTAAGTCAGACGTACGTCTTAACTCGGCTATGACCTCACCTTGGCGCGTTGCTAAAAACCTCGTCGGTGCTTGAGTCGTCGGTTGGTGAATTAACATAGGGGTAGCGCTAAAGAAATGGAATTCAAAAAACGGGAATCAAAATGAATCAAACATGTTGTAGATGCATATGTGTCTCTCTCATTCTCTCTCCGCCTATTTATGTTCATTTCATGTGAATTAGACATTTCTGAACGCAGGATATGCCTTCTGGTAATCAAACATGGCAATGGAAAACCAGCCCACGAAGTGATGGGGTTTTCACTTGCCACTTTGATGACACAGGAGGGTCATATTCCATTTCATCCCATTCTTTATATCTCTATAAATGCCTATTGTTGTTGGTGAAATATCCCTGTTCTATCTCCAGAGTTAACCCCTGGTCATTTAACAGTTTGCTACTTTAAATGGACCATAGAAATAGTTGATTGATAAACTATTAAAAATTGTGATTTTCCGTAGCAAACTGTTAGTGTACTATGGAAAACCACCATTTTTTATAGGTAAATCAACTATAAATGGCCACTTTCCATAGCAAACTGTACACGTTTACCAGGCCGGGTATCTCCTACTGCGGCCAGCTGTCACCCCAACCAGCTTGCCGCCTTTTAAAGTCACTTGCCTCGGTTGCGACGTCGATTCCGTGCACGAGGCGCAGGTGTCCACAATGCGCAGAACTACACACAACATCCACAAGTAAACAAACATAAATAATTGAAAAAACACAAAAGCAATTAAACACAACAAATCCAAAAGGAAAAATAAACACATACTAATTATATTAAATAGCATGAACGTTACAGAATAATAGAACATATCTATTAGTTTCTATGCACAGCTCATCTTGGCCCCCGCGCATCGGTGGAATGGCCGGAATGGCCATGGCGGTTGACCTGACCAGCGACCGGCAATGGAAGCCATGGGAAAACTGGTTCAATGAGATTTTAAACTTGGTCAAATTCATCCAAAACTTGGTCAAATTCATCCAAAACTTGCTCAAATTCATCCAAAACGTGGTAAAATTCATCCAAAACCTGGTAAAATGCATCCTAAAACCTGGTAAAACCCAAAACCTGGTAAAAATTCATCCAAAACCTGGTAAAATTCATCTAAAACCTCGCAAAATTCATCCGGAACCTGGTAAAATTCATCCAAAACCCAAAACCTGGTAAAAATTCATCCAAAACCTGGTAAAAATTCATCCAAAACCTGGTAAAATTCATCTAAAACATGGCAAAATTCATCCGGAACCTGGTAAAATTCATCCAAAACCTGGTAAAAATTCATCCAAAACCTGGTAAAAATTCATCCAAAACCTGGTAAAAATTCATCCAAAACCTGGTAAAATTCATCTAAAACTTGGCAAAATTCATCCGGAACCTGGTAAAATTCATCCAAAACCTGGTAAAAATTCATCCAAAACCTGGTAAAAATTCATCCAAAACCTGGTAAAATCATCCAAAACCTGGCAAAATTCATCCGGAACCTGGTAAAATTCATCCAAAACCTGGTAAAAATTCATCCAAAACCTGGTAAAAATTCATCCAAAACCTGGTAAAATTCATCTAAAACATGGCAAAATTCATCCGGAACCTGGTAAAATTCATCCAAAACCTGGTAAAAATTCATCCAAAACCTGGTAAAAATTCATCCAAAACCTGGTAAAAATTCATCCAAAACCTGGTAAAATTCATCTAAAACTTGGCAAAATTCATCCGGAACCTGGTAAAATTCATCCAAAACCTGGTAAAAATTCATCCAAAACCTGGTAAAAATTCATCCAAAACCTGGTAAAATCATCCAAAACCTGGCAAAATTCATCCGGAACCTGGTAAAATTCATCCAAAACCTGGTAAAAATTCATCCAAAACCTGGTAAAAATTCATCCAAAACCTGGTAAAATTCATCCAAAACATGGTTAAATTCATCTATATAAAACTTGGCAAAATTCATCTAAAACCTGGTAAAATTCATCCACAGCCTGGTAAAATTCATCTAAAACCTAGTAAAACTCATCTAAAACCTTGTAAAGTTCATCCAAAACCTGGTAAAATTCATCTAAAAGCTCAATTGAGAGTTTTTTTCAAATTTCAATGATTTAGTTTCAAGCTTTTATGACATTATATGTTCATTGTTATTAGGTCTAAATATCCATTCTCAATCTTCAATTCTGAAACGATACATAATTGATGTATAGATTGATGTTATTTTAGACTATTTGATGGTTACTAAATGCATAATTGATGGTTATCTGATGGCTAATCGATCGGTGAAATGATCTAAAAACTCGGATTTGCGAAAAAAAAGGGTCCGTAAAAAAAAAAAAAAACACTACGGATTCCCCAGTCATGGTGGATTTCCCATTGGGTTATTTGAAGAAACCCAGGTAAAAAATGATGGTCACTGATTGGTTTTGGGCCTCTGATCCCGGTCTGTTGGACCATCGTTGGGTCGCGGGAGAGGCCTGAGCCGGCCGGTCGCGGAGATAGGGGCCTTGCAGGGGGATGTTTTGCCAACTATAATTTATGTATATATCTATATGATTATGTTTGTGTACATGTATATAATCTGTAAATATATATATATATATACATATAATAAATCAAATAAATAATCTTCCTGTCTCGCCATTGCTATTTGGTATCATCTGGTCAACGTCGGCTAGGCTGAAGGCGATCTGGAAGATCTATCTCTCTCTCTCTCTCTCTCCATCGCCATCTCCTCAAGAGACTGCCAGATGGGGGCACCAAACGCAAACACCAAAGGCAGAGTCAGCATGGCGACTCAGCGCATGTGACGATTTGGAATGAGAATAGAAAGTAACAGCGGCAACTTTACAGGAAACAAGCGATGCAAATTGCACACTAATTCTGAAGTACAAACACTTACTTTGGAATTGTCAAAAGATATTCCTACTCGATTTGGTGAAAACTTTTGGACATGACCATGTTCTAGCTTCTCCTGGATGACTATATACCTAGACCCTCTACGTACCTTGAAAGATGGGCTAATATAATCTAATATACCCATGCCGCACGCGACCCACTGAGAATGACCTGGTTGTGCTCAATCTCCAAGGATGCCTTGGTTCTTGCGGCGTGGCAGGTGCTTCTAAGATGTCCCGAACCTTGGTCATCACCATTGTAGAACATTGGATGCTCATATGCTGCCCTCAAATTGGAACATCATAGGTAGTGCCCCACCCCTGTGTTGCTTCCAAAAAAACAACTTGAGCTTGCTGGCTCTATATTTTGTTGGTTGAAGGTAGCTACCCAGAAATCAAATGGTGTTGATCCACAGCCAAAGGTTGCTAGGTTGATCATCATGTTTGTTCCTCATCAAAATTGCCGCAACCATTGGGATATCCACCCTGAATTTTTGGAAGAAGCCACACCAAATTTTGTCTGGACTTCCCATGGAAAAGAAAGGCATCATAGCTGGCACCGAAAAACATCAAGCAACATCGCCCTACCTGACCGGATGATTAATATGGATCCAATACTTCCGAAGGAAGATCAGGGATGATTTGTATATCTAGATTATTTATATATTTCTGGATGATATATAGATTTCCGGACTATTTTTATATCTCCGGGTGATTTATAGATTTTCGGATTATCTTTTATATATCTCTGGATGATTAGATTTCCGGACTATTTTAATATATATATATGTATATATATATATATATATATCTGGGTGATTTATAGATTTCTGGATTATACATATATATATATATCTCTCTCTCTCTGGATGATTTTCATGTCTGACTATCAACGCCTATCAGTTTCATGGTTAAAATGCCATTAACCACCAAAATATCAATGGTGTTTTTATACAGTATATCAGTTATATTCACTAGTATCCCCATATTTTCATGGTTAAAATATGTTAAAATGCTAAAATGCCATGATATATGTCTATACTATACCCCAGATATATGATAAATCTGGGTAAATTATAATATTTCACTAACCTGAATTAAGGCCATTTGGGGATGATTCCCCTTATAAACCATGATTTCCAGTGAGGTCGTAGTGAGGTCGTTATAATTTACCCAGATATATGATAAATCACCTTACATTACCAAAGGAAGTGGCCGATAAATCACCGTCCAGCGGCACGCTCCACCCGTCCGGGGGCCATCGGCGACTTCAGACCTGACTGTGGGCATATGTGTATGTAAATACATGGATAGATATAGATATGGATATAAATATATATATATATATATAAATGAACATATAGCTATATATGTATTGAATAGATATAGAAATATATATATATTTATATATATATAAGTAAATATATACACACAATGTACATGTGCCTACTCAATACTTATACACTACAAATGATATGATGCGAGTTTTGTTTTGTGTTACACCTCTAGTTCCATCACCAAATGTCAGGGATTGCCCTTCTTGATTCACCTGATCTTGATGAAACCGTCAGTTGAGTAACAAAGTGCGGCCTTTTATAACGAGGGGAGTCATACCCAAAAGCTTGATTACACCTAAAGTCACCTACTGAATAATTTTTTAAACATGCTTCAAGGAATCTTCTTTATGGTAACCTGCTGGAGCTTGGAGTGTAGGTTTCCAACATGGATCTGTCTGAAGAAAAATACTGGAAACCCTCAAAAACTGATGGTTCATCATCATTGAAACAAAAACATGCCATATCACAGGTGGTAAGAAAACTGATGCTTCATCTAATCATCATTTTCCCCAAAGCAACTGCAATATATCATGGTTAAGCACCCTTTATGTTCAGAGAAACCGCATCTGTTTGCAGCTGCGTCACGCTGCTGACCATCCCAAAACCTACCGGTTTTGGGTCAGCACGGTCCGAAAACGAAACAGAAACACCAATTTTCAATGGGATATTAGTGATGATTAATGGATAGTGATGGTGATTAATGGTAATGATGGTGATTCATGGCAATGATTAGTGGAATTACTTGCCCTCCAGTACTCAAACATGGCTAGCTGGCAAATGCCCGGCACTAAATTTGGAGGTTCACCCGAGGGGACACTCCGAATTTTATCCATTGGTTTTTACATTGGGATTTTAGTATGGGTTCCACATTGGTTACACTCCATTTGGTCATTTCAATGGCTTCTCCAAAAGTTATCCATGTTATTCTGGGATGTGATGATATGCTTTTTAGCCATGAGAACGTTGAGAACTATGGAAACCCCTATATAGATCATCCATTATTGTCCATTATTGTCCATTATTGTCCATTATTGTCCACTACAGATTATTATAGATCATAACTGGTTGGTGGTATACCTACCCCTCTGAAAAAATCTGAGTGAAAGTCAGTTGGGATGATGAAAATTCCAATATATGGAAAGTCATAAAATTCCATGGTTCCAAACCACCAACCAGTAGTGATGATTAATGGATAGTGATGGTGATTAATGATAATGATGGTGATTGATGGTCAACGATGATTACCGTAGATCATTATAGACATAGATCATAATTATGATCCATCATGATCCATTATTGCCCATGAGAAGCATTTGTGAATGGCCCAATGGGCCCATAGGTCAGCTATCCCTGATTTTCCAGCGGAGACACCAAGTCTGGGTACCTCGTAAACGTTTACAGTTTGCTATCGAACATGGCCATTTGGTTCGTTGATTTAGCCATTAAAAATGGTGATTGTCCATAGTTATGTAAACGTTTACCAGAGGGTAAACCTCCATTTTTCCTATGGTTTTCCTATGTTTTTCCTATGGTTTTAATGGGGAAACGAGCCTCCAACTTCTACCCCCCGTCCGTTCGTCTTCATCCCTGATCTTCGGATGTTGATGGCATCCACCAACCCTTGATTGGGAAATCGGTTGGTGACATTTCCAAATGGATACCCTCTGGTAATTGAAAACATGGCTATTGAAAATCCATCATTTTTAAGTTCGGTAAACCATCTAGAAACTCTATTTCGATTAGGGCCATTTTCCAGTTCGCAAACTGTTAGTTCGTTTACCCTGATGCACCTGGTGAAGACCAAAAGAGCTGCTGAATGGATGTTTATCCCTCTGAACTATGTTGTTGATGTTCGTGTTTGATCCATGGCCAAAATGATGGAACCCAAACAGTTCAAACAGAAATAGATCATCAAATACAGATTTTGGTGTGATCAAGATGGTTTGCTGGAAAATTCCTCATGACAATAGATTTTCCCAGCTAGAAACCTCCATTTATAGTGCATTTCCCAGCCATCCTTGAGGACAACTTCTGGACGATTTCCCAGCTTGCCATGTTTGGTGACACCGGAGGGTATTCACATCCACTCAACCGTTGAGACAGCAAAGTAAAAACCAATCCTTAAACTATCATTAAACCCAAGTTCAACATTCTTTGTTCACTAAATGATAACAGTAGATGGACAAACCGCCTACCAAGTAAAACCCCAAACCCCGAATTTCCATGTTGCACAAAGCTCTATATAGTTTCCTATTGAATTTTGGGAATGCGGGGGCGACAACAATACAGCAGGGGTTTGATTTCATCGTCCATCTACGGTATGTTCCATTTTTTTATGAAACTGAACTTAGATTAATCATCTCAGATTACCCTCTGGTAATTTGTTACATAGCTATTGAAGCCATGGCACAAAAATAGTTCGTTGATTTACCGAATTTAAAGATGGTTATGTTCCAGTTCGCAAATTGTAAACGTGTACTATGTACTATGGAAAACCATCATTTTTTATGGGTAAATCATGGTAAATCAACTATAAATGGCCACTTTCCAGTTCGCAAACTGTAAACGTTGACCAGGTCGGGTAACCTCGGCGGTGCCATTCCGGCAAGATCCGCCGGAATTCCTTGGGGCAGCCTGGCAGATCAGCGGGGAAGTGGTCATCATTCGATATCCATAGAGTTTATATCTTTGGTATATATATATATATGATTATACTATATATGATACAGTATCATTATATAGAAATATACCAGGTATAGTATCTTAAGGTATCATTAGATGTCCTAAGGTATCAATCATTACTTCACTATTAATATCTATTAATTATCCTAAGGTATCATTAGATATCCATACTATCAGGGGATCGTTTAAGTAATGATTGAGATGACATCCCCGCTGGCGAAAAAAAATGGGACCAAGCCACCAATCGGAGTCACCAGGGCTACTAAGGCAGTTACATATAGGTAAAATGATCCAAGTAACTGGTTAGAAGGGAAACCAGTAGTAAGATATGATTGGATTATGATATAATACCAGTAGTTGGTTACTATAATGATATGATTCTGATTGGATTGAAGGGAAAACCGACAGGAAACTGTGCTACTTATTACCAAGTTCTTACGTGCTAATAAAAGCTAACCTTCTGAAAAGGTGTCCTGTAAATTGTCCAATCAGCCAAGTCTGGGATTGTACCAACGACAATCCGAGAGGGCGCAACCAATAACTACATCTTTTTCCCCGGCATCGCTAAAACAGCAGCAATGGTCTAGAGATACAACAAACGCTAGGTTGTCTTCCTAGAGTTCAGCGATGCTTGCCTACAGTTTGATGTATACACTATGGAAATCTATAAAAATAAGTCACATGTTCTGGTCCACCATGTTTTCCCAAAAACGGTTTCTTCATGTTTTCTTCTAGAAAGTCACATCAAATCAATTGTTCCACTGGGGCATTTGAACTGCAATTCTCTGGGCCATCCTGGACTTCTGAATGAAGTGCTGACCAATGACGCTCTGACATCCAGGAGGAGCAACGGGGAACTTGATCCAATACAGCCGCAAAGTGTCGAAGCTGTCAGATGGAATCTGGATTTTTGGTTACCCCTCGCCATGCCAAGCCAACCCTGCGAAAGACAAAAACACACACACAAAACCACATCATTGATTTCAAACAAAAGCCGTTCAAGCCTTGACAGCAGTTTTTGTCCATTCAAGTGGGCTGAATCACACACAAACCACCGAATTTTCCCTCTGAGAAGCCAACACTTTTTCAATGCGGCGTTGGTGATGGTGACATTGAGCAAAAAACACCTGACATCCTGACACCGCTGCAGCCGTGCGCCTCTTGCGCAGCAGCTGCGGCAGGGGCAGGGGCAGGAAAAACAGCGCGGACGGTGCAACTGTTGTGATAACCTACTGGGGTTTTCCCTGAAGGAGTTCCAACTCAAAAAAAATGATGGAATGCCAGCCAAAGTGGGGGATAAATCAACAAAAAATGGATCAAAAGTCCAGAGCAGATCCTCCAGCAACTCATGCAACTGAAAAATGCCACTTTCAACGCGGAAATCATCTACAGTTTGGAACCAGTTTCCATTGAGATATGCGTTGGCTAAGGGGTAGTCAATTGCCGCCCCCAATGAAAGGCTTATCAAGCTGGGGCTGACATGAATCCTAGTGATGACTAGGCCCACCATGCACCATGAAACTGGGTAGGGAATCATTGTGCATCCTATGGAACACCTTCAGCCCCTAAAATAGCTGAGAAGGTATCAATTGCCGCAATCAAGCCAGCCACCTGCAACCGCTGGCCTTCAAACCCTCTGGATAAACTATAATTCTTCAGCAACCTGAAGTAAGGTCATGTGGGGATAGTTGCCCCCCTAGCGATCATTCCAGTAAGGCAAGGGCGAAATTTCACAACTCGCTTGATACCTTCCTTCCTGTGCTCTACAGGCAGCTTGGACGCAGCTTCAAAAGAACGCGGGAAGCAGCTGAGGCTCAACCCATGCTTCTATATCCCATTATATATCCCCATAGGTTCATTCATAGTGAGGTCAGGTGACTCAAATGCCCTCCTAGGGGATGATACTACACCTCAGAAAGTGATTCATCCCTTTCCCTGGCATCAAGCCCCCCATAAGCCATAGTAAGCCATAGTTTAGTAAGGAATTGACAGATATTTCGGGCCATTTAGGGTGTTCAATATAAGGGGAAGGACTTATTGCCATTACAGAGGTGGACGATCCCCATAATATTCTCACCATATACTATATTCATTCCTATGACATTGCCATTAATGTGAAAGAATTTCATAAACCATCCCCCAGTCATCACCATTTTGATAGGTGGTATATGTCTACCATTCCCAGTCATGGGTTGTAAAAATTACATTGTTTTACATTTGTGGGTATGAGTCAACTAAATATCCAGTGATTCATGGGATTTATGGAATAATTTGATATCCATTAATATCCACACACACATATATATAGTTATATATATATATATATGTGGACGGTCATTTAATATCTATTAACATCCATTAACCAGTTATAACCACATGATGATTATGGGTGGTTTCTGTTTTTCTTTCACCCACATGATCTTCGCATGCCAACCCTCTGGCCTCGGCTGCCTCGCCCGGCTGGCTACGCGGCTACGCGCTACGCATCGCTACGCCACTCCCAGCCGCGTGTCGAGCAGCCGCCGCAGGGAGTCCTGGGAAAGCATGCTGAAAAAGTCGCTCCTCAGCCGTTGGAGCAGCCTTTGGGTGGGAAAAAACTAACATTAGTTGAATTTTCAGGAATTGATGTTAGTTGAATAGTTAGTGGATTGTACTAATGTTGATAATTAGTTAGTGTCGCTAATTCTAATTTTCAACTAATGGGGATAGTAGTAGTTAGTGGAATTTAGAGGGACCATTAGTTAACATTTTAAGGACGATTCTAACTATCAGTAAACTAAGATAGAACCTGGAAAATCAGACAGTTTCCATAGAAGATCAGTAAATTGTCATAGTAACTAACATTAGAATATAGATATATATATACCCTATGGTTGTTTAACATAGCCATGGAAAATGGCTCATTTATAGTTGGTTTACCTATTAAAAATGGTGGATCTTTCCATGGCAAACTGTTAGTCATAACCAGATGGTAGTGGAATTTTTACAGGGACCCCCCTTGCTGATGGGACCCCCATTCCGAAAAAAGGAGCTTCGAAACCCTGTATGGGTTTACAGAATGGAAATAAAGGTCCCATCAGCCAGGGGGCCCCTGGAATATTCCAAGGATGATGTGGAACACCCATGGTTTCTATAGACCAAAATGATCTGCAAAAGGTGAATTTTTCCACACAAATAAGCTGTTGGAAGATTCTTTTCCACAAAAAACACTTGCTATTTGGCAAGGGTCTCTGTGAATCGGGTGAAGTAAAATCTCTCTAAGTATAATAGTTCAGAACTTAAATAGTATATTGACTAGCATATGATTATTTAAGCATCATCGAATTCCGCTTTAACCATATATATAATGCAGTTGTAATTATGATGAATTGCTATAACCAACAACCCACTAGTCACTAGTCCAAATATAATCCGGTATGGGCCTAATTTTGGGGTTGTCATCACGCGGGTTATGACTGATATAACCAGTACGATAAGGGGTTGTATTGGGTGCGCTGAACATAGAAATCCTTTAGATTCCATCCGTACACCTATTTTGTTTCAATGATGTACCTCGACCCTGAAATACCAGCATGTTCACAGCAACAATATGTTCATGGCTACATTGAAGGCAAAGGTGATTGCTAGAGCAAACCCCAGTTGCAGCTTGGGATATAAAAAAATCAGGGTGATTTTCCTTTCAGGTCGCGTAATGTAGGAGACTGTGATGTTTTAGAGAACATCAGGGAGGACGTTTTTGTTGGTCAAACATTCACAGCTTCCGAAGAAACTGGTGCCGGGGTACCCAGGGATCACTCATTTCTGGATCAATTGAGGATCGATTTTAATCACTGGTTGGTGGTGCAATAACCATCTTGAAAAATATAAGTTCGTCAATGGGAAGGATGACATCCCATACATTATGGAAAATAAAAAATGTTTGAAACCACCAACCAGATCAGTATAGATATTTTAAACATCCCCAACTAAATTGGAAACCAAAACAAATTAGCGCCACTGATTAACTACCCATCGCAAGCGGCGAGCTCAAAATAGCTGCCCATGAAGGCAGGATATTATATAACCATCCATCCTCATGTCTCCTGCATATCTTGCTTACAAATGATGCGCTCCAGAAAACAAGGTTTGTGTTGATGAGTTTTCCATAGTACATCATATGACTGGACAGAAACAACAATAGCTCACCAACCTGAAAGAATGTCATTTGGGATACTTGGCATTACATTTACCATGTTTTTTGTAACACTGCGGTGAAGTTGCTTTGATTTATCCAGATGTGATATTGCTGAAGCCCTCTTTTTCTCCAAATGTTCTTGATGATTCCCTCATAGCCTCATTTTGTGTAAAATATGTGGCTTTGCCCATTACAGCAGGGTTCGCCTTTTCCCCTTTAACGTTACCTTTAGAATATGGAGCTATACACCATTTTCAATCATGCCCACCAGAAGTCTTGATTATATCTCATTATAGTTATAATTCATATGATCTCATTAATTCTCAAAAATGATTCCATCAAATACCCATTATCTAGAATACCCATTTATATATCGGAGGGTATTTCTCATAATTATTAATTGATGGTCTAATTAATGAATGTATTCCATACTTCAACCATCAGATACCCTCCGCTTTTTTCAAAATGCTGGCCGGACAATTTTCCGTTCTTGGATGGTTTTTCCATGTTTTTCCCAACTATAAACCTCCATTGATTGTGCCATGTTTGACTACCCAATCATCGAAAAATATCCGTTTCTATCCGTTATTGCCATTATATCCCCATCAATTCCCATAAAATCCCCAGATTTGTTTTAAAAAGTTCCCATTACATCACGATATCCCCAGAAATTCCCATGATATCACCATTAAAATTCCCTTTAAAAAATCCATCAATTCCACATTAAATTCCGCCTTCAACAAGTTACAGCTCCTCTCTGGCCCAAGGCCAGGGTTGCGGCTCCGCAAACTCGTCTTCCTGGGATTCAATGGGAGATTCTATGGGGATATTTGATGGGGATATTCTAGGTTCTCTCTCTCTAATTTTTTGATGAGGATTGTCGATGGGATATTCTATGTTTTCTTTGGATATTCTCTGGGAATTCTCTGGGATATGTAATACATGGATCCGGGTAAATTATAATATTTCACTAACCTGAATAGTTCGGCTATTTGGGGATGATTCCCCGAATCCAAACCATGATTCCAGTGAGGGAGAACAGTGAGGTCGTTATAATTTACCCAGATGGATAGAATATCACTACAACTATGGTTAACATCATCTAGAAAACGAGTATAATTATCCATGTCATAAACTATGGTTTATTATTTGTTTGGCTGGGTTAATCCATGGGATATTAATCATCATCTCCGGGAGCCGTCTGACCGGGTGAGACAAAAAACGGTTCATTTCGGATTTCGGCTGGGCAAACCAGAGCTGTCGAGCGAAAATCATCGATTTCGAAATGAGCCGTGGGTTTTTACCATCAAATTTAGTGGTTTACCATTAAATATAATTGGATTTCAATGGATTGTGAAACAAGGGAAAATTTCTTGACCGGTTTCACCTCCATATGAAATTCATGGGGAAATTTTGATGGTTTCCCGTGAGATTTTCCCTTCAGAAAACCAATGCATTTTTTATGTTTGATTCCAAGAGGCGACGACTTTGAAGATCATGATCATGACATATTCGTTGGGGTATATATATATATATAATTTTTGGGCAAACCCTTGAACTGCTTGTCTTGCAACCGTGGCAATCTGCCAATCACAATCGATGGGCCCCCTTTCTGGATGATTAACATCTATAAGGGTTGTACGCATGGATCTCAATGGTTGGTAACAACCTTTGTGCCCAGCATGATAAAGATAAGGCTATTGCTATCTCTTACAAATGGTTGTGAAGCTTTATCTAACTAGGCAAATTATAACCACTTCCCATCCACCGTAGCCACATATCATGGTATGATTGAATAGATTCCTTTAAGCCAGATAGTTATCAAATGTTTACCAACTATTATTGATATTAGTCCATAATCACGTGTTACCTGGGGTAATTATTAAATTTGGTTGGTGGTTTTTCGCCACCCCTCTGAAAAATATGAAAATCACGTCCCTTGGGATGATGACATTCTCAATATATGGAAAAATAACAGCCATGTTCCGAACAACCAACCAGAGTTAATATTGATAATATACCTAATAGTTCCTATAGTGGTAATAAACCTGGTAAATAACTGATACTAGTGGTAATACTAGTTACTATAGTGGTGTAATATTACAGTTAATTAACTATTATGTGGTAGACATAGTATATATTGTAAACCGTATATATTTAACTACTAGTGGTAATATACCAAAATAAACATGGTAAATAACTAATAACTAATAGTTAATATTGATAATATATCGTTTTGAATTGACATGGTTCATATTGCCATGGTTCATATTGGGGGGGGGGTCCTGTAGAATTTTCCCTTAAACCAAGGATGATCACATATTATGATGTATTTTTAAACTTAAATTATACATAAGCAATCTACCAACCCCTGATTCTTATATTATAGACATACATAAGCTACGAATTATTCTTACCCCATGGAAAAATCCATGGGATGTTCCAGTCACCTGTCCAATATTCATTTCTACAAAAATCACCAGCCATGTTACCAGTCATTGGATTGGCTGAAGGGAACATCTTCACCGGAAACTCAGGTATTTTTTACCATGAAACAAATGGGGAATGTCCAACCGGTTGTTTCCGGCTCATCCCTTGAACCAATCCAAGGGATGCCGATGTTCAGCCGGATGTTTGGGAATAATAACTTGATATAACTTGATATACCCTCTGGTAATTTAACAGTTTGCTATTGAACATGGTGATTTATAGTGGATTTATGGTAACCGACAGAATTATGGAAAAAAAAAAACGTTCAACTTAGACAGGCGGCGCCTGCGTCCGATTTTTCCATAATTAGGTTTTTCCCCATAAGGGTTCAAAATATCCCGGAAGTGATCCGAACCTTTTTTTTTTCCATAATTCTTGGAGGTGGCCATTATTTCCATAATTGATTTTTCCTGTAAAATCAGGGGGCTAGGGCAGATTGACCGGTTTTTTCCATAATTATTTTTTCCATAATTATTTTTTCCATAATTAATGTTTGGGGCTCCACCTGTTGGACATGTCATGGATCCACAATTCAATTATTATGGAAATATGTATGCAAATGCATATGTAGTATCAACCCAATTGGTGGCTTGGCAACATCCATGATATTATGTATATCAATGGAAGACTTAGGGGCATATACCAGATCTTTAGACACAATTTTCTATAATTCAATATTCCCCCTTAAAATGCATTCAAATTGCGAACATCACATGATATGTATATCAATGGAAGACTTAGGGGCATATACCAGATCTTTAGACACAAATTTTCTATAATTCAATATTCCCGCCTTAAAATGCACTCAAATTGCGAATCGATGGACATACAGTCACCGACAGAATTATGGAAAAAAAAATAATTATGGAAAAAATAATTATGGAAAAAAAAAGGTTCGTAACTTTTCTATCATAGACAGGCGGCGCCTGTAAATTGAAACGTTTTTTTTTTCCATAATTCTGTCGGGTGCTGTACCCATTGAAAATGGTGATTTTCCATAGCTATGTTAAATTACCAGAGGGTAACTTGAGAAAAAAAAAACTGGTTGGAGGTGACTGGAACCATGGGAATTTTGTGGTTGACTTTCCAGAAACAGTTGGGAATGGAAAAACATGGAAAAACAATCTCAACTGACGAACTCCATGATTTTTCAGAGGGGTGGCGAAAAACCACCAATCTGCTTGGTGGTTTGGAACGTGAATTTCATTTTTCCATATATCCAGTCACATGTCCAATATTCATTTCCCCATGAGATCACCGGTTGGTGGTTTTGAGCCACCCCTCTGAAAAATCATGGAGTGAGTTCGTCAGTTGGGATTGTTTTTTCCATGGGGTTATATCAAGTTATATCCCAACATTATCCCAACTTATGAGGCTTCGAGGGTTCAGTTCACTATGTTCAGTTAACTATATCCCATAAAATCCATGGTGCTGGTATATATGCCAACATGACTGGGGTATATTGATGGGATCCATGTTACCATATATAGCAGCACCATGGATCCTATGGGTATGTTACTATCATTCCCCATCAGATCACCATATCCCCAGGGGCCACCGGAAATCCACCGGCCGTTCTCCGGCCTCATCTTGGACACCACGAGACATCCAACCACCCAGACAGGCGAAGCACATCTCTGGGAGCTGAGCGCCCTGGCGATAATAACCACATGTCCACACACACACACACATATCTTATAATATATGTACCGAATATATATATATAACTATATGTCATAGACATAGATGTATATCTTTTTTGTGCTCATAGTCCTCTGCCTCCTCGATCTGCAGGGTGCGTCGAACTGTGGACTCCACCTCTGACCGAAGTTCCTGGAGCGACAGGCGCTGAGCCTCTTTTTCGTTGGCTGTTAAATCCCACAAAAAGAAACAGAGACCAAGGATTTGTTATATGATTTACGGATTATTCACATGATTTTGAGATGATGTACATGATTTTGTATGTAAAACATCGTAAAACTAGATGGTAATGATCGATTTCACATCTTCCGAAGGTTTCGACATACTCTTGCCCACATGTCTGATCATGTCTGGGTATATCGTGTGGGTGACGCCACAGTTCTAGATCCATAAGTGAGGTAAACTATGGTAAACTCCGAAAAAACATCTGGGGAATTACATCTGGAGCACCTGCATCAGCACCCGTCGTTGCTGCTTCCAGCGTGGATCTCGATGTGGCACGCCTTGCAGGATGCCATCACCTAAGACGTCGGGAGGGGAATGCCCAGCTGCCCAGCGAATTTCTGGAAACATTGATGGAAACCGTTATGAAACGCCTGTGAAACCTCTAAACCTCTATATGAAACCTCTATTCAGTCTATGTTTGATGAAAAAAACATGGCTTTTAATGGGTGTATCATTTCGATATGACACTTTTGGGCATTCTCTCCAGTAGTCACGCGAACTTTCGTCGTTCAGGATTGACACGGGAGGGATTTTTGTTGGAGGATTTCATCGACCAAGGGTGGACAAAACGGGGCGAACGAAAACGTTAGCAACTGCAAATACAGATTGATCAAATTATCTGTGGTATTAATATTTGGATGGTATTAATATATGTTATTTGCATCCATTTATATTCACCAAATTGATACCCTCTGGTAAACGTTTACATAACAAACTGGAAAGGAAAGATCCTCCATTTTCTAGCTGGGAAAATCCACGATTTCGACTGGGCCATGGCTTCAATAGCTATATTACCAGAGGGTAAATTGGGATGCAATATCATCTGCAGTCATCACTGGTAGTCATCACTGGTCGTCATCACTGGTGATCCAGCATGACCCCGTAGTTGTATCTAAACGATCATCCCAAATATCATCCATAGTTATAGACTAAGTCGACTAAGTATCTGGAAGGGTTGTATCCCAACCATTCCCAACATGTTGAAACATAAGTTTAAATAAGGACGCAAACCGACTCTGCCTTGCAATGGCCAAACCCGTCTCTGCAAAATGTTTTGGGGGACTCAAGTTCCCAAACAGCAGTTGGGTGGAACAATTGTGCGTATTCAATATACATATATATATATAGCGTGTATATATATATTTATATTATATAGTGTATATATATATATATGTATGCCCGCAGCTGTTGATTCCCATGGATTTCCCATGCCGCGGCACGCCATCCCGGCCCTGCTTCTCGGTAGCGCTCCTAAATATGGGATGTAGCCATCAATTTAGACACCATGTCATGATTAACTGGTTGGTATATTTATATATAAGTCTATCTAACCTAATCTATATTCATCATGTATATTTTCTAAATTATGATATGTAATGATTATTTTTACATATATGATATTAATATGATATTAGTCTAATTATTACTAATATATATATATATATGTGATATATAAAAGTTAGACTCTCTCTCTCTCTTTTATATATATATGCATATCTATCTCTCCCTCTCTCCATCTCCATCCTGGAGGCTCAGCATCGCTGAGATGCTACAGTACGCGGCCTATTGAATGTAAACATGTTGGTATATGATCAATGACACAATGGCATGATAATGTCATGATACTGTCATGATATATGATCTATGAAAATTATATATATATATATATATACATTTCTAATGATTAACGCTGGTATATTAGAGTCATTTCAGAAAGACTTTAAAGGACATGTTGGTGAAACCTCATGTTTGATGCTTGGTTTCCAGTAGTGGCTAGTGACGGCTGGTTGCTGGTAGGGATTGGCAAACGTTTGAGACTGCCAATCAGTGATGGTAACATTATGCAACCATGGCATCAAGAGTGACAGTAAGACTGATGCAACATATATATATATATCCAACAAATTTGACACTAATGAAATAAACAATGTGTAATTCAAGGGATGCTATTTTGTTTTAATGCATGGACTTCAAACAATCCCCGTCCTCAAAGAGTTTGTCCATGTGGGTGACCAACACCAGAAGTCCTCAACTGGAAACTGCGCCCGGAGACCGAAAAAAAATGGGAAACCTGGAATTCAGAAGGTAAACATCATCTACTCGGCCTGGTAAACGTTAAACCCCTTTGCGACATAGAACAGTTTACCATAGTTTACCCAGTCGAAATAGTTGATTTACCCAGTTACCTATTAAAAATGGTGGATAACTTCCATCGTTTTTTGTGGACTGTTTACCAGGCCGGGTATCCCATCTTGATCCGTTCTGGAAACGCATTCCGATCTGGGGGGAACCACATCCGAGCCAGGATCATCCGAGTCCCAACTCCTTGGAACCCTTCACACAGCAGCGCTTAAGCACACCACATCACAAAAAAACACATCTGTTGATTGTTGTTGATTCACTGACATTCATGATCTGGTTGGTGGTTGAGCCCTACCCCTCTGAAAAATGATGGAGTTCGTCAGTTGGGATGATGACAATCCATATATTATGGAAAAAAATGTTCCAAAGCACCAACCAGTGATCATCATTGGATTGGCTGAAACCAATCATGATCATGATCATCATGGCTAAAAAACATCACAAAAAATCACTGACATTCATGATCATGACAACATACTGAGTATTACAAATCATCTTTTTTCAGAGTGGTCAGACCGATTCAAAGATCCCATCATTGGGAATGGATTGGTTTAAGGGAAAATCTTAACCGGAAACCCATGGGTTTTTTACCATCAAATATTTCGGGCTTTCCGGTTTATTAATTTTCCCATCATCCAATTCTATGATGGGAATGCTGGATTGCCTGAAAAATATTAGTCAGTTGGGATGATGACAATCCATATATTATGGAAAAAAATGTTCCAAAGCACCAACCAGTGATCATCATTGGATTGGCTGAAACCAATCATGATCATGATCATCATGGCTAAAAAACATCACAAAAAATCACTGACATTCATGATCATGACAACATACTGAGTATTACAAATCATCTTTTTTCAGAGTGGTCAGACCGATTCAAAGATCCCATCATTGGGAATGGATTGGTTTAAGGGAAAATCTTAACCGGAAACCCATGGGTTTTTTACCATCAAATATTTCGGGCTTTCCGGTTTATTAATTGTCCCATCATCCAATTCTATGACCATTGGGAATGCTGGATTGCCTGAAAAATATTAGTCAGTTGGGATGATTATTGCATATATTATGGAAAAAATGTTCCAAAGCACCAACCAGTGACCACCATTGGATTGGCTGAAACCCTATGACCCTAGGATTTACCACCGAACAAACCCACCTATCCACTGCAGGATTTCACCGAGTATCGCTGGGTGGACTGGGCAATCCCTGAGACCTGAGGTGACGGGAATCCACCGGATCCCCTAAGGAACAACCAAGAAAAATCTGGTTCAAAGAATGTCATGTTTACCATCCCCAAATCATCAGAATCTAAATAGGTGCACTATTTTTAACAAATCTAAATATTATAAGTGTTATATTTTTATCATTCCAATATATGGCATATATATGGGTGGTAAGTAAACATGACATTGTGAAAAACCACATGTTTGGTGGCTGCAGTGGCCAATGATCATAGTTCCGTTGGCCAAAAATCATGCCTTCGGAGAGTTCGCGGCAACAAGATCCATGAAGGGATTGGCCAATGATTGAGCCGTCACCAATGGATTAAACCATAATGAAGATAGCTAAAAACCCCTAACTCCTACCATCTGGTTATGACTAACGTAGCCATGGAAAATCACCATTTTTCATAGGTAAACCGTAAACCATCTATAAATGGGCCATTTTCCATGGCTATGTTAAATAACCAAGGGTAATTCTTGTAGATTAATCTGGTTGGTGGTTGACCTACCCCTCTGAAAAATGATGGAGTTCGTCAGTTGGGATTATCATTATTATTCCCAAAAAATGTTAAAAAACTGTTATTATTATCATTTATATGGATGATATGTTTGGGATTAACAGTTTATTTTAACAAAAAAAATGTTCCAAACCACAAACCAGTTAATGACGTGAATCATTGGGATACCAGTCGTATGATCATTGCAGTGTTCGTTGAACAACATACCACGAACATTGTATACAGGATAATTGCATGTACTTGACACATATCATTTCATTCTGAATTATCACATGTTTGAAACCATTAGTTATTAATAGTACCCTGTGGTAATCTAACACTATCTAACATAGCAATGAAAAATGACCCATTCATAGATGTTTTTTTTTTTACCTATTCTCTCTTGGTCATTTCCCATAGCAAAGTGTTAATTACCAGGCAGTAAATCCCAAAAAAGAAACCCCATTCTATCTCCATCCCAAAAAAATCCCCATTGCTTACACTCCTCCATTTTCCCACAGATCTTTAAATCCCATAAATGCCATAAAAATTATATCCCATGATTTCCCATGGTTTCCATCGTTTTCCCACATGTTACATCTCATACAATGTGAGGCCCCCCAGTTATAAGTTGGTTTACAAAAAGCCCCAGTAACTAGTTCGTTACAAGTACCATAAACCATATAGTTATTGGAGTTATGTTCACCAACTTAGATATCTTTGGGGCCTCACATTGTAGGCATAGCATGGTGCATCGACACGGCTTCGTCCGGTCGGCATCCAAGGTGCAAAACGGTAGGCTTCGTCCTTGGTATGTCGTCCAGCTCGCAGCACCCACAACAAGGTCACCTGGGACTGGTATGGACTGATGAATTGTTGGCTGGAAGGCTGGAAGGATTCAAAAAACCATAGTTATATATATATATATATATCACACATAGTATCTCAGTCTCTCATAGTATGGTTCAAAAACATTCAAAAACCACATGACTATGATACTATGGCTTCATAGTTATGGGATCCTATGGGTTCAAAATGATTCAAACACCACATAACTATGGGTGAATGAGTTGGAAAAAAAAACATTTATAAACATATTGTAAAAACGAATTGAGGTGTTGCAAATCCAATGCAATCTTTTTTGCTAGGCCATTTGTGAATTGGATTGTATGGTATAGTTATTAGATAATCCTGGGATGATAGTTTGATACTAATGGATAATTACAGGATGACTATGACTTGGTGAAGTCTTGGGTTTGGGAATAAAGAGATATATATATATATAGCTCCCATAAGTTAATAAGCATTTATAAACTCACTTATAACATCCATAACATCCACATGTGGTAAGCCGCCATCGCCAATCATAAACCATCGCCCATGGAGGTTGATTATTGGGTATACCGGTATACCCAATAATATGGTTAATGATGGTTAATGACATGGTTATACTGGTATACCATTACCAAAATCAAATGGTTGGTTAATGGATGTTAATGGTATGGTTTATGATTGGTTTCACCACATTAGTTTGTACAGTACAGCACGCCCCTCCCCCCAAAAACAAATGGTAGAAAAGGATCAGACAATTTGTCACTTCCTTTGGTTGGATTTGATTTTCAATGCCAAATAATCACCGTCAAAAGCTGTTTTGGAGGATCTTTTTCTGCGGTACCAGCACGAAGCATTGGAAAGAAAGGCAGAAACACCCATGCAACATCCCTCTCCTATGGGTGTGTCTAAAAATGGTGTATATCTCCAAATGATCATTTTATATGTTCCAGTCGCAGGAACATATTTTCGAAACATGTGATTAACCTCTGGATTTCGGAATGCCATAATACCATATTTTCGGACACAGCCATATATGTGCATCGGGGGTTGTCAATGCTACCAAGTAGCATTACTCCCGAGCCAGTCGCAGGCTCGCAACAACAAGCGCCCCATGTCGTTTCCTTAGCGCAGGTGCAGGTAGGCTGGACGGGCGGTGCGCTTGGAACAATGGATAGATGATCGTTGATTGCCTATTATACTAGGGACTTAACCATGTCTTATCATTTCTTTTTTTCACAATTTCATGAACTCCGCCCATCAACGTGGTGAAACAAGAATGAGCCTCCATGTTGTATGTCGTTCACTTTCTCGAGCCACAGGAAATGGTATTTAAACGTTTCCAACTCTGAACAACACTACCACCACGGCCAAAACGTGTATAATTCAATCGTGCCAGCCATTGTCTCCTTTCCAAACAATTCTTCATCATCCCAAGTTTTGTAATTCTTACCCACAAAAGCCAAAATCCCATAAAATGTTGGAAAATCATTCCAATCAACACACTCAACCTAGCTTTAATATATAATATATCCCACTACTTCCAAGAACAAAGTTAAACGTTGTCGTCCAAGTAAAGCCTTGACTTTACTTAAAGACACTCATTGACTGCTGATTTATATACCATTTGGCCATACTAAAGGTCAAAAAAGGGTGACCTTTCCCCTGAGCCTAATCGAATACGTAAATAAACATATGTGGTTTCCATGCTCAAGTTTTTGATTGGTTTTCACGGGTTTTTCACTGTCTTTTCACGGGTTTTTCACGGTCGTTTCACGCACTTTTCACGCTCTGGGTTTGGAGTGGGATTTGTTTGAAACTCTGGAGTCCGGTATATATTTGTACTAGTACTCATTGGGTCTGATAATGCCCAGTAAACACATGTCGCTTCCAAAGACCAAGTTAAACTTTGTCGTTGTGAAAGCCCCAGTTAAACTTTGTCGAAGACTGAGTGGGATATCATAATAATATATCCATAAATTTTCAGCTCCCATCTATTCGCATCTCCCATGACCATGTTTTTCTCCTCGGAACGCGAATCTCCGCATATCTCCGCGACCTTGGGCCGCGGGCCGCGGACCCGAAACAAGATGCGGCTGCGAGACGGAGCTGGAGCTGGGCCATCTCTTCGTTGCTTCGTGTTGAAGACTATCTCCATTCCCATGACGGATCCATGGTGCTGGTAGAAAAATGCTAACATGACTGGGGTATATTGATGGGATCCATGTTACCATATATAGCAGCACCATGGATCCTATGGGATTGTTGTCTATCTGTTCAACTATTTCCTTTCTTTCTGGAGTAACCCCAAAAAAGATTGAGTAAAATCACACCCAAATGTAGGTATATATACCATACATGGATCCTATGGATTATGTTTAACATCCAGTCCAAATACATCCCTTTCTCCAAAAACTGCGTCGTCCACCTCCTCTGCACCATGCCATGCATCGACCGCGTTGCGGTTGCCACCCCGCGCTGCAAACAGCAGAGCTGTTTGGGTGGGATCTGAATTCGGGATCGACCCGGCCATGAAAAAATAGGGAAACCTGAATGAACAGCAGCCATTTAATAAAAAATGCAACCAGAAACGCTGGTCTTGAAACCTTCTGAAATGTGTGAAAGTGGATCTAGAACTTGCAAGAACTTCAAATTGAGGTCGACCGATCCCAGGATCAATTTTTCCTTGTGGAGCGCAGCGGACACAAATCGACAGTAGAGATGGGAAATCCACTACAAATGGAGCTAGGTTTTTTATGGGAACATATGTTATATTGCTATGTTTGATTGTAATATTTCCATATATTTTTTATGGGAACGATTGGGAACGGATATATAAATAAATATATACGTATGTTTTTCCATTGCCACGTTTGATTACCATTGGGTTATAGTTCATGATACTTCGTGATATATCTGAACGTTTAGCTCGCCCCAATAATCCTCCACGGCTTTTTCAAAAAACCTTGAAAGACATCAGAGGAAACTCTGAAGAAATATCTCATTATATCTCATGCGCATGTCCAATACAGAACCTATTGATCTACATTCAGTCTTTTGATGCAAATAATGTATGGTGTCATGTGTATTTTATCTGTTTCTCAGAAAACATCGCAAACACCAAGGAGAAAGTGCCCACCACTTCAAAGAACATCAGCCAGCTGGCTCCACTGTATAGTTGTACAGGCTTCCTGCCATCTTGGCAGGTGAAACAAAAAAGGTCGGCTCGGCTCGACTTCTTGTCGCTGCGGGTGGAGCGGGGCCACTCTTTCAGAAGATCTTCGCAATTCTTCCCTTTTCAAATGGACTGGGGCAATTCGAACTTTGCCCCATCACTTTATGTTTTTTGAAAGTTTTGAAAGAAAACGGATTTTTTTCAACATTTGCCGCAATGTTGAGCAAAGTTTCTTAACTTTCAACATGATTTCAGCCGCCGCAGTTTACCATCATTAGTTCACATCCCCAGGGTCCTCCGGCACCCTCCGGCCTGGGATTCATTCATTCAATGCCTGGGACCCCTCCTTTTTTGTCGGTGAAAACCGCGTTTAACCAGGTTTAACCATCATCATCATCATCATCTCACCATTATCATCTCCATTTATAGAGGTTTTGGTAATTTCCCTCCATAATTCTCTCCAGTTGGTGGATTTCCCACATTTTCCACAGATTTTCCCAGAAGGTTTCTATGATGTTCCATAGTTCTTCCACATTTTTCCATAACAAAAAATCCTATGTTTTTCCGGTGTCCATATTTTTGTCCATGTCTTTTTTTCCGATGTTTTTCAATCCCAACTTCTCTTGGCCCCGCAGCTTTTCACGTCTAGCGCAGTGTGTTTGTTGGCTTCACTCGTGGCCCAGCTCTTCTTCCAACTCTTCGATGCGGCGTTGTAGGGCGATGATCCTCGAGGATTTTTGGAAGAAAGGAATGATCAGTCTTGATGGTTATGATATGTTATGAACTGATGGTTAATAATGGTTAATGCCATAATGATGGTTAATTATCCAGTAATGATGGTTATGATGGTATAATATGGTTAGGAACCAGTAATATTCAATCCAGTAATAATCCAGTAATTATTGTTCATTATGATATGATATGTTATGAACAATAATCATCCAGTAATGATGGTTATGGTTAATAATCCAGTAATGATTAGTGGCTTATTATTATATTTTAACTATAATTACGATAGTTTGGAAATTATGTGGCAATGATAATGGATCAATGAAAAGGGCTGGAGATTCTAATGGAAAAGAACTTCATTCCGGCAACCTCCAATGAAGGGAGCCAACTTGTGGCGCCTGATCATCAAGTCTTTTCATTCCAAGACCAAAAGGATCCACACATGATAATCCCTGAAACCTAGAAGATCAATTAACATCACTGGATTTGTCAGAAAATAGGCTATCCCCTAAAAAAAAACATTGGCGATTCATCATGTTCCCATATTTTCCCATATTTTCCTATATGTTACATGTTCCTATATTTCCTATATTTTCCCCATATGTTTAGCATTAAATTGACCACAAAAAGGGGCTCCCCCAGCCCTTCCCGAGCGTTCCGTCCCAGTTTCTGCTGGTGTACCGAGGTTTTCTCCCCTTTCAACGCCGTCACCTGACGGAAGAAAAAACCAGGTCCCGAGTCCGGTGCTGGATCCCTGTAAGTCAGCCCTTGGCGAAAATCGTGGTAATATACAGTTAATTTTGATAATATACCAAATAGTTACTATGACCATGGATATGCATCACCTTCTAAATTTGGCCTATTTCTATACATGGCTATTTATTACACTTATTGATATTCATGATGATAGTTGATGATAGTTGATGATAGTTGATGATAGTTGATGATAGTTGATGATAGTTGATGATAGTTAATAATAATTGGTTGGTGGTTGACCTACCCCTCTGAAAAATATGAGTTCGTCAGTTGGGATGATGACATTCCCAATATATGGAAAAATGTTCCAAACCACCAACCCGAGTTAATATTGATAATATACCTACAGTAGTAGTTCCTATAATGGTAATAAACCCGGTAAATAACTGATACTAGTGGTAATATTAGTTACTACAGTGGTGTAATATATGGTAATATATAGTTAATTAACTATTATGTGGTAGAAATAGTATATATTGTAAACCGTAGTAGATATTTAACTATTGGTGGTAATATACCAAGATAAACATGGTAAATAACTACTAGTTAATATTGATAATATATAGTTGTGCTTTGACACATAGTTAATATATAGTTGTGACAATATGGAAAATAGCTGATTTACAATAACCATATGGTTTTGGCGAAAATAGTGGTACTATACCAAGAACATCCAATAACCATATGGTGTTCAGATGTGTTCAGTATGGCATATACGCTAAGCATATGGAAAATAGTTGATCTACTACTATGGAAAATATGGTTTTTCAGTATGGTTCAAAATATATGAATACAATATGAACAATATGGGGCACTTAATATCTGACAATTTTGGATGGTTTAAACACCTGGCTTTAGTAAGTAAGTATGACTCAAAATGTCATACCCTCTGGTAAACTAACATAGCTATGGAAAATCACCATTTTATAGCTGGGTAAATCCACTATAAATGGCCATTTTGAATAGCTATGTTAGTCATTACCAGAGGGTATGTTTAGGGCCGATTTCTTTTTTTTTGCAGCCGGCATGGTCCATCCTTATGACAAAAATATGTGCCGCCCACCTGCTGCTGAAGTCGAACATTCTCAGCTTGCTGCAAGCTGGACTGGACCTGACCAGTGTGGCGACCGCCGGTGTGGCAAAAACAGAATTGGTTCCCATATCCACTGGGAAAATGGTGATTTAACCACTAGGAAAATGGTGATTTTATGCTGGTTTAATAGTGATCTAATGGGATTTATATATCCTCTGGGAATTGAACAGTTTGCTATTGAACATGGCCATAGAAATAGTTGATTGATGCAATAGCTATGGTATGTTCCAGTAATTGATGTAGTAAAAATAAATGATTTATAGTTATAGCCACAATTGATCTAGAAAAAATGGTGATGTTCCAATGAATATGAGAGTTTGCCGGAGGCTATCCGGCATACCAATCTGACTCATGCCATGCCGAAAGCCTAGGGAACGGACCTCTACACCAGGATCTGGGTCATGGATGGTGATGGTACTTCCAAACCAAACCCTCCGAAAAAACACATACAAATCTCACAGGTCGGCATATGTCGGCATATATGATTCATATGAATTTATGGAACTGGTTCAAGGAGCATGTGAAACCCACCAATCAAACAGCATCAAACAGCATCAACCAGCTACAGCACAGCCCCAAGGCCTCAAACTCTTGCAGCATCCGTTGGATGTCGGCCCCGAAGTAACGCTTCACGTCGTTCAGCTGCGACTGCATGCCTCGTCCGTCCAAATGGCACCAGCGGCAGGCGCAGCAACCAGTGGCACTTGCTGTTGCAAGATGTTCTGATGGGAACATGGTTGATCTTGTGGGGAAAAGATGGTGGGAGGAACACATTGATTCAACTTAATGGATATCATGCAAACAGCATAGTGAAGTTTGCTGGAGAAATGGGCCCCAACATTCAGCATGTCAGCATTCCATCAACAAAGTAAACATAATTATGCCAGTCAGTAGCGATCCCACGGCATGGGCAATGGCACTCAGACATTAGAAAATTGACGCTGAGACAATGGCATCACAAAGAACAAACAATAATCAGAAAACAGTCAAGAAGGACAGCTTCATGTTTGTAATTTGATCGTATGTCCCAAAGCTGATGAAACAGAACCTGTTTTTATTCCTGGTCCTTTCCTAGCATATTGTCCATATAGATGGGACCACGTGGGGTTTCAACAAAATGACTTGGAAATAGCTGGCCTTGGTTTAAGGAACCAAAAATTATCACCGGAAACATCAGGAAACACTGATTTTTTTTGCATATCTAGACAGAAAATTTCTGCGGTCTTTTCTGAAACCTGTCCAGCATCCAGCGCCGAGCGACCAGTGGTGGAGTTGTTGTTGCCCGACTTGATGCTGTGAACCTCGGGAAGCCAGTGAAGATATGCAGAGTGATGGGTGTACCCTCTGGTAAACGTTTACATAACTATGGAAAATCACCTTGTTTAATGGGTAATTCAACTATAAATGGCCATTTTCAATAGCTATGTTTGTTTACCAGAGGATGTATATATATATATTGAACATGTGAAACTGCCAGAAATTTATAACAACATTCCACTTCACCGTTCGGTTGGTAAACGCCTTTATTGATGTTTATAAGTATCACCCATGCTATACCTCCTCCACATTTCTCCACTATATCCCTAATGAAAGTCCGGTTGTCTCTAAAATTATCCGATAAAACCAAACAATACACAACAAACTATATGAGTAACCTCAGCCTGTAAAACCCCCTTCCATTCCCATTATATTCACATTATGTCCCAATTTTTAAAGTCCTATTGTCCAATAAAACTATCCATTAATGACAACATGACAAGTTCACCAATGATGGGCACTGACAATTTATAGAATACTTTCCCACTAAGAAAAAATAACCTGTGGATTTTCCACTCTTCCACTATGAATAACAACTTATTGATAACTGATACCCCCTGGTAATTTAGTATAGCTATTGAACATGGCCATTGAGTTCGTTGATTTACCTATCAAAAATGGTGATTTTCCATGGCAAACGGTTAGTTTACTATGGAAAACCACCATTTTATGAGTAAATCAACTATAAATGGCCACTTTCCATAGCAAACTGTTAGTTTACCAAAGGCTATTCACCACATCCATTCCCCACTCTCCACAGCCGCCGGCTGCCGCGGCACATGGCCCTTCTCCACTCCCAGCGCTTCGTTCTGCGACTGCAGCGTGGTCGCCAAGTCGTGCACCTGGCGGAAAAAAGTTGCCGAGCTTTCCTTTAAGCAATCAACATGGGTAAATATTGTTGGGTTATAATATACATATGATATGTATATATATATATATATGTGTACCTATGTAGTGTATGGTGGTATACAATATGTGTATATATATATACCCTATAGCCTATGCCCCTATATATATACATAATTATACATACACACCCATATGATATGCTCCATGTATGGAATGTTTACCAACATTTACACCCCAATAGTGGCCCAAATGTTGGTAAATATTCCATACATGGAGCATATGGGATATGTACAGTAGATATGTGAAGATAAACGTCGGAATATATAATCATAACTAATCATACTGGCATGGTTATATCATATCCATAAGAAATATGATCAACTTGTAGTTATGCTTCTATATATAATATCACTGTGAGAATATATTAGTACGGGTTACAATATATATATATATGTATACATGTATATATGTATATTGGTTAATATAGCCGCTTTGGTTATATAAAATAACAATGGTTCAAAGAACCATAAAGAAACGCAAACACACACACACATGTATATATATATATACACATGTGATTGCAAATCAACATAAATGACTGTGTCTGAGCAGTAAGAAGCAATGTATATACTGGGGTATAACCATCACTAAGTGAGGCCCATCGTTGTCAAATCGGAGCGGTTTCATCACATGGCGGGGAAATCACCCAGAAAATCACCCATGATTTTCCAGCAAGCCATGTTTGATCACCAAAGGGTTACCATCGATACTGGAAAATCAGGATAACTACTTCAAAGTGTGAATCTTGTGAAGTTGATATTCCAATGGATGTCATGGTGAAAGCTAAGTGACATCAAACATCTCGCACGTGAGGAACCTTTCGCACCCTTTGTTGCTGATCATGTCTTAACCTGGACACCGACACCTTCCAGAGAGTCATCATCTGGTCATCATCCCATGGGTCAACCCATGGTCAAAATTAGCCGAGATTTATCTGTTGAAAGGTAATTAATCCCGTACCCCAATTACTCAATTGGTTGCACCCTCATTGTGTTGTCCATTGTGTTATCCTATGTATAAATCTCCTACTGGCCAGCCTAAGCCACCCTTTCTACGGGGTGTTTAACATTAGGGGGATGGGATTTGGGAGTCTTATGACCATGCTCGGGATACCCTGCAGTCACGGACCCGTCGTCATTTTGTGGCAACACAGCCAGCGGGCCGTCTGAAAACGCAGCCCAAACAAAAGCCGAAGCCACCAGGATGCCGAAAAATCGAAAGACAAAACCTAAACTTGCTTCAAACCCGTGCAGTTCAGATGAATACGCCACTTGGGTCACTTGGGCCACTTGAGTTTTTTATTGCTGGCAATCTCATTTGGACATGGAACATGGCACATTTACATCCATTTCCCCATCTCACCATCCCCCAAAAAACACATGGAACAGGATGATTTCGCGGTGCATGGACCCTGGCGGCCCTGGCGGCACTGGCGTCTTCAACTGAGAGTCGAAGTTTTTCGTGCGATCTTCCACTGTGGTTTGAAGGGAAACCTACGGGAAACCATTGTTTTGCCATCAAGTATAACCTGGTTGCTGGTATACCTACCCCTCTGAAAAATATGAGTTCGTCAGTTGGGATGATTATTCCCAATATATAGGAAACTTAAAAAATGTTCCAAACCACCAACCAGATAAAGTTTTTCTGTGAACATGTCCCATTAAACTTAAACCAATCCAATGATTCATGGATATGCCGCGCCACTCTAAACATGTCAAAATGTCCGATGTGAGCTTCTTCCAGTTGTCCGAAGTGTCCCATGATCCATTCATTCAACTAAGCAATCCAAGGTTCACACAAACAAAAGCAAATGTCAATCATTTATGAAGCCAACACCAACCGACAAAACATACATGTCTGATCATGACCAAACTCCAATTTCCGTGAATCAACTGCCAGCAACTGTATGACATGACCACATGAAAACTTCAACTCCACTCGAAACGGATATGGGTCAGAATTGGCTACACCTTCAAATGGCTTAGGAATTTTACAATTCTATAAATCTCATCATCAATTCTGTGGTTTGATTGTTGGGCTTCGATGATTTTGACATATTTTGACCCATCTCCCAGACGTCAGAAATAGGTGACCCGTTCGTCCCAGCTCTTGGGATCCTCATCCTCTTCGTCCCATTGATCCCAGTCGTCCATCTCTGGCAACTCCACATCTTCATCCGTGCCGCCTTGGTGTTTCAAGGCGCTTTCGGAAAAGAATGAATATATGATATATGTTCCATGTTTTTGTTCCATGTTTCATATCCATGAATATATATCGGTAGAAAATGAACTCTATTGGAAATCCCCTGATTAATGACAATGAAATATTGATCTCTACTTGGGACTAATCCCCTGATTAATCAAATAGGCTTCATCCGGGCTTGGCATCATTGATGTGTGGTACCCTCTGGTTATTTAACATAGCCATGGAAAATGGCCCATAGAAATAGATGGTTTACCGAACTTAAAAATGGTGATTTTCCATGGCAAACGGTTAGTCATAACCAGATGGCAATCACCATTTCAATTCCATTACCATGATGGTATAAACTGCTAAATAGATCTAAATAGATGGTTTACCTATTAAACATGGCCTCCTGGTGTCACTAGTGGAAGGTGTTTAGTGCTGAGCTTCTCCCTGTCACCATCAACAAATCCGAATCCCTGGAGAAAAGCTCAACGCGGCTGAGGACGGTGGAACCCTAAGTCAATAGTACGGGACTAGTTAGATGATCTAATGCCTATAGGATCCATGGTGCTGCTATATATGGTAACATTCACCATCAATATACCCCAAATGTTAGCATATATATATACCATACATGGATCCTATGGGTAATATCTAATATCTAATATCTATTAATATCTACTACCTGGGGCAACAATAGGGACATCTAAAATAGTAATAGCGGAAATTCATCTTTCAAGAGGTAATGGAAATTAGATGCCCCTATTGTTGTCCCAGATATCACTAATATCACCATCTGCCCCCAAAGTTCCGCCAGAAGCAATAGTGGACCATGTTCGATCGACAGAGGCTACAGGAAATGGCTAATATCATTAGATCATATTAGATCACATTTGCAGAATATTCCCAGCTAATTACTTCCCAAGATATCTTCTACTAGTACTATTCAATATTTTATCATCATGTGGTTGGGAAACTCTCCTAACTCCTTAGCTCCCCGTTTCATAAGGAATTTGGATACCCCTGGCTCCTTAGCTCTCTTCTAACAGATAGATTGTATGTAGTCATAGTTATTATCATTATATCTATAGTTTAAAAAAAAAAACTAATCAGTATATTAACTATAGATATAATAATAGAAAATGTAAATGTTAAAGTTACCCATATCCCCAGCATCCCTTCATTTTGGCCACGGCACCCGGGGCACCGTTCCGGGAGGTCCTTTCCCCCGTTGCACGGCGCTGGCGCTTGTCCTTGCTCCGACGCTTGTCCTGGCGCTTGGGCGCGGCGCGGGGCTCGGCGACACCCGTCTTGGCCACGCGCAGCTTCAGCGACAGGTCCTTTCGGAAGTGAAAGGGGGATCCAACGGGGGTTTTGATAGAAGCTGATTTATAGATAGAATATATATATATATGCGCAGTTTAAAGTATAAATAAATAAATAAATAGATAAATAAATATATATATATATATATTATATATGCATTATATTATATATATATATGTGCGTGGTGTGTGTGTGTGTGTGTGCATCAAAATATGGGCAGTAGCAACTAACCAATGGCTTAAGAATGTCAAGCTTGCTGGCTAAGATTAGGGGCTATGGGCTAACAAGCTGAGGGGGTGCCAATAACCCAAGCAAATCAAGACTAGATACAGTTGTCGCACTTTCTGAAAGATGATCGTTGCATTTACCCTCTGGTTATTTAACATAGCCATGGTATAGATGACCCATTTATAGATGGTTTACCTATTAAAAATGGTGGATCTTTCCATGGCGAACTGTTAGTCATGACCAGATGGTAGAATCAGTTGAAGATTGGATTTGATGAAACCTTGGTGTACTGCGCAGCATGGCTGCATGGCTACTTGAAAACTCAGATGCTGCCTTTGATTGGTCCCTAGGTATCCCTAGGTGGGTATGACCCCAGAGCTATGTGAACATCAATGGGGATCATGGTCACAGGTCAAGCCCAGGTTATTTTCTCATTCCTTTCCAAGCAAGCCAGATATTGAAAGCTAGTTCTTTTCCAGTCACTCATGTGTCCATTCATCATTCTTTCTACCCTTTGTTTCTCATCAAAGCATCTTATTTCATCAAAGGGAAACTTAAAGTCGTCATCATCATCATCATCATCATCATCATCCCAGAAGCCCAATCATTTTTCATCATTTTTCCACCTTTTCACCATGAAACCCCGCCGCCTGGCTGCCACCAAGGTTCCCGCGCCAGGTCGCGCTGCCCCTGCGCCTTCGCTTCGGTGATGGCAGCTTTCACCAAGGCCTCTGGGAGGCTGAAGCCTTGACGCTCCAACTCCTGGCGGCGCGAGCGGCTGCGCGGCAGGTTGGCTTATGACTGGCTGATGACTGGCTGATTGGCTTGGTAGAGTTGGCTGACTGCTGGATGGTAGAACAGAATGATGGGCATTTGTTGGACAATAATTCGGGCTTGTAAACCTGTCATAAGTCATCACAAATGCCCAACAAATTCATCAAAAATAGGGCATTCTATGGGCATTTTTTGTAAACCTATCATCTTCACCGATTTTTTCATCGAAATCTTCACCTCAAATCGATTGAAATCTTCGCTCCTGCAGCTGATCCACGCTGGAGGTCAGCTCAGCCGCCAGCAAGGCGCGCCTCGGCCAGGCGGCCCTTTGGGATTTTCACCATGGAAAGTCATCACCATCCAACCGGGGAAAAAAAAACGAAATGACATAGAAATGCACCATGTTCTAATGGTTACCCTCTGGTTATTTAAGAGTTCGGCATGGGAAATGGCTCATTTAATAGAGGTTTACCTATTAAAAATGGTGATTTTCCATGGCTATGTTAAATAGCCAGAGGGTAAATCATAGACCAATCATCTGTATAATTGGCAAATCACAATCTTCTTTTTTGTAAGCCATCATGTTGACCATCGTAAATGATCTATTTCAGTGGCTAAATCATCATGACTAATCATCATCTAGTTCTATGGGTCATGTTCCGTAGCTGTGTTAAACAACCAAATGGTAAATGGAACACAAACAACTCAAAGCAACTTGAGCAGTTGAGTTTTCCATGTGCATACACTCTGGTTATTTAGAATAGCTATGCAAAATCACCCATAGAACTAGATTATTGATGATTATTTACATTGATTTACCATGATTTACCTATGAAAGATTGTGATTTGCCAGTGCGCAAACCGTTTAAAACTCAAGAGGGTAAACACCACTATATGCCAATTCCTATTATTCATTTATATGTGGGTAAAACAATGTCATAAACCACCCATGACTGGGAATGGTAAACATACTACCCATTTTTCATGATGACTGGGGGATGGTTTATTGTTGTTTTTATATCCCCAATATACACATATATATATAATAAATTACTTATGCATACTATATATCCCAAAATATTCCAATATATCCCAAAATATTCCAAAATATCCCCAATTAGTACAATGTGAGGCCCCCGTTCGATAGCTAACTTGGCGAACATAACTCCAATAACTAATAACTATGGTTTATGGTACGCAAATAACGAACTAGTTACTGGGGCGAATTTGTTAACCAACTAACATCACTGGGGGGCCTCACATTGTATATATATATGTGGGATATAAATACTGATAAATGATATTTTTTGTGGGTAAAACAATGCCATTGTTACCAGTGGTTAGTCAATCCCAGAAAAATCCCATGAATCACTGGATATTAATAGATATTAATGGGATAATCCCATTATCCCCAAGCCATCCTCATCCCGCCCAGGAATCCCAGGAACTCCGATGGCTCGTAGCCCGCCGCCATCATCTTCCCCACCAAGCGCCGCGCGTCCTGCTGCCCAGCACAGGCCGCCACCGCTTCTTCGTAGAGCGCTGGGCTCAACGGGAGGCCGCGAAAGCGGATGTGCTCCAAGACCTGAAATGTTGTTAACCAAAAAACCATGGGAAACCATGGAAAACCATGGAAAACCCATGGAAAACCCATGGGAAAACGCATGGAAAACCCATGGGAAAACGCATGGAAAACCCATGGAAAATGACATGAAATGGCAATTTCATGACATGAAATGCTGAGTTATGCGTTTTGTCATGGCGAAACATCTGAACTTAAATGGTACACTGGTGGTACACTCGTGGCACGTGTGGCTTGGTGGTTAAAATTCACCCAGGATTCCAAGGATTCCAAGCAAACCCGCTGGGCAAATTCTTCACATGGCCGGTGTTTGAGCTTGGCCATTGCCAAAAACATCATCTGGTTGGTGGTATACCTACGCCTCTGAAAAATGTGAGTTCGTCAGTTGGGGTTACTATTCCCAATCTATGGAAAAATAAAAAATGTTCCAAACCACCAACCAGTCATCTGCTGATCAATCTTTCGACTTCAGCTTCTGATTCGCGAGATGATCCGCAACCGCAACGGCTTTTTGGAAGTCTGGAAAGTACTGAAGTTTGTGCCACAGGGATCCACAGGGTGAACCGGCAGTGATCAGATTTGATTCTTGAAGAAAAAATGACCTAATAAAATTGGCGAAATACCTGGTGAACAAGTCCCAAAATGTATTCACTCCCATTGATATATTGATTGCAAGCATCACCCATAAATACCCACCAGTGACTAGGTGATACTAATTAAGTGATATGATATGGGTTTGTCTGAACATCGGGTACACTTAAATCCCCTGGTTATAATTATTGTCACAAAACCTCGAATCCCTAGGCACGCTCCATGCGAGCCTTTTTTCCTTGAAGCACAAAAGGGCTACGTCAATGCCCAAGGTAAATGAATGTGACACTTTATGATTTGTGCGTGTCATCCAGACCAAAATTCTCAGTGCACTCCCCCCTTTTTGAAGGCACTACAAAAAGTCTGGAGACTCTTTTTGGCCTTTCAGGGCCTTTCAGGCCCAAGCCCTTAAGTTCTCAGGGCCTTGATGAAAAACGTAGCTCCCGTCCACTTCTCATCCAAGTACAGGCTACCATTTCCAATTCTATAGCCAGAAATCACTTGGAAGTGGCCGTCGGACATGTAGGCCATCGTGAGGTGAAGCCTCCCATAGATCCAGGCACGATCCAATGTGCCATCATCAAAGTCATAGATCCGTTTCCGAGGAGTTGAGTGGATTCTCACCAGCAACGTAGTTGTAGAGTTCAGTTGGAACTCCACCCACTGATCCCGTTTGGAAACTTCCAAAAAGTCCTTCACCATGTTCTTCACCTCCTGATCTTTGATCGGCCAGAAATTCCCAAGGCCTGAACGTTCCACCAAGGCATCCATTGATTCACCCGGTTTTGAGATCCACTGTATGGGTGTCATCAAATCCCATCGCAGCAGTCCGGGGCATCCAAGTACTTCTCGGGTTGGATAGTCAGGAACCAAATCATTCCCAAGAGGTGATGTCATCGCCCTCTGATTGAATGATGCTCTCATCGTGGTTCCCGTCGTAGGCAAGTTCATAGAGCTATGTTGGGTCAAAGAGCTCGGTTGGATCAAAGAGCTCGGTTGGGTCAAAGAGCTCGGTTGGGTCAAAGAACTCTGTTGTGTCGAAGGGCTCTGTTGGGAAGTAGAGCTCGTCCGCACAGTTGGTCTCGACATGGAAATAGTGCCTCTTCCAAGGCCACGATTCTCAGGGAAATGTTGGGTGCTCCCCCCTCTCTGTGTTCTGGTAGCGGAGCTCCCCCCAGACGGAGACTGTGATTCCACTTTGAGGCTTCGAATAGACCTCACGGAAAACGAAGTTTCATCCCCAGGCCTTTCCAAGCCTGTGCTTCCAAAACCACGGATTCCTCGAGAAGTCTCAGATAGAGTCTCCACCTGGTTGACCTCCACCTCCATCACTTTCTCCACGATCAACTGGGCAATGCGATCACCGGTTCGCACCCAGAATTCACGACCTGATTGGTTGTGAACCAACACCTTGACTTCTCCACGAAAGTCTCGATCAATAACACCAGCGCTCACTTCAATGCCATGGGATGCCAGCCCTGATCTTGAAGCCAGCCTTCCATAGGTTCCACTCGGCATTTCCACTGCCAGTCCAGTTCGAACCAGTTGGTATTCTCCAGGTCCAATCCGGTAGTCCTGGATAGAGCAAAGATCCAAGCCTGCAGATCCCGTAGTGCTCCTTGTGGGAAGTGAAGCTGATTCACTCAAGAGTTTGACCTTGAGCTCCTCCTTTGGAAAAAGCCATGATCTCAATCTGGGCAGCCCAAACCTCATCATTAGGTCGCCCACGATCAAAATTGAGATCACAAGGATGGTGAGGATCAATCCAAAACTACCTTCCTCATCATCAGGTGAGGTACTGTCCGCTGCCTCTGCAGGTGTCAACATCAATGCTGATGCGATGGTCATCAGAGTCACGCCATCCACCAGTCTTTTCGCCATCGGTCCATCACCACCATGAATCCTCAGGGCTTGAAGTTGGATGACCTGTTGAATCTCATCCGCCAATTTCAGTGCTTGAACAAATCGCTGAAGTGGTCCTCCCTGAAGCTGTTTGGTCAGACCATCCGCGACTAGACACCGTCCAGGCTGATGTTCAAGGGTCACCTCCCCCCGCTCTAGAGCCTCATGTAGCCCTTGAGCTCTGATCCTCAAATGGCGTGTGCGCCATGATCCTGTCGTACCCGTGGCAATGCTAATTGCCGCCGTACTGTCACTGTACATTCGTCCTTCCACCCTCTCCTCCTGAATCATCTCCACAATCGATCGGAGGCATCGAAGTGCAGTTAGGCCTTCGAGCAGTGACATCAGCTCACTTTCTGCCGTAGACAGGGTCGTAAAGCTCTGCCGGCAGGTGATCCAAAACACCGGAGCACCAGCGAAAAATCCAGCCACACCACTCATGCTTCGAAGTCCATTGGAAGCAAAGCTGGCATCAGTGTAGACTTCCACCAGGTTTTCATGTCTGGATCGTCGCTGAGTGTTCTCCTCTCCGAAGTCTCCCTCGATGAGCTTCCCATACTCTAGTGCCAATCCCAAAGAGGATCTGAGGTAGCTCCTCACTTCCTTTCCAATCTTCTGAACCTCCCTGGGGCTTTTGGTTGAATACTGGCACATCAGGTTGACAGCATAGCTGATGTCTGGTCGTGTGCGACCAGCTACCCAAAGCAGTTCACCAGTCTGACGTTGGGCAATCTGCACATCCTTGGGGTCAATGTGATCCTCCGGCTCAGGCGGACGGATTGAAGCCAATGATCCTGGCTTCTCATGGGGGTATTTCTCGAGCAAGTTCTGGATGTAGGCCCTTTGATGGATCCGGAACTTCTGGTCCTTGAGCTCAATCTCCATGCCCAAGAATCTCACCGATGGGCCATCCGGGGTCACCCAGTCTGGTGCTCCAACCTCCCACTCCTCTTTCATTCTGGTGCAAAATCCTTGAAGCACCTCCTTCTCACCAACGGCCAGGATGTCGTCCACATAGGTGACGAAAAGACCAACGGTCTTACCATCAGTCATCGTAGATTCGGCTTCTCCTCCTCTGGGAAACTGGCTGGGCTCTGCAGGGGATTGACTGAGCGCCACAATCTTCCAGATGTCTTGGTCATTGGTCTTCTGAGCCTCATAGATGCAGCCGTTCTGATGCCATCTGAAATCTCCAAGGCTCTGATTCCGAAATTGAGTCCATTCCTTCGGCGAGGTGGTGAGTCCGTACAATGCTTTCTCCACCAGCCAAAGTGTGTCTGGACCACATAGTCCTGCCAAGACAAAGATAGCCGGTGGTTGAACCACTACAATTTCTCTGGAATGATCCCGTGGTGCTCTCAAAAAGGCCGTTTTCACATCCAGAGCGACAGCGCTCCAACCCTCCAAACCAGCTTTTCTCAGTGCTGTTCGAACTTCTGTGGCTCCAGTGCCGCCTGCATAGGTGTCCAACTGGTCCCTCTGAGCCATGTAGTTTCCACAGGCACAGGCACGACATTTTCGTTTTCCACTGCCAGCCTTTCTTGAGAAAACTGCCTTGGCTGGGATCTTCTCGAACAGCACCCCTTTGGATTCAGCCTCTCTCCTCAATCGATCGGCCTCCTTCCACGTGATCTCTTTAATGGCACCGGTCTCAATCATCAGGGAGTCCAGCTCACTCTTCATGCTGGGAATCCATTCCGCCAGATTGGCCTTGACCTCCGCCAGAGAAAACATTCGTGTTTGGAGAAAGACCTCCTGATTCTCAGCAGCAAGTTCGATATCAACTGTTTCCTGATGTTGGTAGTCCTGCTCCACTTCAATCAGCTTGTCTGCCAATCCCTCCACATCAGCCAGCAAGGCTCTGATGAATCGATCAGATCCTGTTTTCTCATCCTCAGTTGATGACTCTGCTGACTGATCCAAGTCCGTATCCTGAATGTCCAACTCCTCCATCAGAAGCTGTAGCCCACGAAGTCGTCTCTTTTCAATTTCGGAGACTGCCACTTGTGAGTTTTCATCTGTTCTCAAAGTGCTTAGCATCGTGGTCTTCCCAGTGATTCTTCTTCGAACTCCATGATCTTGAAGAAGCCCAAGCTCAGCCTCCTCCAGTTGAGCTTCAGGTGGCGGCCCCTCTGCAGTGACCACATCTGACGAGTGGAAGTACTTCCCGTCTTCCCCTCTGACATAGTACCCAGGCATCGATGCTGACATCGCCACATCGGGGCCCATAATGGTGACCTTGCGACGAGTCATCTTCCAGTCCTGGTACTTCTCATTCCAGATCTTCTGCATGGCATAGGCCTCTCTTCCAAACTGGAGAAGTGGCCTGGTTGGACACTGAAGTGCTTCCAGCTGCAATCTCATCCGACGTTCTGCAGCATGTCTAGCCGCCAGAGGCCAAAGAGATGCCTCAACACCCGTCTCCTTCAGCAGCGTTCTCACCTGCTTCTTGATCATGTTGATGTCTCCCTCAGCCCTTCCATTGGACTTGTAGGAATCTCCATCGGTGTAGGTCCGGTAGATCTTCCGATCTTCTGCCCATTTTCTGATCGTCTTGGATCGAAGTTCTCCCGCTCGATCCGAGTGTAATCGTAATAGAGGAAGTCCAAGATATCTCAGTCGGGCATGCATCCTTGACAGACCAGAGATGACTGCTGGCCCACTTCTGTCGGGAAGAATCTCGACCAGGGTGATCTGTTTCACCTCGAAGTTCTGCTCCTCCTCAATCTTTCTTTTCCATTCCTCAGTGTCGTCTTTCTTCTCGTCCTTGGTAAGTGAAGCCATTTGATCATCTTCTTCCAAGAGAGGATCGTCTCCTGCTTCATGTTTTTGAACCTCCTCTGGATCTTCCGGATCATTGAAGATTCCACCTTCAATGGGTCCAGGGGCTGGGATGGGTCTGCCCTCTCCTCCAGGGTGATCATCATCCTCAGCACCACTGGCAGCCAACGCAGACCGGCCCCCCTCTACTCTCGGGTTGCCGCAGCGATGGGCTGAATCCTCCTCCTCTGCTTTCAGATGTAGTGCTCGTCCATCCATGGAGACTGGCACAGTGAAACTTCCAACCAACATGTATCTCCCATGACCCAGCTGGTCTTCTCCTTTCTTGAAAGGTCCTGCCAAGTCAATGGCCAAAGTGTAGGAGTCGGGGGTCACAATTCTCCGATGGTGCCTCGACTGCCCACATGCCTCCAAGCAGGTTCTACAGCCCCTATAGTAGGGTTGATGGTCGTTGAGAAGATGAGCCTTCCACTGCTCCAGCGTGAGTCTCTTGATCCTTCCATCGAGCTCATTCTTCACAGCTGTGACAATAGCGTTTTTGAGCCCTGGGGACCAAGCTGCCCAAGTGCGGGACAGTTGATTTCTCTGTTCCACAGTGAGTTCATCAGCTCCTCCTTCTCGTGATGACCCAGGACCACGTAGTCCTTGTAGATGTTGAAGTTCATAGATATTGGTGCCCAGTGTAGTCGGCTTTCGTTTGATATGGCCTGTTCGACCTTGATCGAAGTGGACTTCAATGAAGTCGTTGGTCTCCTTCATCCACTTCCATTCTGGAAACGCCCAGTAGCTCGGGTACCTCTGCTTCTTGATCATCTCCTCCTCCAAGTAGTTCTCCGGATCTTCCGGCTGCTCTGACAGATAGAGCACCTTCTGCTGAGAGACCTTCTTGGCCCTGTGGTAGAGGTAGTACTGACGAAGCCACAGGATGGTGTCATCAATGACTCTTTTCTTGAGGCTCTCATCCAGTCCGTGGAGTCCAAAGCGCTCTGCTCCCTCCCTTGATCTCAATGGCGGGGGACCGGGTTGACGATACCTCGGCCTTGACATAGTCCTGCATGGTGGTCCTCCCAGCCATGCCACTGCTCTGCCACTATCGGCCAGCTCCATCAAAAACTCCATAATGTCATCTCTCAGCAGGTTCTGCCTCTGATCCAGTTCCATGTCCAAGCAGAGAACCGCTCGGTGTTGATTCTCCAGCTCCTTCCTCCAAAAGTTCTCATCCTTTCCTGAGAAGAGGTGAATGATCACCTGGGATGCCTTTCTCAATCTCCTCCGTCGGTGGCGATTCCATGGAAGATCCCCTTCACGCCATTGATCTCGGCCATCTCGTCTTGGAAGTACTCTCACCAAGATCTCCTCAGGAATGAGTGGAAACATCATTCTGATTTCCTCCAGCTCCTTGACATGCTCCGCCGTCAAATTTCCAGGATTCCCTTCTCCTCGAAGCACCGCTAGCCGGGCTCTTTTCTGAATGAAGTGCCTCTCGACCTCCTTGATCAGCTCCAAGCCAAGTGTCTCAGAGACCGTTGGGCATGCTCCATCCAGCTCCGTGTCCAGGATGCATCCCGAGGGATCGGTGAGCTCAAAGGTCGTCCCCTCCCACCTGATGGCGTATCCGATCTCCGCCAAAATTCCCAGCGGCACGATGCTTTGTACTGGTGCCAGTGAAAGGAGCGTTTTCGACCAAGGAAGTTGGCGAAGTGTCACTGAACCTTGTGCAAGCTCCACCCGCACTTCCACTGCGGCTTTCCACTCTTCCAAGTCCGATGCCGTTCGAAGTGCGTGGGTTGCACCCCCGTCCAGCAATGTCTTGCCTTCTTCCTGGACTTCGAGGCTGTTGAGCTTGATTGCTCGAAGAGCTGGCCCCCGCAGCGTCTTCAGCAACGTGGTGGCCTCTTGGAGAAGCTCTTGATGAGCCGCCACCGCAGGAGCAGCACGGCCCAAGTCCCCCTCTCCTCCAGGGTGACTAGCCGGCGCATCACTGCACACCCCTTTCGAGGTGTCTTCCGGCTTGTCTGCTTTCTTCACAGCCGGGGTAGGTGGAGCTCCTTCTCCATCTTTTCCTTTGCCACCACCTTTCTTTCCTTTTCCTCCAGCATCCGGTGTTCCACCACCAGTTGTCATAGCCCTGACAGTGCAATCTCGCCTTGAGTGCTTGGTTGAGCTGCATCGAGGAGGGCCCTTCTTGTCCAGAGTCGACCAATCGTGCTGGTAGGTGCAGTCCTGTCCCTTTTTACATCCATCATCAGTCCCAAAGAACTTGCAAGCCGGAGTTCTGCCTGGCTTGTCTGAGCTCTTTCCCTTTCCATCCCCCTTAGCTGGGGCTTCCACAACTCCACCATCAATCGCCTTGACCTTGGCAGTGGTCTGAGTTTGAACTCCAGCATGAAGAAGTCCCTCAGCCTCTCCCATAATGGCGTCGGCATAGTTGGTGACACTGGCCAACGTAGGGTTGATGTCCACCATCAGCTGTGCCCTCGTTGAGTTCAATCTGAATGCCATCTGTGAAGATGTCTTGATGATCGTGCTAGACATCTTATCCAGAGCTCCCATGAGCAAAGTTGGATCAGGAGTGGTCACGTTCAGCTCCTGAGCTCGGCGCAAGTTGCGCTTCCATCCACGGACCTGCTCGACAAACTCTGATGGTCCTCCAGCTGTTTTCCCATCCACCAGTTGTCGTAGTAGCAGGGTTTTTTCTCCAAGTCCACCAGGTTGGTACCTGACATAGATCCGGTAAAGAATCTCCACGGTGTTGGTACTGCGTGTCGACAGCACTTCACCCTTCAATCCTTCAGGTAGAGCTCCAAGAAGCATGCTCTGACCTCGTTGTTCTACCCGAGCCCATGTGGTGTAGCACTCCCTGGGAATGTCCGGTCCAACATAGAGACGATTCACAGGGTCCGATCCAAGCCATAGTTGATAGGCCTCACCAGCCGCTCGAGTCACAGCCTCCCACCATGCAGTACTGTTCATCGACAGGCTCTTCATGATAGGAGCCACCATAGTCATCCAATCTCCCACCACTGTTCCTCCTAGTTCGCCTTCTCGGATACCAGGAAGCAGTGGAAGTTCAACCGATCTCACATTCTCAGCCATTCCAGGATACCACATCATGTCTTGTGGCAGTTGAAACGGGGCCATGTGGGGTACTCCACAACCTCCATAGCCAGCACCATTCCCTCTGCCGTGGCCTCCCTGGCCTGATCCTTGTCCATAGGGCATGCCTCCCAAGCCATGTCCTCTGCCATCTCCATTCGGTGGTTGCCCTGGTCCTCCACTAGGTGGGTGCCCACCTTGACCTTCATAATGAAGGGCTCCATACTGTGCTTGACCTGGCCCTCCTTCGGGAAGATGCCCGTCAGCTCCACTTGCATGTTGACCCTGCCCTTGTCCTTGGCACTGACCAACTCGTTGACCTTGTCCACAAGGCTGAACTTGTTCTCCGCTACCCGATCCAGCCACAGCAGACAGCTGGGCGACCAGGGAAGTCAGAGTTTGTGCCACCTGACCAAGTACCTGAGTCTGAGTGCTGGGTTCCTGTGTTCCTGCAGCACCTGAGACAGGTTGTCCATTCCGTTGGGATTCATTCGAATTTGCGGTATCCCCTAACCCTTGAGGTTTCCTGGCTGACACCGATTCTGGGGGCGTTCTCCATTCAACTCCAGTTCCAATTTCTACTTCTTCTGATTTCACCTCTGATTTTACGTCTTCCAGTGGCAACAGTTGTTGAGTGGTTCCCTGCAGGGTTGGCTCTACTGGTCCACCAGGCTGTCCCTCCCCTACATTCACAACCACCTGTTCAACCACCTTTGTAGTTTGGAACTGCACTTGCCCCTTGAGTTCTTCTAGTTCTTGTTTCAGCTGCACGTTCTGTTGAAGCACCATTGACACCAGTTGTCTCATATCTGGGAGACCCTCCGACCCATCCTCCAGTCCTGATGGTCCTCTGGATGCTGATGCCTCTGGTAGTCCTTGAGGTCGCAAAGATCTGAGCAAGGCGTCATCCCTGACCTTCTCAGACCAGAACGGGTTCACCGCCAGAGCTCGATCATCTCCACGTTGTATCGGCCCATAGCTGGTAGGTGGACCACGTGGAGCTTCATCCAGCTTCACAGGGTCCTTGGTGTCCTCTAGCGCATCCATGGTAGCAGGTTTTGGGCTCATAACCCACAAAACCTCGAATCCCTAGGCACGCTCCATGCGAGCCTTTTTTCCTTGAAGCACAAAAGGGCTACGTCAATGCCCAAGGTAAATGAATGTGACACTTTATGATTTGTGCGTGTCATCCAGACCAAAATTCTCAGTGCAATTGTAATCATCACTCTCGCCATTATCAAATGGCCATTCTGGTGTCGACAATTTTTTTCAGACACACTCATGTTCCGAGCCGAGTGAAGGTCGGAAAAAATGAAACCACAAACCAGTGTATTGATTGATATTGATGATGTTCAGAAATACCTGAGTGATATATTTCCAAGTGCAGGCTCTACTTCATCTAGGGAACCTCCAGAGCCTCCTGCCATTTGCCGCCAGCAGCACAGGCCTTCAAAGCCACCGTGCCAGCCCGTTCCTCAGTGAAGCAGGGGCAAGTCAAGTCAACCATCAATTCCATAGATTTAATACATGGAGTCTCATGGATTTTTTTCCTTCCATAGATTTACCCTCTGGTAAACTAACATAGCTATTGAAAATTGCCATTTATAGTGGATTTTCCCATTAAAAATGGTGATTTTCCATTGTTATGTTAGTTCACCAGAGGGTAATCCAAACCATCAAACCTTCCGTTTCCGGTTGTTTGTTTTGATACATGGAGCCTCATGGAGTCACTGGCTTCATGCCATCCCAGGAAACGATGGAAGGCCTCATCCATTGCCATGGCAATTGCCATGTTTGGAACCCAAACCAGGCAGCCCAGCATCCAAGAGATCCAAGGATTGACCCTTCAAGGCCAATGCGTCCGAGCTTCGTAGCTCCTCAGTGGGGAGGGGCTGATGATTTTCAGCCCCTCCAAACATCCACCGCGTTTCGTGACGTCGTGACGGGTCGAGCATATTGTTGAGACATGGGGGAGTACTTTTTTGAAATCTCGGGGGGACCTATACAATTTTGCATATAGAAGCAGAATCTGGGTCTTAAAACCCCTAAAAATTACCAGTTCCAGAATCATCTCCCTGAGGTTTTTCATGGGGCGAAGTCGAACCATTGTTTATGTATTATACCTACCCATACCTACCCTAAGCTAATAAAGTGAACCTAGTTATAAACCAACTTACCTATCTTGGGGCCCACTTTGGTTTAGGGTCTATGGTAAACTAATGTAGACTGTAGGTCTCAGCAAAGCGCAACTGGACGTCTCAGCAAAGCGCAACTGGACCACCCCTGGGGTCAAACTTCTCAACCCCTACCAAGATCGCATAGAATCGTCAAGGGGGAAACTTACTATTGTTACTATCATGTTTATCATTGTTAACATGGGGTGTTCAATATTATCAATCTCATCTGGTCATACATTGCCGCTCATCCCAGCCTCCTAAAACTACTATTCAACGATTGTCATTCAAAGATGTTCATTCATTGATTAGGATTCAACTAATATCATCAAACATCATTCAACCATCATCATTCCAACTGTCATATCAACTCTCATTCAACTACCATCCTTATATTTCATGTGGCCAAAACAAGTTCATAGACCATCCCCCAGTCATCACCATTTTTATAGGTGGTATGTTTACTATTCCCAGTCATGGGTGGTCTATGACATTGTTTTACCACCAGGATATCCACCCATTAACATTAGACCAACCTTTTTTTGGTAAGACAATCATAGACCACTATATTTGTATACCCAGGAAGTAGACCACAATAATATTGGTAATCCACCCATTAATAATAGACCACTATATTTGTAGACCACTATTTATTTTAGACCCATTTCTTATTCCCCAGACCATTATAATCCATTATATCCCTATTTTCATACGGGGGAAGTGATGGTCTGTCATCCCTTGAAGTCTCCTCAAAGATCTCCAGGGCATCGTCCCAGCACTTCAGCTCCGTCAGCGCCGCCATGGCGGCCACCGCCACCGTGGGCGCCACCGCGGCGCCCGCGGGTGCGCTGAGGGCCCGGTAGGCGCGCGCCGCAGTGGCCGGGTCACGGGCACCGGTGACGATGGAACCTGGGAAAAGCTCGAAAACCTCATGCGATATGGAGATGTTATGGCGTTTTTAGGGGGAATAAACCACTTCAAATCATGATTTGAACTGGGGATATCATGGGGAAGGTGAATAGGCCACTTCAAATGATGATTGAACTGGGTGTATAATGGGGAGAGCACTCCACTTACCCTCTGGTAATCAAACATAGTGATGGAAAATCCTCTAGTGCTATAGACGATTTTACATTATTTAAATGAGCATTTAGGGGATTTTCCATAGCCGCTAGCCACATTTGGTGACGATTTTTTTAATCACCCTGGCGAGTAAAGCCCCGATTCGTAGGTTAACCCATCTACAACTGGGTTAACGAAGTGGGATGATCCTCCAAGTAAGGAAAACATGGAAAAACCTCATGCGATCTTGATATCTTACGGAATAAACCACAAAATGGTGATAAAAAAACTGGGGATTTTCCATGGGGATAGAACTATAGAACTGGATGCAGTGGGATATAACATGATATAACTGGAATCTTGTGGATGATGCAGGCCTAGTTGCAACAACCCCTTGTTGCCATCCTTGAAAAACACGACGATGGGATGCAACTGTCCACCGATTCACAGTTGCCAATTTCAACAGCTTGAGTGGTCAAAGGTGTCTGAGTCATGGCATGACGGGCTCACCTGTGATCTTCTGCTCGAATTGAAGAACAGCAAGCTTCAAAACAGTATAAAATATTATAAAATTAGAAGCTACTGAAAATGAACATGCGTGAGCTTCATATATTCTACCCTCTGGTAAACTAACATAGCTATTGAAAATGGCCATTTATAGTGAGTTTTCCCATTCAAAATGGTGATTTTCCATAGTTATGTAAACGTTTACCAGAGGCTATATACCTTCTTTGGCTTCAAGGTGGGATGCCCATCACATCCCATGACCAGACTCCAATATCCCCCCAGCTTCGGCCAAGGCAACTATAAAGGTCGTCGCTCACATCGAAGTTTGCCTCCTGTGGTGATGTCTCTGCGATCCAAATCCCAAGAAAAGAACCATTAGGGAATGTTTTTTTACCATTCAGAAGAACTTTTCTTGTTCCAACATGTATATATATATATATTTATTATATCTAACTAGTGGAAATTTTCCATGTTGTCCCATATCTAGTGGGATTCTCCATATTGTCTCATATATGTCCCCAATACACATATATTGTGTCCATATTGTCCCACGACATATGTGTATCGATCATCGATCCATTTCCCATTTCCATCCGGCCACGACCACTGTCCTTCATCTCGCCCAGGAATCTCTCTGCATCGCTGGCGGACTCGGTCAAGTAGCCACGGACCTCGGCTCAACTCCACAAGTCCACAGCATATCCCTAGGACCATAGGAGACAACGCAAACAAAAGATTGAAAGGTGCAACATGGTGCAACATCTGTCACATCCCACTCAGTTATATCCTAAGAATTGACGCTAGTCATCACTATATCACTGATAATTGTCAATTTGTTCATTCTGATACTTATCCATGTTCATTATCATAATTATCATTATTGTATCACGATATCAATTATCAAAGGTCATCACTATATTACCATAATAACACTATATCAATGGTCATAACTATGGAAACTCACCATTTCTAATGGGAAAACTCATTATAAATGGCCATGTTCAATAGCAAACTGTTAGTCATTACCAGAGGGTAAATCCCATTAGATCACTATTAAACCACCATAAAATCACCATTTATAGTGGTTAAATCACCATTTCCCTGTGGTTTTATAGTAGAATCACCATAAAATCACCATTAAAGAATTTGGAGATTTCGCAAACACACACGCGAAGCCGAAAACCACTTGGGAACTGAGGGGACAGGAGATCCTCCCCAAGAAATGGCCAAGTCTTCCGGACACGTCCATCCAAGCTATGAAAGTTCAGTGGTGCCCGGCTAGGGCAACACACCATGCGTCACTTCTGGAATGGATTTATGATTCATTTATGATTCGGGTCTTCCAAGGGATCCTTCAATGTGTGTTTCGCCTGCAGTTTTCCAGATGTTTCCCACTCAAACTGAGCATTTTTGTCCATTTTGGGAGCCCCACCTTCCATCACATTCCGCTATATCCCCCCTAATCAACCCAACAATTCACTAAATTCCAAGTCAACATAGCTATCATCAGCCATAATTCCAATGAAATCCCTTCAAATAATCCTTTGTAGGCCAAAAAAAACATCACACACACACAAATTCTTGTAGAAATCCCCCATCTCATCACTATTACATACATACGAAACTATATTAATGTGGATCTCAACCATTAGGTTAGTTGTTATAATCATTTATGATTATTACCCACCTAGGTTTCGTTGCTTCACGTGGCATTTGCCGAAACATCCAAGCTGCGCCCTCCTCGTAGAGCCAGCGCTGCTGCTCCGGCGTGATCTCGCCGTCGCGGCTCAGCGGAAGAGCTCTTAGGAGCGCTTCGCAGGATCCTTGGGATCCGATGGGAAAAAACCATGGGGTTATGATGGGACAGTTTATATATGTATATATGAACTATATATGAACTATATATGGTTTATATATGGTTTCTATATGGTTTTATATATGGTTTCTATATGTTTATATATGGTTTTATATATACATATATATGATGTGGTTAAAACAATTTCATAAACCATCCCCCAGTCATCACCATTTTTATAGGCGGTATGCTTACCCTTCCCAATGGGTAGTTTATGGTATTGTTTTAACCACATGATATATTATATACATATATGGTTTATATATGGCCACGGGTTATATGTGGGTTAGTTTTACATGGATGAACATGGCCATGACTAAATGTGGGTTAATGTGGGCTATGAATGTTTTATGATACTAATGAAACCATGTAAAATCTGAAAGCTGATATGGATGTGGATGGTTTTATGGCTCCTTTACTCTATTCTGTTTATGATAGTGATGATGTTCAATGTGATGTGTAGACTGTATGTAAATACTTATTATATGAACTCATGCATAACCTAGATCATATATATATGTGTGTGTGCGGTTTCTATATAAATATATATATATAAACATCATAAATATAACATATATATATAAACCTCACATATATATATATATGCATATTATGATCTAGACAAACACTTGGGACCCCATGTTTCTTCACATCTTGTTGAGATGAGCTGCAGGACAGGAAAGAATAAATAAAAGCTGGTGGTTGGTTGAGCTCTTGATTACCTGAAACTACAGTTCCACTAAGAAGTGGTTATATAAACATGCTTAAAGTGGTTATTAACGGTTGCTACCCTCTGGTAAACTAATATAACTATGGAACATCACCATGTTCAATGGGTAAATCCACTGTAAATGGCAATTTTCAATAGCTCTGTTAGTCATTACCAGAGGGTACATGTTGTTGCCATGCGTCTAGCCACACCCCCAAGTATTGACCAGTGTCTATCTCGATGTTCTTCACAACCCACCAACACTCAAGGTACAAGTATCTTCCAGACAACGTCCTCAAACAACCTCAAAAGCAATCTCATAAACTAACTCATAACCTTCAACTACCGACACACCATAGATGTACATCAAAAAAATGACTAAACCCAAATATGTTGCCATGCAAAATTTTGGGTTCCAAGCATTCACCCATCCCTCCATCCCGTTTTTCAAGCCATTGAACATGGCCATGACTCATGGCATCCCACGAATCATGATGCCACCCTAAGGCGTCCTGCGGCCCTGCGAATCATGGATGTTGACTCCCCCAATCATAGGAAAATGGTGATTTAACCACTATAAATGGTGTGGTTTAATAGTGATCTAATGGGGTTTACATGGATTTACCCTCTGGTAAACTATCAGTTTGCTATTGAACATGGCCCAGTCGAAATAGTTGATTTACCCACTAATAGCATGGTGGTTTTCCATAGCTATGTAAACGTTTACCAGAGGGTAATAGGTTTCGACCCAGAGCTCCATATTGCTCCACCCCCAAACCTGCACCAAGATGCGTCCGCTGGGCTGATAGCCCATCTGCATCAGCTCCTCTAGCAGTTGGGTGCCCTGCACTGGCTCATAGCGATCTGCCCGGGCAAATGCGGCCAGGTTGTGACAAATGCCATCCTCGGGGCACAAAATGATGGTTCAACTGGAAGAAACATGGGATTTTAAGATCCCATTGTGGGGGGTTTAACCTGATGGTTATCATCTGGTTATGACTAACATAACCACGGAAAATCACCATTTTTAATAGGTAAACCATCTATAAATAGGCCATCTATACCATGGCAAACTGTTAAATAACCAGAGGGTAACCATCAAGAATGGGAAGAAATCATCTGAAATTTATGCATGACTTGAAGGACACGCTGTAGGAAACCATGCGTTTCAAGTCTTTTCACCTTTGGACATTTGGAATTCCTGCACATGTTCCCTTCACCCACAGCTGGGAGTGGTGGTTTCAAGGCTTTTGAGAAGCAGCAAAAGTTCGTCATTTTTTGATCAGCGCAGTTTTAGGGATGGAGGACATAACACAGATTAGAACCCGCCAATTCATGCGTTGGTTTTAGTGAATCGATCCAGGAAGTACAGCTCGGGGGTTGCTATTCAGGAAGCAACTGTGGGAGATCACTCGAGACTGGACATCCAGACAACCAGCGCCTGGAAGGCTAAACAAAAAACAACCCCAAACCTCCAGCGGGAAGAGTCGGTTTGGAGCCGAAGGGTCTGGAATTTTCCAAACATGTCAGGCTTGCCAATCAGACATAAACCATGTAAGCTATGGTTTTCTAATATGTTTTCATGGCACCCTGAAATGCGACAAACCCAGCTTCTGGCTGATACTTGTGGCGCTTCAACATCCTTGGTGGGGCGAAGCTGGCTTCCAACGGGGCATTGACCAACAAATCCTGAGTGATGGTATTGTCTGCTCACATAGCAGCTCCATAGAACAGATCCTATGTCCACATGGGTCATTCAATGTCCCCATTGAACATCACCCAACCATTAGGTATATGGTCTATAATGGCTACTATAAGGTGATGTCCAATACTCCCAAAATGGGACAGTTACCAATCCCTGGTCCATTACATAAAGCCCATAAATTGCTTTCTGAAGCGAATGAAAGGAACCAGTGGGATCAAGTTTGACAGTTGAAAGATGGGCTTCAATGAAAACGCACGTGTCAAGTCAGCAAAGCTTAAGGGAGAGACCCAGCTAGCCACGTTTGATTACCGGAGGATACTGGAGGATAGCGGAGGATAGTTTGGCAGGACATCCTGTGACATCGAGCATCTCTTCAAAAATCTTCAGCTGTTTACTGGCAATGCCGCGCTTCCGAAGCTGGCTATCCTCCTGGCGGGAGACATGCTGCCTCCGTCTTCCAAATTCCAAGATTGTCCAAGAGAAACTCGAAAAACACAAGGACATTTGGCAACAAACATATGTTGAAACAACGATCCGTATGCGTATATATATATTATATCATGCATTATAATGCATTACATATCCCATATCAAATATATATATATATTGCCTACCTATATATATATATATCTTTGCACATACATACATACATACATACATACATACATACATACATACATACATACATACATACATACATACATACATATATATAATATACATATACACACACCATTATATCCCCATACAATCCATAGATCCCCCCTTGCCACACCTGGTTTCGCTGCATCTGCAGCGCGCGCATGGCACTGCTGTAGGCCGCGTAGGGCACGCGCCCGCTGCGCCCGGGCTGCGCCTTGAGGTCGTTGAAGCGGTGCAGCACCGACTCCCATTGGCCCTGCCTTGGTTCGTTGGTGCTTGGGCCTGGAGAAAATGATGGGAAGGTCAGGGGAAGATAGGGGGAAACCATCGGCCCTTTTTTGATCTGGAATTTCGGTAGATTGAGGTATGTGGTTTTGTTTCTTTCCTTTTTAGTGTTTTTAATGATGATTTGATGGAGGTTTTGTTTATTTTAGAAGGGAGACACATATTTGCGTTGGTGGTGGAGCTAGCCTAGCGATCATAAAAATAGGAGTCAACTGAACTGGATTTTATGATCTCATTATTTTTTGAATTGGACATGTCAACACCCAGAGGTGGTTTCCACCAACCAGCAGTGGTTTGCAGCATTTACTGCCTTTTTGGCCACATTCCATGGCAGTGTTGAGCGCCAAGACTCTGCAAGTGAGCTTGCATGATGCCCAAGTAGGCAGCGGGCGTTGGTGCCAGTCCTTTGCTCTGCCTCAGCTAACATGAGTTTTTTCAGTGAAAGGAAGCTGCTCGTCCATACAGGTCCATTTACCCTCTGGTAAACAAACATAGCTATAGAAAATTGCCCATATATAGTTGATTTACCTATCAAAGATGGTGATTTTCCATAGCTATGTAAACGTTTACCAGAGGGTAACACCAATTTCACCAGAAAGTGGTCACCATGACATTCCCCATGTTTAGTCTCTTCATCCCTTGTGAAAAAAAACAGTTTTAGGGTTGGTTCATCAACCCCTTTTGCGCGGTCATTCGTTTGCTGCAACCATCCATTTCTTGGAGATATACCCTCTGGTAAACATACATAGCTAGCTATTGAAAATGGCCATAGAAATTTCGTGACTTTTCCCATGAATAGCATGGTGATTTTCCATAGTTATGGAAACGTTTACCAGAGGGTACATGAGGGTACCATATCCCATTGCGTTCTTGACTTTTGACATGTTTCTTCAAATTTTACGGTGTGTGCGTGTGTGTTGTGTCTATTCTTTCCCCATTTTGTGATGCTAGCCCTATTAATCCGTTATGGCTTTTTGTAATCCACAATGAGCGGGGCACTCGGGCACTATAACCCTGGATAACTTCCTTTTCATCACTAAGCTAAAGCAGTGCCATGCAATTCTCTTCTTGGGATAGTTCTATGAGTTACATACCCCTGCTAACCATCATTCCGGTGATGCCAAAGTGAGCTGCACTTATAGTTTATCCAAATAGCCTCCCGTAAACATTGCCATAGATTTGTGGTTTTCTACATGTTTCAATCCATTTTTACGCGAATTGGTATATCTGATATCTCCATTCATATTAAGTTGGCTATATATATATATATCCTCCTAATATCACATTAAAACCTCATGATACAATATAATATACCATCCAAAAAGAAATAACATCAAGTTGGCTATATGTATATACAAAAATATATATCCTCCCCCATTAATAGACCACTATATAATTAATACACCTTAATATATTATTACCATTCCATTAACATTCCATTCATTTCCCAACAGACCATTCCTCCAAGAATCATCTCCTCAAAGAGCAGCAGCCCTCGACGACCGGCACGTGCACCACAGGCAGCCACTGCGTTGCTGTAGGCCGTGGCGCTGGGAGTGTTGCCAGCCTCCGTTTTCGGGGAAAATGTCCGGGAACTAGGGTAGTTCACTATTAATAGTTCATGTGAACATGTGAAAAGACCTTTCACAGTTCATAGTCAATAGTTGATAGATGTTGATAGTTAAATAGTTACTAGCTAATATATAGTTGATAGTTACTGTAATAGTTACTAGCTAGTATAGTTCATGCACAATCCCGCACCCTTTTTTCCAGAATCAATTTTTATATAACAACAATTGGATGGTAGAATATACTTTACATCAAAACGGTATGCATAATCTTACTTTCCGTGAATTTCCCTCGAAAAAAACCTAGTGGCTGAGCGGAAGAGGGTCAGATTCATAAGGATGAGGCTGAAAAGGACAGGTAAGAAACCACTGGAAGGGAAACCCAAGGAATTCCCATCCACTCTGTGGAGCCTGTGCCCCCTATACCAAGGTCATCCCTCTTTGAAAGAGGTCGGCAAGTGGTTTGAACGGGCTCAGCCTATGCATGTGTAGCGGAATATATACTACTGTGGATGGAAGAAATCCCGCATCACCTTGGTTGAAACCCTATAAAGAATGGGATAAACCATCTACCAACTGGTGCAGGATTTCTTCCATCCACCGCAGCAACAGCCTAATCACCAGTTGCATTTCATCTGATCACCATCCAAGTCCTCATGAACTCTCACCCAAATTACCAAACAAAACAACCAGGCACCTTGAATCGATCGTTTTCAATCCAACCAAATCTTATTGGATATACCATCCGGTAATCAAACATGGCAAGTGAACATCCACAATTTATATAGACTGGTGTTCCCACATTTTCCCCTTAAAATTTCCGGTTACTTGGGAGCTACTTGGGAGCATCCCCGCGAATCCAGGCACCTCAATGATTCTGTTGATGATGTAAATGGCCCGTTTGTACAGCCCCGCGGTGGCACAGGCGCGCAGCACGGCGTTGTGCACTTGGTCATCGGCTTGGAAACCTGCGAACTTCCTGATCTTGGGGAGATGATGGTGACCTGTTTTTAGGTGGTTTTTGATGGGGAAAAGGAGAGGTTTTCGGACTCCAATTTGATGGTTGGGAATTCCAATGAATCTGCAAAACCTGGAACTCAAGGTCACATCTAGTGTGGCAGTCCAGAGGTCCATTTGATTGGGGGCTGCAGGTAATTAAAGATTCAGAGGAGAAACTGATGAGTCATTTCGAACCACTCGATGTGATAAGTCAATCGTGCCAAAACAGAATCAACATTTAAAGCAACATGGCCCTGAAATATCTTAGCCATTCAAGCAAAACAAGTCTGAGGTTGATAACAAGACCTCTATGACAACGAGTACATCAAAGTGTCCCGTCTGTTATCCCGCGACCGAAGCAGTCGCCAACGTCACAGGAATCCAACAAACCTTGCGCATTTTCGCCAATTGTGTAAAACCCATTTGGGATGGTGTAATAGGCAATGAGATCAAACAAGTACCATCTGGCTATGGACAATGGCCCATAGAAATATACGATTTATGATGATTTATGATGACTTACCAAGTCAACATGGTGATGTTCCATAGCTATGTATATATAATTAGCTATGTTAAATCACCGGAGGCTACTTGGCACAGCACAACGAACCACAGATTTCTCCAAGGATCATCCGGCCATAGCTTCGCACTGCCAGAACTGGAGCATATCTCCTCAGCGGGAGCTGAGGTTTGATAATTGATTGGAGAAACATACCCGCAATTTGTATAATGTGTGTCCTCAAATATTAAAATCATCCATAAAGGGGATTTATAATGGTTTGTAACTGGAAAAAAATGAGGGATTTTCCAGCAAGGCAGGTTTGATTCTGTTTTTTTTTGCCAAAGGGATAGAGCAAAGAACGGAGTCATGGAAACAGACGAGTCCAATGCCAAACATCAACTTTCACCAACTGTTCGAGAGATTCTCCGATCGAGTTCCCTGGCTGCTTTTAAGGCAGGCATTGAGCCCCAGCCATCTCAGAATCTCATCTTAAATGGGCGTTTGAAGGTGTCCCAAACCCAACAACATGACCCAACATGACCCAACATGACCCAACATGACCCAATATGACCCAACATGACCCAATATGACCCAATATGACCCAACCACATTGGGACATGTTCAAAAGGTGTCTCTCAAAGAATGGGAAATAAACCCGGTGGGACACCTACCATAGTACCCTTCCCCCTTGAGAGTGGATTGTTGGGAGTTGCCAGCTCTGAGATGAGCCATTTACATGTGTCACGCAACCATCACGGCTAGAACCCGATCATTTCCAAAACATTTCATGTTCTGTTCAGAAAAAATGGACCCCACAGACATGTCTTATTTAGCTGTCATAACCCCAAAATCACCTCAAAAGCAGTGGAATCATTGGATGCATATCCATTTATCCAAATAACATCCAATAACATCCAATATAACATAATAATGCAATATAATATTGAACCATACATGACACCCACCAACAATTCCCACAAACTCCCACAATCAGTGGCTGTTTGAAGCCACTTTGGCCAAGCGTCTCTAAGGCTTGAATCAAACTGGTCCAGGTCAACAGATTGCCACGCAGGCCGCGGTTCAACATGTCCTGCTGAGAGAATGGACGAAGTTGGCGAAGATCACAAGGGAAGAACTATAGATTTTGTATTGAGTTGGTGTGTATGGTGAACCTAAACCAGCTATAGCTGAATTTGATAATTATCATATATCAGTTAGTTTGGTGAAGGTATAGCTATAGCTGATTTATTACACTCCTAGTTCTAATAGCAATAAGAAAAAAGTTATATTTTTAAGACGCGCTGGGTGCGCTGGGTCTGCGTGCGACTTCCACCTTTTGCTTGAAGGTTTTATGTGCCTTCGACAGTATTTGGGATATCCAGTGATACCAACTAGTGGTTAATACACACACACACACCCATATATATATATATTCATAATCGTTTGAAAAACATATACATATAATTATATATATATCAATTGCTGAATATTCTGTTAATATCGACTAGCCTTTGCTGCTTGGTAGTTCATTGGATCGACACATGCCATCCTCATTCTCCTCATGGGCTAATGGTTTTGACCCATTGAGTTCGATCATGTTCTCAGCTCTAAGCCATGTGGGGCCCATCGGATTTCCCAAGAATTTTCATATGTGAAAGATTCATTCAACGGTTAAACCTCCATATTTTTGCTGAAAATCTCCATATTTTTGCTGAAAAGCTCCACCTTTTCCCGGTGACTGCTCCATGGCTTGGCCATCAAAAGGCTCCTCATTGAGGTGCAGGGCGATCTCCCACTGCTCCGCGCCACGGCAGCAGGTCATGGCAGCGCTGTAGGTGGACTCTGTGGGAGTGAAGTCCTTGGAGACCTGGATCGTTTTCAAAAACCTACCATTGTGGTTAGTATACTGTTAATCATGGTTAATATTAATGATTATTATATGGTTAATGATGGTTAATTAATAATGATAATGGTTAATGTTTTCGAAGAGCCATAGTTACCCTCTGGAAAATTAACAGTTGGACCCTGAAAATCACCAATAAAAATAGTGGAAACTCACTAAACTCATCTTCCGACCCCTATCTGGCAGGGTCGAACTGTTAATTTACCAGAGGGTAACTGAGTAGTTGGTTAATGACCCCAGAACTAATTATAACCTAAGGTCACCTGAGCCGAAAAAAACAAATAAAAAACATAATAACACCATCATTAATTCATAACCTAAGCCGAAATCTCTGGGATGAACATAATTTTCAAAAAAGCCAATGTAAACTGAGCAAATAAACCACAGTACTGGGAACAAATTATATAAGTAGTACTGTAATTGAACCAATGGTAAATATATGGGACTTAGTCATGTAAACCATAGTTATGGGACTTTATAACTTTTTTTTGAACTGCAAAAACTCTACATAACCTGATGAAATCGGAGCTTGGATGGGGATGATTTCGGATGAAATCTGTGGATATCTCAGCCATGGTTGGATGTACTGAACCGATGATTTCACATCATAAATGGCTATGAAGTACCATGATGAAATACCATAGTTATGGATAGTTATTTATAGTTACTAAGGTACTACCATCATTATAATTATAAATGGTTATGGATAGTTATGGTAACATAATTTGGAAAAAGAAACACTGGAAACAATATGAAGATCATCGGAACGTCATTGATATTATCATGGAACAAATCAAGGCAAAATATGATGGACTCTGTCAGCTGATCAGCACCTTAAACTGCCTTAAACCATTCCAGGATGAACCCAGTCGTGACCCCGAAATCTGCCGTGATACTAACTCTTCGAAGACCTCTAATGCACCTTGCCAGCGACGAGCGCGGGCCAAAGCACCTGCAGGGCTGTTGGATTCACTGTGCCAGAGCAGCATCACTATGCTATCACTACAGTTATGGTCCTTTACCAGTTATAAGGACTTATAACCCCATTTATAGAATTTATAATCCCATTTATAACCAGTTATAACTAATAAATGGCCATAACTGTAGCAAAAAGATGCGAAAAGTGGATGTGAATTCCACTCCAAACATCTCCAGACTATAGTGACTGCAGAGTTACTGCAGAGTCATGGTGGTATTGAGTCTTTCTTATGGGATGGACGGGTGAAACGTCCCATTCAAACACCAGGTTGCAACGCCTGAAAACAATGCTCGTCATCACCATCTTCCTATCTTTATGGATGGAAACGGATGGAAAATCCCATGTGCCCTCTGGAAATTTAACACTTTGCCATGGAAAATAACCCCTTTTCAAGTAGCCTATAAATCTATGATAATCTATAAAAAGGCCTGAACACATATGCGGGTAAATCATCCCAAAAACCTACTATAAATAGAAACATATTCATGGAAAGTCATCTAAAAATGCATAAATTGGCCATGGCTGGGCCGGAACAAAGGCTGCCGCGGCGCTGATGACGGTGTTGTAGCTGATCAAGTTGGGTCCTTCTTGGCCGCTTTCACTGGCACGTTCTTCCTTGGAAGCAACATATCCAATGACTATCCATGAAAATATCCAACAAAATATCCATGAAAATATCTATGAACAATGCGATATAAATATCCTTCTTAATTGAGTATCAATTGCATTTGATTCCATGAAATTAGCTCCTTGGCATCAGCTAGAAACATCTCAACAAGTTGATTGGAACCGTTTTTTTTCCCAATCTATGGTTAATCATAATCCCCAAGAAAATCCAAGAACGTATACTGGTTGGTGGTATACCTACCCCTCTGAAAAATATGAAAGTCAGTTGGGATCATTATTCCCCATATATGGGAAAAAAATCATGTCCCAAACCACCAACCAGAGTGAATATTGATAATATACCAAATAGTTCCGAAATAGTGGTAATAAACCCGGTAAATAACTGATACTAGTGGTAATATTAGTTACTATAGTGGTGTAATATATGGTAATATATAGTGATACTTGATCTCATTGGATTGGTAAAGGGAGAACCTGCAGGTATTGCCATGCTCATATTACCAAATTCACTATGGGGGGGGTTCCTGTAGTCAAACAACCTTTCAGGACCAACCAGACTAGAACTTGCCTGCCATGGCCACATCGGCCCAGTATGGCCCAGTCTCCAACTGTCTCAGCAATGCCGTGGCCATGGCCCAGTCGCCCGTCTTTGAGGCGCTGTTCATGGCGGCACTGTAAGTGATGACCTCGGGTAGGATGCTGAGGATGAGGAAACAGAAGAAACGTTAAGAAGATCGGAAGATTTGTCTGAAAAAATGACACTTATTCAACATATTTATAATAATAAAGGTAAAAAAGAGGTAAACATGAGGAGAGTCAGGAAAAATCACAAGGAGAATCACACTAAAGACCCACAAAAAAGAGTACAACATCTCAGAATCATGGAAGATCTTGGCACTTTGAGCTAACAGGGTAACAGGGCGGTCAATTTGGGCAGATTCCACTAATTGCCAACGTAAATTCCAACCGACTGACATCAGTTGAGAGTTTGAAACGGGGTTTCAGTTGGGAAGTGATGTGTTCAAAATCTCCAAAACAAGAGATTTTACCATCTGGTAAACTAACATATAACATAGCTATGGAAAATCACTATGGTTATAGGTGAAAACATCTATAAATGGCCACTTTCCATAGCAAACTGTCAGTACACTGCACATTTCCCAACCGATCTTTGCCCATTTTCTCTGGGGAAAGATGCCCTGAAAACCAGGTGGCGCTGGGACCCAATCGGCGATCCATGTCGTCGATCAGCTTCCTCGGGGGACATATCCAGATGTTCAGCAGCTCTAGGTACTTATCATACATCTACATCTGGTTTGGTGGTTTTAACCATCTTGAAACATCTCAACAAGTTGATTGGAACCGTTTTTTCCCAATCTATCGGTGATCATAATCCCCAAGAAAATCCAAGAACGTATACTGGTTGGTGGTATACCTACCCCTCTGAAAAATATGAAAGTCAGTTGGGATGATTATTCCCAATCAATCTATGGAAAAACAAAAAAAGGTTGGAAACAACCAACCAGATACGATAAATTACAACAATATCATGAATATACAAAAAAGAGAGGCTCACATACGGATCAAAATGTTAAGAGCTTGGGATTGCATCTAATCAATTACCTTGTGTGTCCTGAGTATAGACGTTTAAATCAATTTAGAAAACACCTTCAGCAAATGGAAGTAGTCATGGTAACTTGACGAACTTTGGAGGCCCCTTCCTGGTTCTGGATTTCAATGGCATGTATTTACAGCCACCAGGTCTTCCAAGCTAAATCTAAGGTTCAACATCAAATTTGGCAGCTTTCGGCCGCCCAACACCGTCACTACTCGACTGAAGTCTCGAGGGTCGCGAAGCAAGCCCTCCAGTTCCTCATTCTGTGGGAGGGTCACTGAGATCAACGACAGCCAGGTGGACCATGAAAGAACATCGATCAGGTGGTTGGGAAAATCAATTCGAAACTCCAATAATGGATACCCCTAGCTGCTATAGCTCCCTATAGCTAACTGTTAAACGTTGTGTATATCTGTTGGCATCCAAACATCAATTGAAGGTCCACCATCGTCCTGAAAGGAGCAGTTTGAGACCACGATTTTTTTTTAAGTGTTGGCCACGGCAAGATGGGTAGAAAGGCCTGGAAAATACCAATTCCTGGGCACGACCTTAATGGTGGGACCTTAAAATCCCACATAAAATCATGCTATATGTTGACAATCTCCACTTTTTATTGCCGAAGGGGACATTGAGATCCATCACCTTCAAAACTGTAGCAGAATCATTCGCACATAAACAATGTATCAACATTTCTCCTCCCTAAAGATGGACAAGGCTCAGCTGCAACTTTCCTCAGGCGGAAAGAGAATCTCATCATGTTTCCCACCAAGTGTCATCTTCCGATGTTTGATGCGAAATCCATATGTGGTGACGTGGCGGTTGATCTTTTTTCCGGCATCCGCACATGTTGACTATGAATTTCATGTTTGCAGATTTCTCTCTCCACATCTCTGGTAAAATTTCATCCATGAATTCCATGTCTGGCTGTTTGTGACAAATTCCATGTCTAGAGTGACGCTAAAACACGCGTGATTCCTCTCTGCCGTTAATGTGGGTAGAACACTGTCATAAACCACCCATATATTGAAATGGTAAACATACCACCAATTTATGGTGATGACAGGGGATGGTTTATGAAATTGTTTTGCCCACATTAGTCGATCATTAATGGTATATATATATATATATGGATAAACCATGATAAACCTACAAACCCTATATGTCTAGTTGATTATCATGTTACCCTCTGGTAAACTAACATAGCTATGGAAAACCACCATGTTCAATAGGTAAATTAACATTTCAATGGCCATGTTCAATAGCTATCGATCTATGTTACTTTACCAAAGGGTAATCTTTAATGATAGGCCATCGGTTCATATCCATGTTTTAATCAATGGCCAATTATGAATTACCAATTATATATATTTTTCTGGTGAATTATTAACCAATGGCCAATTTTTCTGGCATTGGTTGATATGATCCATTGGTTAATAATTCACCATCCATCTCTGGTTATTAATTCACCATCCATGGGTTAATAATTCACCATGGATGGTTTCTGGCCATGTTTTTCACCAGAAAAATCGACCCCATCCCATCCATCCCATCCATCGCTGTCATCGGCCAGGTCGCTGCAGCTCTGAGGTTTTGATCTTGGGATCTGCCATGCGCTTCAGCAGAAAACTCCGCCGGGCGGCTTTGCAACCGCTCATCCTCAGCGACTGAGGGGAGTTGAGGGACAAAAATACCAACACGGGGCTTCTTGAAACGTAGGGAAAACAAGAAAAGTAGGCAAACATGGGCTTGACCAAGCGAAATATGGTGAGTTTTGAAGCTGAAATTACTTTCATGAATCAATGAATCAGGATCAATCAGGGTTATATGAAAATTCCTCTATGGTCATCATATTTGCCACATGGAATAGAGCCAGGTTTCCTGCCATCATTGCTCTCTCCTTCATCTCGTCGTCCGGGGCGACCCCTGGAACTCCGACTTCGGCGGCTCTTGGGAGGGTCACGCGTGCGCATGATGGCCTGAACTGGACACGTTTCTGGTGGTTGAGCCACGCCTTTAATGTGAATCATGTAGGGGATCATGTTCCCAAATATGGGTTGGACAGTTGGACATAAACACGAATTATTTGAAACTATCAATCAACATCAGCATTGCTGTATATTGCTGTCATTTCCGATATTTCCGCCCTTGGATCATTTAAAGCGAAGTCTGGGGATGGGTGTTTTTTGTATCAGTTGCACATTCACATGGAACAAATCTATGAAACCATCCTAACTAAAGAGTTTCAAGAAATTTATCCCAGCCGCCAGAGTTTTTCATCAGCTCTGCATCAAAACATGTGGATTCCGCCTGCGCAACCCGAGCACTGAAGGTCCCATTGAAGGCGAGTTGTTCTCCGGAGACCCAAAGGATAAAGACCTGAGATGTCAAGCTTTTTCACGAAGCCAGTTCTTTGAAGAGGGCAAAATATGGCAAAATCTACTCTCTCATATCCTAACTAAATGGCGATTGCAGGCGAAATGCCCGAACTAGCCATGGAGGTCTATAGTTTTTTTTTGCCAGGGCTTCTCAGAGGATTTGCCCCACCACACTGCCCGCATCTTCGCGCAGGCAAGGGTTGCCAGATTTGCCAGGTGAAATGACAAATAGCTGGGAACATCATTGAACTAAATGGTGAATATTCCAGCAACAAAAAATGGCGCATATTTTTGTACAGTTTTGCGGTCCCAGATTTTTTGGGACATCCCCATGTGGCCTGGCCTTTCCCCATCCCCGCTGTCTGAACCCCAAGAGTTCCATTGCCAGGAATCTGTCGTGGCACACAGCCAGACGTAGCGCCATCGCTCCAAAATCATTGCATCGCTCATGGCAGGAGGTTACTGGTTGGTTGAGATCAATTGGGGGAAAACACACATTTGAAACCAACAACCAGTGCTGGTTGGTGGTTTTAACCATCTTGAAAAATATGAAAGTCAATGGGAAGGATGATCCCATATATTATGGAAAAAATGTTTGAAACCACCAGCCAGAGTGGCGTGTTGAGGTTTCGGGCTCAGTTTTTTTCTCAGCTATGTTTGTTTGTGCATTGAATGTCACATTGTCCCACGGCTCTGGATTTATGCTTCCCGTAAGATTATGAAGCACATAGGCTTGTCATGTTCTCGGCTCAGCTAGGGGCCCCGGAAATATTGTGCCCTAACCTCTGAACTTCCAGCTCTCCGCGTGGTTCAACCTGGAATAGCATGTCTCTGCATTTGGACCAAACAGCTATATGTACACATGTATGTATATGTATGTACGTGTGTATATATGTGTGTATATGTATATTGTGTATATATATATATGCCACTCCAGAGGAATGCTGGTCCAAAGACTGTTGCAAAGTGCCAAATTGTGGCATTGCATGGCTAAAAAAGAAACACATCAGTCATCAAATGTCCATAAACTGAATGGATTCTTGGAAAACACCCATATCATATGTGTTGTTTCTCATGCATATCCCATTCACCCGATATATTGCGATAAACCAGGCAACAGAACCCCTTATAGCAATCAACCATCATTCCGAAGCAAACCAAACATAAATCAGCAAAGAAGTCCCCGAGTCCAGAACAGCAAAAAGTCAATAATGTCAACCCCGGATTTTGCTAAACCATGGTTTATGACAATTTGGGGGGTACTCCTCCAACAGTCATTTCATCTGATACTTTTTTATGATACCCTCCAAATTAAACAGCCGTAAACAGGGTTTATTAATCCAGGGTTGACATTATAATTACATGATATAACCCTCTGGTACAGTAGTGACTAGCATAGCTATTGAAAATGGCCCAGTCGAAATAGTTGATTTTCCCATTAAACATGGTGATTTCCCATAGTTATGTAAACGTTTACGATAGAGGGTAACCCTCCTCATCGCCGTCAAGAACGCTTCATCAAAAACCCAGCTTTATCCAAGGGGGAAGCTTTGGAGCCGGCACCTTGCCCTTCATGCCAGTTGGCTTGCGTCCAGTGCCTACGGTACACGGTGGCGAAAAAATGCCGACAAAGCGGAGGGGACAAAGATGTGGGCAAATATGAAATATATCATGAACAAAATGGCAATTTAAGTCGGAAAAATCAACAGAACATCTGGTAATCTAGTATTGAACTGTATCAAACAACTCTTTTTTCTGGGAGTTTGTGGGTTCAATACACCACATCTGTCACAATATCATAGAAGATCATTAGCATCTCCATAATCATGGGGCCTTGGGAATGAATGATATGCCCCATTGGAGTCATCCCCTTGTGCTAGTGGATAGTTACGCCAAAAAAAAAAATCAAACTGAACTGAACTAACGCTATGTTTTCTGATCCTGGTGTTGACCGGTGGGAAGGGAGATAACTTCTGAGATAACCAACATGGGCACGGAGTATGCTGCTCAATGCGTAAGACTTAGAAAACGATGCTGCTTCCTTCATCACCAATGATGGATATTGGATGATGGATAAGACGGATATTGATGCTGGATGATGGATGTTGGATCACCAATATGAACTGATTATTGAACATTGGATAATTTGGATATTGATGGATATTGGATGTGGGTCAAAACATGTCAAATGCCCGGGCAACATCTGAAGTCTCCTTTCAAATCGGGGCATCTACCCAACATGCACTCCCAAATATTTAAGATGGAACATGGACTGTGAAATCTTCAAAAACATGTTTCCTACATGACATGGCCATTTCTGTGGGTGAACCCAAGTTTTCAGACTTCTCCTTTGAAATTTCTGCTACACCCACAGAATATCATTTATCGCCACATTTGCCGCGTCGCCCTGTATCTTGCTGACAAGTCACCCATCATGGTGTCGTTCCTGAAGGTCGAACTGTTACAGGAGGAAAACAACAGCCATGGGATAAAGCTGTTACCCTACAGATGGAGGAACTTGGCTTACCAGGGACCTGGTAAAGGGAATAACTGGTTGGTGGTATACCAACCCCTCTGAAAAATATGAAAGTCAATTGGGATGATGACATTCCCAATATATGGGAACATAAAAAATGTTCCAAACCACCAACCAGATAAAATATGTAATGTAAACAAACGCTTTGTCAAACATCCAGAAGGTCTAAATGTTATGGAATCGTAAGTACCCCTGAACATATTTGATGGCTCTGGTGAAGGTCAAAATTCTTCAACCAGAAATCTCAAAAATGCTGTTCATACCATTAGTTCAACTTGATCTATCATGGCGCATCATCGCAGAGTGCTCCTCGTACGAGAATATTTTTGGCCTTATCAAATCTTCCTCCAAAAGTTGATCTTGGTGGGGACCTCATCTTTATAGTTAACGTAGCCTCTGGTAATGTCACACTTTGGGGGCCATTTGACCCCATTTGAACCAGCCGCCATAGTCAGAGGCTGCTGTCAAGGATCATCATCTCTACCCTGGCGTTGGTCTGGCACCGAAAAACGGCGCCGGCACTGCTGGCTTTGGGACGCTCTGAGCCGATTCTGCAGCGACGCTGAGAGAATTAGTGGGAGGACCGGCAGGGAACCACAATCTTTGGGTCACTTAGGAACCCTTGGATGGTAAGGACCTACTGTATACAGTATGTAGTCTTTTTCTCATGTTTTTCCAGATGCATTGGGTATAGGGCTGGGCATTTGAGTGCGTGTCTGGCCGGCAAAGGCGTTCGGTGGGGGATTTGGAGCCTGGGTTGGACATTGCAAGCTTGTGACAGTCGAAAGCAGCAAACCTTTGACATGGATTTGCCGGAAGACACCCCACGGCTGCAAGGGAACAGCAGCAGCAGCATCATCATCATCATCATCATCACCATCATCATCATCGCCGTCCATTCCAATGACAGTTTAGAGGTTGTAAGTCATAACATGTTATAACACCTTACTATTCATATTCATAACCCTAGTATGGGACACACCCAAACCAACAACAACTTCACCACTCACTTCCTGCCAGTTTCGATGGAGGTGTTCGCCATCGCCAAAGCCAGGGGAATCCACCAAGTACACAGGCCTGGCTTCAGGCGGCTGCATCGGTCATTGCCAATGGCTATGGTCATCAACTTATCATTCTATATCAACCTATAGAACCTAGGTCCGAGGAGAAATGACCTGCTCCAGCTCTAGACTCTTGTCGTTTTTTTTGTTTTTTTTTTTGTGTGTGTGTGTGTCGTTGAACGTGTTCACCAAACATCCAACAACGAACTCCCCAAAAAGAAAGGGCCATGGCTCGCCTGAAGCGTAGATCGCCCCTGGGATGCAGTTCAAAGAGCACTTCATCCGTGCGCCCCTCCTGGCGGATTCCCCGGATCCCGGCTGGGCTCCATTGGGGTCGCTGGGCTGGAGAGGTGTAGAACTTATGGATGTTTTGGGGTCAAACTTACAACTTATAACACTTATAAGAGTTATGTAGGACTTATATATATATATATGATAGATAGATACTTATGGATGATTTGGGGTCTGGAAAGTTCTTGTGATGTTGCTTTTTGCTCAGGCACTTGGCAGCTGAAGCAACACAACTAGCATGGCGATCTCCTTAATTTTTGCAGCCATTACTTTTCGACCTTTTTCGACGTCACATTGCAAACCCTAAATGGCAGCAATGTGATCAGTCTTTTACATGGGTGTTTTGCGTGCCGTGATTTTTTTTCGCGATTCCCACCGCTAGTTTTGGATGCAATGTCCCTAAAGATCCCTAAAGTCAAGTTTTCACACGTTTCCGCCTCGCTGTGGGTCAAAATTGATCTTGTAGTCTGCACATAAAATGGAACCTAGATTGAACCATGACCATGTTATCATGTTCCAAAGTGTAATCATATAATTTTCCAGACCCATTTTGTTTGAGAGTTCCAAAAACATTTATGGTTATCATCACTTTCCACATAAGTCATTCACAATCATCGGAAATTATCCCAAAATTGAGTTCCCACTCCATTTATCCACATAATCAGGGTGCGTCTAAAAATTAGGTATCCCAAGACCCGGTAAAAAAAAAAAAACATGCGTCCTATTGTAAAATTGCTATTTCATCGGTGCCCATTGTCAGGGCATCTTCAAAAGTCATTGTTGGAGATTAAGTGTCCCAATGGAAATGGTTGTGTGATGTAAAACATTGGGACATTTGCCAACCTCTGTCCAATTATCTAATTACTGTATCCCTACGTTAATCTAGACTAAGTTTGTATCCCAATTAAGCCACCATTATATACTATTTATATATATATGTGTGTGTGTGTCCCCATTTGTAATATATCACCCTTAAATTCCCACTATATCCCCATATATCCAATGAATCATGAATCATCCCCATGATCATCCCCTAACCTCAATGGCCATGGAACTGATGTATTGGAGGTACCTATCATATATCATACAAGGCCTATGTTTGAGGCCTAAATTTCAAGGGATATAGCATCTGGCAAACTAACATAGCTATGGAACATGGGTGATTTATAGTAATTATGGTGATTTCCCAGTTCGCAAACTGTGAATGTTTACCAGGTCGGGTAGGCTCCAAAATATATGGCTTTACCCGCTCCTCCGCCAGGCCAGCTTTAAGGTGTCGCAGACCAAAGACCTGCGTCTAGCTCGACTCTAGGCATCACATCGACCAAGGATACCTAACTGGACCTAACTTCCACAGATTTGCACCAGATCTAGCCCTCCTCACATCCCCAACCACCCTCCGCTGCTCTTTTTGCCGCTGCCACCGGACTGTCCGGGCGTGGCACCGTGCGACCATCGTGGGGTGTGGGGATCTCGCAGAGTTTCCTGAACATTTGCCTCGGTCCGGAGGGCGCTGCAGGATCATCCCACGGTCCTCCTATGACCATGATGAACCACATAACTGGAGGCGGTTCGCCCCCCAAAAAATGGGACCTTGTTCAAATCTGTGATGGATCACTATATGGATGTGGGATTATAGTAGGATCACTTCAATTTGTAAGTTCCTCATATTGCGGGTCATGTTGGAGGATACTTTGCTCATGGCTATCACTGTGAATCCCTAGCACAAGAGTATGCATTCCGCGGCAGGTGTGAATGGGCGCAGATTCACACCTTACAGCTCCAAACCTTTTTGGCAGATTTGCAGCTCCAATGTTTGCAGCAATGCATATATAGATACACACCCCAAGCCACTCATGCAGTATCCCATTTCTTGTATCCCTTGGACCAAGCATCCAAACTGACTCTCAAAATCGAAAAGAACAGGTCAAGAAAATACAGTCAGGTTACCCTCTGGTACACGTTTACATAACTACGGAAAACCCATCATTTTTGATAGGTAAATCAACTATAAATGACTATAAACCACTCATTTTCAATAGTGGAAGTACTGTACCCAAAGGTATCTGCTATATATCTAACCATTATCCGTCATATATTGTGGTTTGTCCATGGTTTGTCCTATATCCTGCTGTTATGTCAATGGGAGTTTCAGGATCCTAAAATGGAGATACTGTACCATATAAGGCCATATTTTGTGGTGATATTCCCTGAAATTTAGGCCATATAGGCCTTATATGGTACAGTAGGTACCTCCAATCAATCGGTTCCTGAGTCATGGCCATTGATATAGTGGGCATATCTATAGGGAAACATCATATAGGGATATCGGATATATGATATATTATGGGATATCCCACTATATAGCCATAGTATGCCATAGTCATCTGCCATTGATTATGTCAGTTACCCAGGAACCCATCGCCATTGACATCGCCATCGCTCCAAGGTGCAGGTTTTTGTCGAAGGTGAGACTTCCAAATTGCTGCCGATCCCCGGTGATGCTTGGAATCACGATGCCATCGCCATCTTCGAACTCATCCACGGCAGCCTGTAAAAAAAAGCCCTTGAAACAGCGCCCTGGTATTTTTTTGGGGGGAACCCCATATTTATACCTGGTTTATTTTTTTTATTGGGATTCATGGGAGGATTTATGGGGGTAGAACATGGTATAATCATGTATATATATATAATCATATATAAAGTCAAGTTTGGCTAGAGATTACCAGCAGTTTACACACCAGAAAAAAACCACAGAACTCACCCAGGCGCCTTCTTGGCGTCGGTGAGTCGTCCAAAGCCCATGGGAACGTCGGCATTGACCTGGTTGGGCTCGCTTGATGAAGAGCCGGTTTAGGAATGGTCAATACTGGTTAATCATGATTAACATAACTTTCAATGGTTAACATTATTCAACATGGTTAATAACTGGTTAATTAAATCATGACTTTCAATGGTTAATCATGTTTAATAATGGAGCCAAGTTAGCCAAGGTTATTTTCTGGATGTTCTGACTCCGAAAATGGAGGCACGAGAACTCGCTGCCATTGTGCTGGCCGTGTTTGCTTTCAAAGTCCTTATCTTATAAAAAGGCACCTCAAGCTCACGCAAACACTAAGAATGGTTTATTTTCCTTTAGCTTTGTTTTCCTTTAGCCTACTTGTCTGGACTAAAGCAGCCACTGCCAGCGTCAAGCAGCCCCCAAATCAATAGAATCAATTTCATCACACGTTGCCTAGAACCTTTAAGTTGCCTAAGAAAAAAACATGTTAACCTCATGTTTCTCCTGATAACCTTAATGATTTATATCATGAAGTTGTGATGTGGTTGACATGATGATGTGACAGCTAGCCATGACCATTCGTCCCCAACTTCAGATGATTAATACATTTACACGTCTATACACATACAGTCACATACATGTATAATTAATCATCCGAAACTAGATACAGGCAAAAGAGAAAGTCACGCCTAAGTCATGCCTACGGGGCTTCCCCCATTGTCACCGCTGTTTCCAAAAGTCACGCCTAAGACATGCCTAAAAGGTTTTCCTGCTTGTCACCGCAATCATTCCGGCACTCATTCAATTGATGTGGTTTCAAACTGTTCTTGTGGCCAATGGTTTCGATTGAGTTGTTTAACAATGGAATTATGCATTCACTAAGAAAAATCTCACATGTTCCCTTTTCATAAGGACCACACCCAGCACTCAATGCAGTTTGTTTTCCTTACGTTAACTTCTTACGTTAACTCCTCCGCAGCTAATTCTGGCATTCTGCAGCCCGTGGTCACGACATTGTCTGTTCCCTGTAGAACATGGACACAAACAATTATCTATTGATACATTCTCATATTATTATATATTTTTAGTCGTGATTTCATGTAGTTTCAATCGTAATTTCCATAGATTCTATCATGCTCCTCCATGACTTGGATGATGGCGTCTGCCTGGCTTAGTAAACCTCCAAATATCATCCACTTCCCATATTTTGGTGCAGATTTCAGGAAATATATATATATATATGTATGTATGTATGTAAGTATGTAAGTATGTAAGTATGTAAGTATGTAAGTATGTAAGTAAGTATGTAAGTATGTAAGTATGTAAGTATGTAAGTATGTAAGTATGCAAGTATGCAAGTATGTATGTATGTATGTATGTATGTAAGTATGTAAGTATGTAAGTATGTAAGTATGCAAGTATGCAAGTATGCAAGTATGCAAGTATGCATGTATGTATGTATGTATGTATGTGTGTGTATGTGTGTATGTGTGTATGTATATATATATATACATCCATATACTCATATAACATATTCATCATCTTCCATCTATCCCAACCCTCCATCCCCATCCACAACCCCAACCCCAACCCGGCCCTTTATCCCATCCGCCACGTCACGTCGTTGAAGAGCACCGCCGTCTCCAAACGGAGCAGCTGATCCGAACGCCAGTGTTCGATGGCCAGGGCGTTGCTCGGGAACCTTGGGGACGTGCGGATGCACCCAACCGGGTTGGAAGGTTGGGAAAAAATGCCCCAAAAAAAACCCACAGGTCGTCCAAGTGTGCAGAAAAAAACTAGTATTTTCTTGATGTTTTGTGATGTTTTATGTTTTTTTTGGTGATGTTTTATGATGTTTTATGTTTTTTTGGTGATGTTTCATATGTTTTTTTGTTGTAGTACACCTTGCCGCCAGTGCCATTTCCATGCCGCCAGTGCCTTTTCCATGTTTGCTTTGGCACTTCTACTGTGCATCTAGAAGTTGGGAAGGTGATAGCCATGAGATCTCTTTTTGCGAGACGTGTAGGAAATTGGTCAAGACTCCTGACAGCTTTGGGAGAACCAACTCTGTAGGGTATGAACATCATTTAGTGAATTTAGTGACAAAAAAAAGGAACATGAAGGTGAAAGGGAAAACATGAAACCACAAAAGGTGGTGAACTGAGACCTTGCCATGTTCACCATGACCATATTGACTAAGTGTCATCTGACTGGGAGTGACAGATCGTGCATGATGTGCATAAGGATCCCTGTAAGGCCAAGGTGGTGAACGCCCCTGCTGATCAGGCCGAAGCACTCAATGTCAGACCTGTCACGCAAATCAAAATAGAAATAGAAACCTCAGCTGTCAAACAAACCCACACCAGCATGGCAGTGTGAGCATTTTCCTTCACCTTCACTTACCCTCCTGCAAAATAACTGAAAGATATGGAAAACGTACCGTTCATAGATCATTTTCCCACATTTTCCCAGGGCAAGTTCTGGGTTTTCCAACTCGTTCTGTATGGCCCCAGTAGTACCTCCTTGGTTACTATGGCTTCACCATGCGTCACGGTGCCTTGGATTTTCCCACACCGGATTTTCTCACTAAACCCCTCGATCAAATATGATCAATTGTTGGTCAATTTCCCATTGAAGCATCGGTTTCACAGTGCATTTTCCCATGAAAAGATCCATGGAACACTTCGTCTTCTGCGAGCGCCAGGTGCCAACGATTGGCAGCAAGCCCTTGGGGCAGCCGTTTCCATCCATCCGTTTCCTGGCACATCTGGCAATTTTCAGGTGCTGAGGTGCTCAGCAGAGAGTTCAAATACACTAATATAAATAGATGTATTTGACAAAAAGGAACATATCTCTATATATATATATATCTGTCTCTCTCTCTCTCTCTCTCTATACATATATATATATATATTCCATAGTTATCCCAGGGACCCAAACATCCTTATCTCCCTTCAAATCCATCCAAACCGATCCAAACTCACCGGACCCAAACAGTTAAACTGAACTACTCCTATCGAGTGGTGCCCCCCAGTAAGTTGCTACTCCTAATCCCCCTTTTCACTAGAAAAAATCACCCAAACTAACAGTGAAATTGGAGTTCTAACAGCAACTCCCCTAACAAACTATCCATCAACATCCACCCACCCTATAGTTATTACTTTGGCTATATATCCTATCAAGCCAGTTGGAGGTGTCTCTTCACCAACGGCCGGCCGCCTGGTCATGGCTTCCCCCAGCTTCTCGTGGCCGAAGCCCTCGCCAGTGCTACCAATGAGGCGTGGCGACCACAGACCGGTGCGGTTCAGCTCGGCCGTGGCGAAACGAGACATGATCAGGGCCTGGAGGGGAAGCGACTGGGGGAACCAGGAAAAATGGGGGGATTTGATTTGACGAATGGGACATTTATGAAAAAAAATAGATTTTCCGAGTGATAGTGAAATTGAAAGATGAATTCAATTATGATTTGATTCAGCACATCTCAAAGAAAATAATGATTTTACACCGTGTGGATTTGATGAGTCAACTTTGGGACTTAACCAACAAAAAGTGAGGAATAAACAAGTGAAATTGGAGAGTGTACAGTGTACATGTACAAAGTGAAGTTATAACAAATTAAAATTTGAGCCTCAACCATATCTAAAAAGTAAACATGGAGATTAATTAAAATCGTGCGAACTCGGGATTGAGATCATATTGGATACCCTCCGGTAATCAAACGTGGCAATGGAACATGTCTTATAAATGGAGATTTTAATGAAATAAAACATCTATTGTGGGTTTTCAATTGCCACGATTGATTACCGGATCATCCACACATGCTCATGACAGCAAGCCAGTAGGAGCTAACATGACCAAGAATCCTGCAAGAAATCTGAAGTATACTGCCAGAATCTAGTAAGTAAGAAAACGTATGTCTAAGCATGCCCCTGCAAAGGAGCCCTTTGAGTGGTGCTAAAAAAAAAGGCTGGCCATCATGGAAAATTGTGCACCCAATAAGTGCTGGCCATCAATGGGGATCCTGTAGGAAAGCATGGTGGGGGCATTGTACTCTCTCTGTGGTATTTCTCAACTAGCAATTCTGCAACATATGGCATAGATATACCATCGGAATCATCCAAATCCGGTTTGAACATCAAGGAGCCAAACGGTCTCGCTCATCTGGGCTGCGTGAGAAAAAGCTCTCAAATTGTTTCCTGAATGGCAAAGGCAGGGCGAAGGACAGGGAAGACTCAAAAAAATAAAAAAGGATTACAAATACGCAATCCTTGTCATTATGACCAGGGAAAGCTATCCAAATGGTACAGAAGACAAATACAGCCAAACCACATCATGTTACTCCCCATTCGTCACTCTTCAGTTCTCAGTCACTCCATGCTATTAGCCATCATGACAATCACAACCAACAATTTCAACATCCCTCAACCACTACTCAACACCAAACACAATCAAAACATCATTCAAAAGCCTTATCATCATTCATCATCATCATTATCATCATCACCATCACCATCACCATCACCATCATCATCATCATCATCAGCATCATCATCATCATCATCATCATCATCATCGTCATCGTCATCGTCATCGTCATCAAGTTGTGGCCCATCAGTGAATCAGTGCTGGGTGGCAGGTCAAAGAGACCAGACTTCCAAGCTGCCAATTTCTTCAAAAACTACATAATCATAATTATTGCTTGTATATATATATATATGTCTAGAATCTATACATTCATCATTTCAAAAGAGAACCCATCAAAATTATTGTTTATAACTTGTATCTGTCACATATCTAACACACACACACATGTATATGTATTTCAACTACATTCAGTCGACGGTTAATCCATAGGCACATCCATCCATCCATCCATCTATCTGTATATATATATATATACAATGTGAGGCCCCCAGGTTATAATAGTTGCTTAACAAAAGCCTCAGTAACTAGTTCGTTATTTGCGTACCATAAACCATAGTGAAATTGGAGTTATGTGCACCAACTGAACGCTATCTTAGCTATCATCATCATCATCAACTACAATTATCAACTAACATTATTTATCTGTATATATATATATAGACATAAATTTCAACAAAACTCACTAAAATGGGAATATCGTTGAACATTATATATATATAAATATATCAACTACGATTATCTATCTCTATATCAACCCCCGAGATCCTCCCAAGCGTCATCTCCGAGACCTCGCCCGATACCTTGGCCGTGACGTTGGGCGTCCTTGGCATCGCAGGAGGTCAGGGGTAACCGTTAAACACCAGAGTGGTAGTGGAAATGATGGGAAAATGTGGGGAAAATGGAAAATGTGGGGAAAATTAAAGGAAACCCTGCGATTTTGCGCGTCAACGTCAAGGTTTCCCGCAGATTTTCCATCAAACGGATCCATTGAATAGTACAATAAGGTGTGCACATGGACTTGGCAACCTCTTGGCCATCTCAAAACTTGGAGACGCCTGTGTGTTCCAAATCTGGCCCGTGTATTGTTTTCGTATCCCCAAGTTACAAGCAGCGTTCGTAGAAGATATTCGTGTTATCCTGGCTTTTGCATTAAACGAGCCGGTAGTCATGAATGCTCATCCCCGCATTCACATACCCTCCCGCGATTCAACAGTTAGCTATGGCAAAACAACGTTGTCAATAGGTAAATCGGTAAATCATCCATAAATTAAATAAATCAACAATTTTCAATCTATATATAAATATATACAGTAAATGTTGATGTTCCATCATTTTCCCGTATAATTTTCCATAGATTTCCCATAAGTCATGGAAAAAAACCATAGCTTCTGACCCATTTCCAAGATCTCCAGGTCATCAAGCCAGGATACATGTCTGTCACGGCCGGTACTTCAGGCTCTAGAACTGCATCTGGGGGAAAGGTTCCTGGCGCGAAAATGCACCGAAAAAGGTGTTCCATGTCAGATTTCTGGGAACTCTATATGGAAAAATTGGGTTTAAATATTGATTTCTGGGAAATGTATGGAAAAATCATGGAAACAACATGAGAAAATGATGGAACATCAACATTTACACTCTAGTAAACTAACAGTTTGCTATGGAACATTGCCAATTTATAGTTGATGTACCTATCGAAATGGTGATTTTCCATAAGCTATGTTAATTTACCAGAGAAGGTCTCATCCATGAAAAACCGTCAAGCGCATGGTTTGAAAGCATGGTTTTGAAAGCCTGACACGGAACCATCTGGCTGAATTATACTATTCATTGAGATTAACCCGGAAATAGCTGAAACTTGCGGTTGGGATGATTCCCCCATCCAGGACCATCCAGAACCATGCGTTAGACGCTGTTATTGGAAAATGTTGATGCTTAAAATCACATATTCATGCATATTGCAGAGCTGAAAGTGACACATAAAAATCGTCGCCTTCGTCATCACTAGCACCATCGTTTGCATCGGACCATTGATCATAACTACCCTCTGGTAAACGTTTACATAACTCAAGAAAAACACCATACTATTAATGGGTAAATCCACTATTTCTATCAACATTTTCAATAGCAAACTGTTAGTCATTACCAAAGGCTATCCAATATCACCGGGTGTTTTAAAGGGGAGTGGACAGTTGGCTTGTTTTTGTCATTTCGGTGATGCCTCCACGGCAGAGATTGGGAACCTTCTTGCGGGATTACTCGTCGCTACGCTGATTATTGGCTGATGACTTGTGTTTACCATACCACTCATCCTCGACAATAGCTCAGCATACAAAGTTTCAACTACATTTCGCCAACATAACACATAGATTTACATACTGTATGCAGCTTAGAGTGCATATGATTGCATTCTTGCGATTGCCACAAGTTGCATCTTTTTTCCAAAGTGCAACCTTAATCAAAAATCACTGAATGTAGGTAAATAATGGTAAAGCACCCTAAAGCTAGCCTAATGCCATATCAGCATACTCATTGCGGTAAACCAACGTAAACATGCCATGGTTAATGTTGTTACTACCAGTCATTGCCATAAGATACAAACAATATCATACATGCACCATTAATGGCAATGCAATATGTGTAAAATTATTTAAACAAACATATAATACAGAAACTGCTTGTCAATTGACATAATCATTCATACATATATTCATATGTTATAGTGATGTTACCACGCTAAATACCAACATAAGTGTACCAACATACGATAATTCTACAAAACTGACAGTACTTTTATAAAATTACTTTCACATAAGTCATGTACATATTTCTTCTACTCAAAGGAGCACCACGGCGCCTTCTGATGATTTAAACAGCTTCTTATGGAAACTCGCTGGCCCTTTCCGTGTGCAAAGCATCGAACTTTCTATGTGCCATGGTTTCCAGGTCGCATATATTCAAAACTAGGTAAGTCATCGAACTAAACGTGCTATTTCCCATAGCAAACTGTAAATTAACAGTTTCAACATTATTATTCCATCAAATCCAAGTAACATCATAACGTCATGTTTCATATCCCAAACAACCATTGTTCATGAATAGTCCTTAAAGCATCATGTTTCATGGTTAACTTTCACTTTTACCCATTTTGTCCCATGTTTTTTGCCATTCTGACTGACCGGTCCTTGTCCCTCCGGCTCCATAGAGCCCGCCGCTGCCGCCGGCGCTGCGTCGGGCGCATCGGAAAGGATCTTGGCGTTGAGCATCGCCTCAGAGACGTGGATGGAAGAAATTCTGAGAATGGAAAATCACCCACTAAACATAGCGGATTTAGTCTGGTTGGTGGTTGAGCCACCCCTCTGAAAAATATGAGTTCGTCAATGGGAAGGATTATGTAATATATTGTGGAAAATAAACATAATGGATTTAGTGGAAACTAATCTTTCAACACCTATCTGCCAGGATCTATGTGAACATTTACAGGGTATTATAAGCACATAACCATATAATGTGGGTAAAACAATGCCATAAACCATCCCCCAGTCATCACCACAGGTGGTATGTTTGCCATTCCGAAATGGCTGGTTTATGACATTGTTTTACTCACATTAGATAGGTATTTAGATGGGAACATCATCTTATAAATTGGGATTCTTCTATTGGATTCCTAGGAAACATTGTGAATAATGGGATTTTAATTGGATAAACCATCTACTGGTGCAGGATTTCTTCCATACACAGTATCATAGAGATATCACAAAGAACTAAAGGTATATATATATATGGAGATTTAATGGGGATTGCTTGGAGATATCATTGGAGGTTTTAGTGGGACTACAGTGGTGGTTTCATGGGAAAATGGGGATAGAACATGGGAATTTAGCCACCTAATATGAGGAAATAATAGAGAACATCAGGGAACCAGAATTAACCCAATCTGACGACACAAGCGAGACGGGCAGGTGATGTGCCATTGTTCCATTGACACGTTTGATTGCCAGAGGGTATCTGCATAATATATATATATATATACATAAATATACACATATAAATGCATACATTATACATATATGCACTGTGTAAACATGTAAAAATATATGCCGGCAAGATAACATATAAAAAGTAAAAACATATAAGAAACCTGTATATATATATATGTACAGCATATATATATCTATATCTATATATATATACATATGTGCGTGTGTGTGTGTGTTCTGGTACCAACTCAGCAATCCAGGGGGGTGTTCAAAGAAATCCAGGGGAACTACCCTCTGGTAAACTAACATAGCTATGGAAAATCACCATTTTTAATGGGAAAATCAACTATTACTGACCGTTTTCAATAGCTATGTTAAATTACCAGAGGGTACATGGAACTGCAGGTGGTGAGGGTTGTAAGGAGCGTATGGCAGGGCAGTGTGAGAAGCCATGCCATGCCAAATGAGAAGTGACAGTGGGCCTGCTCAACACTGGTGAACCAAAGTACGACAGCCCATCAAGAGTGATTGGCTGCTCATCATTGTCCATCATAATTTTCCAAAATGTTATTCAGTTTTCCCCCGGACCGGTTGAATATTCATAATAAATTTCAACATTTTCTCATTTTCTCTATTCAATTTGCCCCCCAAAAATGTTCATTGGTTGTTCATCATGTTCTAATACGTTCCGTATTAAAATCACCATTCTGAGGGGAGGCATATACCATATACCCTCTGGTAATTTAACAGTTTGCCATTGAAAATGGCCATAGAAATAGTTGATTTACCCAGCTAGAAATGGTGATTGTCCATAGTTGTGTAAAACGTTTTCCAGGGGGTATCTCCCAAATGAATCTAAATTATATAAATCAGTCACTAATTCAATAGGATTAATGGCTATTAGGAATACACCCTGGTAATGACTGACATAGCTATTGAACATGGCACTTTATAGTTGATTTACCCAGCTATAAAATGGTGATTTTCCATAGTTATGTTAACGTTTACCAGAGGGTAACCATAGAAAAATGCTGGATCTTTCAGATCTTTCCATATAAATCACCATTTTCCCATGCTTTTCCCATGGTTTTCCCATGGTTTTCCCAAGCCATGAGTTCCTCAGCATCCTGCCACCCGGGCACGGCCAAACGTGACTCTTCCCAGCGCTGCGCCGCAGGGGTCCGCTGCAGGCCGTCGGCCTCCGCGAAGTCCTCGTCCGGCTTTGCTTTGAACACCTGCAGAGGTGGAAAGCCTGGGAGTTGCTCCAGCTGTGTGGCCAAGTGTGAGAAAAAAAATATATATTAATTTACATATATTTACATGTTCTATACAAATATATTTATATTTATATACTATATATATATACACTATATATATACACTATATATATATATACACACTATATATATATTATTATATGGATATGCTGATCACAATGATTTAATAATGGGATACTATCATACCTATAGGAATAATGAGTCAATAGATGTAATGATGTTTATCCGGCAACACCAAGAAAAATAGGGATAGAAGTGGGAGAGTTCACCAACAGCAATGGTGTCCTCAAACGTGGCTGGCTATGGAGAAAAAAAACGAACTAAATGGAGGTTTGTAGCTGGGAAAATCATCTATACATCCGGGATGTAGCCTATGGCCACGTTTGATACCGGATGGTAAACCTATAAAAATCATCTTTTATCCATGGTGAAACTCAAGGTTCGTGTACGCTCCGGTCATTCATAAAGGTTCTCTGCTGCCCGGCTCCGACCCCCCATAGCGCGACAGACCTTGGACACCTGCATAACTCTATCCTCGGCAAAAGACCATGGGTTTGCACATGGGAATATTCAAAACAAACGACCAAAACCCATCAGAAACCGACATGGATAACAAAGAAGAACAAAATCCCTCTGCTGTTTTTGTGTCTTTTTTTTTCTTATGTGGCATGTGTTGACAGTACTCGTTGCTATCCATGCCCCACCGGCAAACCCTCATGGCTGATATTGAAACACCATTTATGCCAAGCCCTCGTGGTTGGTATGTCATATCATACCCAGCCTTCAAGCTGCATTTTTCCACCTTCATTCCACTTTTTGTCGGATAAAATGCCAATTTCAGTGGGTTCAGTGAGGGTCTAAGTACCCTCCGATAATCAAACATGGCAGTGCAAAAAAAAAAACTTACCCTCTGGTAAACTAACATAACTATGGAAAATCACAATTTTTAATGGGAAAACTCACTATAAATGGCAATTTTCAATAGCAAACTGTTAGTTATAGACCATGTTCACATTAAAATCTCCATTTGATTCGGGAATTTCCCAGGCCTTCCTTGATTACGGGAAGTGAATCAAGATTCCTATGTCCTATTGAAATATCAACTTTTGGAGTGGTCATTGTTTTAATCCTTTGACACATGACTAAACTAAACAAAGAAATCTGTAGATACAAACCATCAAACAAACTCTACCAAGTATAAATCATACTAAACTGTTCTCTCTCTCCCCAAGTTATATCCACAATGCTAAATGTAAATCAACGTAATTAAAATTTCATTCTATTCCAATGACACCTGCAAGCTCAAAAATTAGGGCATCCAAGATCGGATAATCATCTTCCCAACGGTCCACATCCAAAAGGCCGATTAAATCACCAATAAATAAATCTACATGTTTGATGGTATAATAAGATATAATAAGATCATGTTAAAACATGTTATGAATCAAATAAAATAAGTCATGTTGTCATGTTGAACCATGGAGAATCATATTGAATCACCAATGAGGACAATTTTGCGTAAAATAATCATGGAACCATCTTGAAAACCCAGGTGAAATCACCAAAAATCAGGAGAATATGAGGAGAATTACATCCGTACATAATGTGGTCTATTCTCTTTCTGTGATATTTGTGATATTAGATGTTCCAATATGAGGAGAAATACCCTCTGGTAATCCAACAGTTTGCTATCGAAGATGGCCCATACAAATAGTTGGTATTTACCTATAAAAATCGTGATTTTCCTATAAAAACAACAGCTATATGTAAAGGTTTACCAAAGGGTACAATGTGAGGCCCCCAAGATAGCTAAGTTTGTGAACATAACTCCAATAACTATGGTTTATGGTACTTATAACAAACTAGTTACTGGGGCTTTTGTTAACCAACTTATAACTGGGGGGCCTCACATGGTATGGAAGAATCATGGGAGAATCCCTCCATCGTTTCATCGCCACGTTTCGGGCGGCGCATCGTCCGCCCGGGCCGCCGTTGCGCTGGCGGCTGTGCCGCTGGTGCCGACGCCGTCGTTGCAGCGCTCGGCGCAGCAGCAGCGGAGCCAGGGCATGGCGTCGAAGTGAAACATCCTGGAGATCGGCAGCTGATGGCAGCTGCAGGGGATGTGTTTTTTTCTATTTGCTTTATGTTTTCTTGTTATGTTGCATATTTTTTGTCCATGGTTTCTTGCCATTTTTTGGGGGAGACCTTTAGATGCCTTTCGTTGCGAAGGTTTTTTTTCAAGAATTCTTGGGGTCCTTTCTATGGTCTTTCATGATTAGTCTAGAATGATTTGGTGGTTTTCAAGGTTTGCTACAGGTTCTGGCAGGGTTTGACTCGACTTGTTGATATGCTGCTCAAGGTGTCAGAAAGCAAAGAAGTCGCTTGGGCCTGACTTATCAAGAAAATACAGTCAACTTGTGGATATTGAGATTTCGGTGCTTCAATCCATCGGATGTCTTTGGCTCCGGCCCCCCAGTGGAAGAGAACTATCCCTCATCTTTATGGCACGTCCCGACGACGTTGCTAGCAACTGTCCACCGCCCCCGAAAAACTGGCCGCTATTCAGCCTGAGCCAAATGGGGCCATATCAGCTATCTCTGCAGATCCATCAATGACACCCTGTGTCCAAATACATGCAATGCACGGGAGAAGAGACAGATTCGAATCAACCAATTTGGGTCAAAACCCTGTATATCAAAATCATTGGCAAACGGAATCCCCTCAAACAGATGTTGACCTCCAAAAAATGGAACTCCATTCCATGCAACATAACTTTGGGGCATCCGCTTATTTTGAGGCAAACCGTTTAACCAAATAGCCTCCCGTAATCAGATGTGGCAATGGAAAACCGACCATTTATAGATGATGTTCCCAGCTACAAACCTCCATCTAGTTCGGGGGTTGTCAGATGTTTTCAGTTCCCATCGATGACACGAGAGTGACAATAATCTCCCAATATTCCCATGATCTATTTATCCCCAAAAAGCCAAGCAAATTTACTATCGTGTCTTGATTCCTCAGACCTATAAGATGGTACTATTCAGTTATAATGTTGATTTGAGATTTCAAAAAAATCAACCAATAGAATGCATGGATTTACCAAATAATTCCACATGCTTATGGATAGTACCAATAATACCAATAATTCCATATGATCATGCATAATAATGACACATGGCATGATTAATAATAATCCAATGATTATACCAATAGTGGCATATTAATATGGACATATTATGGATAATATGATAATACCAATAATATACCCATAATACGAATATCTATCCATGATTAACCCATGGCACATGTGACACATCAACCTGTTTGACCCATTTGACCCATCCCATCCCCACCAGCCTCCCTTAGCAAGGTGGTCTTGCCAGCATCTGGCACACCTGGCCATGGAAAAATCGTGACCTCTGCTGTGTCCGTTGATGCATGAATGAGTTTGGATAGAAAACCAGAAGAGATGATAAAATCAAAGTGTTTATGCGTTCAATGTTTCCAGATATAAGTTTCTGTGTTTGGTCTGGGCTCATTTGGGGGGGTATTAAGGTAATATACAGTTGTAATAATAGTTTGGTTTTTGGGGTTACTGTAATTTTTTCTCAGAAAAGGATCGATAAAACAATCATCCATGAAACAATCAGATGGATGAATGAGAAAAGACATGCAAGTTAGATTGGAAACTTGAAGTGGGAAAGAAGAAAATGAAGATGGATGGAAACATATGGGTATGGATCAATACCTATTAATACCATTTTTAGTGGGATGAACATCCATTTACCAGCTATTTTGATGTTCACCAGGGGTACAAGGTTTTGACCCATCCCCATATGAGGTTGTATTGGATGAGACGCGTGGTAAATGGAACATATGGAGTGAAACATGATGGAACAATGGCTATGGTGGATGATATGGCGATGAGAAGCGAGGCAACGAAGCCCCCAAGACTAGTCACTACTTTGAAGCCATATACATATGGAAAATTGGTGATTTTATGGTGGTTTAATGGTGATCTAATGGGATTTACCTCCTGGTAATTTAACATAGCTATTGAAAGTTGCCATTTAGTTCGTTGATTTAGCCATCAAAAACTGTGATTTTCCATAGACGTTTATAGGAAGGTAATTTTCATGAAATCTCTAGATCCAAAAATATATCAGCACCCTAAGCCCATCAACTGCCTGCCACCAACAGCAGTTTGGTCCTGGCCAAGGACAAACGTTGAAGCTGCACAGCTTGCACCACACGTCTGGCTGCCTGAGGGCGTCGCGATCGGGGGGGGGTGGAGATGGGTGGAGGATCCTCTCACTTATAATGGGGATATAGTCAAACACTATATTATGGATATAACCAACTTATAATGGGTATATCAGTATATCCTCCATTTATATTCAACAACAGTGAGATTCAAATTTTAAATGGTTTTGCGGAGGATCTGGCAATCAAACATGGCTTGATGAGATTATCCCCCAGGTATAGATGTGACAATGTGTGTTTCTCCACCATTTAAATTTCCTGGCAGGCCACCATTGATTCACGGAAAGAAACCAACTGGTTCAAAGAAGCCCGGTGAACGGAACGGGGCTCCCCCCCATTCAGTGGGTTATCACAACTATGGATGGATTAAAAATAATTATACGCCTATTAGCCACATAAGTGGGATGATCCTCCGAGTAGGGGCATCTGGTTGTTTTACTGGTATGGAAGCCAAGCGAATATAAGCACAGAAAATGCTTGGGAATGCCCCACGTCCCATCTTGGTCCTTCCATTGGGAGTTATCATCTGGTAAGTGTAACATAGCTATAAAATGGGAGATAATGAGATATAACGGGAAATTGGGGTGTGGGGGGTTTAACCAACAACAATGTGGGGGTCGGAAAAAACTAACATGATGAGTATTGTCGGTTTCTAATTAGTGCGATGGTAAGTGTTAAAACTATAACCGACCATTGGAATAATCCAGAGTTTAGCCAACAACAATGCAAAACATAGGAATAATATGGAATATATATATATATATATACATACATAATGGGATGGAATGGGATTTACCCTCTGGTCACTTAACATAGCTATGAATACTGGTCATTGTTAATAATCATATAATTATATAATTATATATATAGTTATTACCATATATTATTAACAATGACCAGTATATGATTGTTAACATTGCTAATAATCATATATAATATATATCTTTACAGTGTTTCATAGTTTTGGCTGGTTACCAACTGGTGCAGGATTTCGCAACCATCGATCAACCGGGCGGGATCAGGCGGGATCTGCAACCGCGCCTGTTGTCGTGGTTCTGACTTATGGCCCTGGCGTACAAACATGGCTGGGAAATTCCTTAGTAATTGGTATTTACCATCTGGTGATGACTAACATAGCCATGGAAAATCCCAACCATAAATGGAGGTTTCTAGCTGGGAAAATCATCTATTTCTATGGGCCATCTATACCATGGCTATGTTAAATAACCAGAGGGTAGATAGGAATATCATCTTGAAAATAATTGGGATTCTTCTATTGCCCTGTTTGATTCCCAGAGGATCTATTCCACAAAAAATAATAACCTGGTGTATGGATCTGGTTATGGCAATAGTTTTTGACTTTTTATATACATAGATTGGTGGAGAAGGGTAGCCAAGTTTGCTTTAAAAGTGGATGTTGAGAAAGATGAAGGTGGGCTCACTAGTGGTATAAGGAACTCCTTTTTGACCGCAAAAGCCAACATTAATTCAAGCACTTCGATTCTTCCGGATTCGAATATTCAAATGATCCAGGCAGGTATGAACCAAAATGTGGGTCATCTGAATTTATGATGGGCCGACATAGCAAAAGCCATGGGAAAAACTCATTGGGCCATTGTGGCGAAAGAAGAACCCCCACACAATTCTCAACCGGTTGGTGGTTTTAACCATCTTCACAAATATGAAAGTCAATGGGAATGATTATCCCATATAATTATTAAATTATGGAAAATAAACATGTTTGAAACTACCAACCAGTCAATCTATACTGAAAGATATGCTTCCCCATACATCAACGGCTCACAGATTCATCTTTAACCACTGCCAAAACTGACCCCGTTAGCACCTCATCTGCGTCCAATAGCGAGAGCCAAGGATTCCTCGGCGATATGGACATTTCACTGGGGCCCCAGTGAGTTTCTCATGGGAGTTCAAGATAGATCTGGATCTAAGGCTGGGCTTTGGTGATTTCAACTCACCATTTTAACAGCGTCTGCAACGAAACCCAGCGGCCCATGCCCATCTTGAGCACAGGCGACCCCGGCCACATCAGCCGCGGTGCCGCATGGCAAAAAAAAACAGAACGTGCACGTGGTTGGCCACAGCTGGGACAGACTGTCCCACCATTGCCCTCAGATAGATATATTCGCACCCTTTCTGGGGAAAATGATGCTATATCTGGCAAGATGTTGACGTGAATGCATGTCCTTGTTCCACAGGTGAGAAGCACATTGCTCCACTTCGAGTCTTGATGCAGTCTTTCCTTAAAACATCTTCGAAGAAAACAATAAAACCATGATGATTCTTTGTCTCAGTGGGTTTCTACATGGCAATGAGTCCAAACATGTCAAAACCCTGGCACCCTACCCTAAAATAGCTGGTGAATGTTTGTTTATTCACCCAAATATGGAAGGACTTCGAGACCACCGTCAAAAAAAACATGTTCCAACATCGCCCGTGACGTCTGTGCCATGCTAAAAAGCGGGCGCCGACTTCGCCGGCCCCGCAGCCAAAAAACAGGATTGAAGCCACAGGGCGGTCCCGTTGTAAGGTTTGCGGCCAAAGGAGTTGTGATGAAAAAACGCAAGCCTCAACCATGCTACTCACTATTCATGCATAACATAATATGATTATAATTATTATATATATATATAGACTGAATGATGCTCATGAAAATGAGGAACTACATATTGGGTCTTGGAGTATATACTTGGCCACACTGGATTCTCAACTTCATCAACACCAACATCAACACAAACAAGGGAAATGAGGAACTATGCAAATATAGTAAATGATATCATCTGTACAAGGGAAATATAAAAAATATATATATATATCCAAATACAGTAATGATATCATATCCAAATATCAAATAGTATCCGATTCATCCCAATGCCACCATAAAAATACAACAGAACACCAATGAGCCCTTGCCAAAAGAAATTAAAGTGATGAGTCGTTACATCTCCCCAGCGGATCAAACATAAACCACCCATGGGGCGATAGAAAGGAAGCATCAGCGAAAATGAACAGCGATTACCCTCTGGTAACCTAACATAGCTCTGGGAAATTCACCATTTCTAATGGGTAAAACCACTTGTTCTATGGTATTTCTATGGCCATGTTCAATGGCTATCACTATTTCTATGGTATTTCTATGGTTTCTATGGCCATTTTCCATCCCAAGTACCGCCCCTCAGCGCCATCGGGTCATCGTTGACTGCACCTTCACCAAAGGTGCGTTCCCTCCATCCTGGCGACACAGGGCGACCCATCACCGAAGTTACGGCGAGGCGACCCTGTGATGGTTGGCCATTTATCAACTTCAACATCAACTGGTGATGTTGTAATGGCTATGAACTTCAACTATCACTATGGCTGGCATGTTATGAATAAGTTTTTTCATGGGGATGTTGAACATTAGCTATAAAATTAGACATGGTAAATATAGATGAGCTAGAGTAGATGGAGCCCCTCTGTTTCACCGGCGTTCCGCAATCGGTCATCATCCCATTGTGGTGGCCATCATCTGGTGTCAAACCACAAGCCGCACCAACGATCCAGCATGTTCGATCCCATTTCACTAATTACCCTCTGGTAAACTAACATAACTATGGAAAATCACAATTTTTTATGGGAAAACTCTCTATAAATGGTCATTTTCAATAGCTATTTTGACATAACCAGAGGGTATTTATAAAATCCCACATATCGTGACATCCCAAGTAGTTTCCCCTAACCACATCTAACCACCCCCAAGTTTTCACCTTCAACGCGCTTCGGATCTCCACCAAAGCCTGTTCCACCCGTGCCATCCGTTCGGACATGTCCTGCCGCTGTCAAAAGGCCGTGGGTGCTGCAGCGGTGCCAAGTTGGGTCATGATTCGGTCATAGAAATTCCACCAAAATGATCCAAAAGGTTCAATTCATAATGATTTTAGTGGGATTTTTGCTTCTATGTATCTTTTTGGGGGGCTTGTAAAACTCTGCTTTGTTGGTAGTATAACTATACTTGTCACTTTTTTTTGAGAAGTTGGTGTATTAGCCATCTATGAGAATTGCTGCTAATGCCCATACACCAGGCACCTTGTTGAGAACATTGGCCGATTTCTTGATGATTTGTACGGCTAGTTGGTGAATAATGTGATGATTTGCCCAGGAGCTCGTGGTCAGGAATTGCCGGGGTGTTCAACTTGACAATTCTCCGGTGGAATCCCAAAATCGCTTACGAGCGACCCCCATCTCATCACCTTTCTGGTAATTTAACATAGCCAAAAAACAAAACATGCCATTTAAAAATTTAGTTCCATGATTTACCGATATCAAAAGCTATTACTATGGTGATGTTCCAGTTCGCAACCTGTTAGTTTAATTACTGGTATGTTTTTCCCCAGCGGTGCCGCAAGTCCTGGATGATCTTGTCCTTTTGATCCTCGTCTGCGGTGTTGTAGTCTTTGTTGCTGGGGGCACACCACCAGAGAAAACTCCTCCGGCGTACTTCCTGCGCACGAAGAAAGAACGGCACTATGCGGCTGCGGCTGCTGTATGCCCCAATTAAACCACCATCATCATCCGCCTGAATGAATGAAAACATCATAAAAACTCACCGGAAATGAGGTTCTTTTGGGATAGTTGCCTCTACTAATTATAAACATTTCAGTGACGTTGCAGTGACAGACCTGTCACAATTTCTCCAGATAGGGTATGATTTGCCTGTACATTTGGGTGATGTTTGGGTGGTAAATCGGAGGTTAATCTACTTCACAAAGGATGATCTCATGGATGGGCTGGAGCGATGGGCTGTTCACGAGATTCTACTGGGATTTCTGCACCCTCCGAGGCAGTTCCATAAGTTGCATGACCATGACCTATCTCCGTCTATCACAAAGATCACAAGGACTTTGATTGTTTCCTTACTATCAAAAAATGAATGGTCCATCCCATCTTGATTTGTTGTGCCGATGATGTGGTACAGTACTCGCAAGTAAACCACTTTCTTTTACTATAGTTTATTACTAGAAATAGTGGTAGCAATCATTCCTTGTAAAATGCGAAAGTTCATCATCCCATTTCTTCAACCATCCCAAGTCATCACCATTTTGATGGCTGCGACATGCTGCGACCATAACCAGGACGCCTCACTCTCCCAGGGCCGGATGACCAAACAGCACTTCAGCAAGGACACGCCCGCGAAGAGAAGCAAGGCCGCCAGCAGCCCGGGGGTCTCCTGCGGAGGGAGTCTCTTCGAGCTCGGGTCACATGCCGATTTTATGAATGGTGTCTGGTTATAGGTGGTATAAAGTATAAACCATGGTTATGGAACATTAAAACTTGGTATGATTTTCAAAAGTTTTTAGCCTTCAGGTTAAAAATGTGAATGGGAGAATTAACTATAACTGAGGGTTTGAATGGGAAAATCAACTATTAAAGGGGAGATTTCCAATTGTCACTGTCACGGTTGATTACCAGGTACATGGACGATGGATAGAGATCTTCAGGGTGCCAATGATCCAGGAGTGGAACTCGAGCAACACCATCTAACTTTTTGTGGGGATCAATCCTTTTGAGCAAAACAGTGCCATAAACCCTCCCCAAATTCACCATAAATAGGTGGTATAATTCATTCCCCAAATAGATGGTTTATTATTGTTTTACCCACAATATACCCTTTTTATCCCTTTTTGTCTTTTTTCAATGACAAGGGGCCCGTTTGTTGATCATCTTGGGGTCTCCGTTGTCAGCGTAAGCTACGAGGCGGATCCCGCCTCAATGAGGATGCAGAGAAGCCAGAAGCCAACGAAGAGAAATGACAGGATCAGCCAGAAAATGACCCATTTCCCTGCGCGCGCAGCGAAGATTTAATAAACCTTAAAAAACTCTGGGAGATTGACAGGTCTACCTTTTGGTATTTTAACATAGCTGTTAAAACAAGATTGAAAAAATCACCATTTGGAGTGGGTAAATCATCTATCGTTACATGGGCCATTTTCCACAGCCATGTTGGCTTTGTCATAGCACTGCATCCCGGCCATGGCACCCACTCTCAAGTTCGACCGACGGTCCCAGAAAGAGATTCGATGTTTTGGATCCTCATCTATGTATAATGTATATATATATATGTGTGTGTGTGTGAGTATATGTATATTTGTGTGTATATATACACATACACACATCTCTCTCTCTCTCTCTCTCCCTACATATCTATATATAATTATACATATACTTCAGGTATATATATATAATTATTTCTCTATGTGTCTGTTTGAAGGAGAAACGGAATACAAAATCGTTGAACAAACATTCCTTGAAACCAGCAATGATTCAGGATCTCCGCAGCCATGGCGACCTCGGGTCATACACACAGGTAGCACCGGTTGCACCATGCAGTGGACGCAGATGTCAGCCCTTTCCTGGCTCTCCGGTGAAAATGGTCCCTGAAACCAATCCATTGAAAAAAAGGCACAACAAAAAAAAACATCATTGGGACTGGAATATCAATAACTTTCATGATGATACTTGATGATAGTTGATGATAGTTGATGATAGTTAATGATGATAGTTAATAATTAACTATAGATATCTGGTTGGTGGTATACCTATACCCCTCTGAAAAATATGAAAGTCAATTGGGATGATTGTTCCCAATATATGGAAAAATAAAAATTGTTCCAAACCACCAAACAGAAATGCTATTTACTCAACTACTCTTCTAAAGATAGCTGGCATGTTGTCATTGTGGCATTTTTTGCGGCAAAAAGATTTATATATGGTATGTTCTGGTTGCTACTTCAATTTCATTTCAGTTCCAGAATGCAAACAGTACATTCTGTCAACTTAACATAGCTATAGATAGTCACCCTTTTTAAAAGGTAAAGCATCGAGCTAAATTGAACAACATGTCCATACCAAGCTCTTAAATTAGCAGTTTAAACACATTCATCCGTCTCATTAAGTCACCATTTTCCCTATATGTTTAAAAGACGCCAAAGGGCATCCACTCACACACATAGGTCCTGCAAGAAGAGGTTGGTGGCATGAGAATGTGCTTGTTCGTAAGCACGGCCGTGGACAGCGATGAAGATGTTCAGCAAGGAGATACAAAACACGATGACCTTACTGGCGCTTTGCCATGGTCAAGTTCAACATTGGATTCAACCACCAACTATATATATATATATACCATCTGGTTATGACTAACATAGCGAACTGGAAAATCCATGAAATAAATGGAGGTTTATAGCTGGGAAAATCATCTATAAATGGGCCATGTTCCATGGTTATGTAAAATAACCGGAGGGCATATATATATATATACATACTGTATAAATAAATATATATACATATATACATACATTGTTGGCTATTACCAATCAATCGTCTATATAATATATATATATACATACATACATACATACATACATACATACATACATACATTAATTACATACATTAATTACATACATTAATTACATACATTAATTACATACATACATACATACATACATACATACATACATATATATACTGTTGAGAAAAATATAACCAACTATATTGTTCATCTCTATGGAACAAAACATGACTCTATGTAAATATACATATTTGATACGTATGTATATCATGAGAGTCAACACAACCCCCTCCCCTTACCCCCCCCCTCCAGAGTTATCTAGAAGTCCTGATTCCAAGTCTCTTGTATAAAGTTTACTGTTTTCCAAAATAACCTGGGAATAGAAGGGGTTAGTATCCAGCTCCTTCCCCATAAAATTGTTTTAAAACATATCCGTACCAAACATGCCTAGCCTATCCAGCACTGTTTCTGACCTTATTCACAATTCATCTACCCTCTGGTAAACGTTTACATAAGTGTGGAAAAATCACCATTTTTGATGGGTAAATCAACGAACTAAATGGCATTTTTGTCAATAGCAAACTGTAAACGTTTACCGGTATCCAACCTGCCTAGCCCTTCACAGCTTGATAATCCCAACGAAAAAAAAAAGGCACTGCGCCGTCGCCGTTTTTCAGTTTCTTAGCGAAAAAAAACCCAGCAATGTCCCCATTGTTTGGGCAATGAATTGCACCTCTTCCTGCAATTATTCACCATTTTTTTGCTTATTCCCAGCTTCTGTCTGGATTTCCTCATTCCTTGGGCAATTCTGCAAGCTATTCTGCTTATTCCCAGCTTATTCCCGGCTTATTCCAAGCTAATTTTGGGCAATTCTGAAAACTATTCTGCTTATTCCCAATTTAAATAACCAAAGGGCAATCAGCAACTCACAGAATCCTTCCCTCAATTTCCCCTATGATCCCCTATGTTTTCCCAACATTTTCCTTCAAATTTCTGCATGTGTTCCTTCAATTTTCCCACGTTTTCCCTAAATTGTCCATCAATGTTTTCTCCGGTGTTTCTCATGTTTTCATCATTTTTCCCATGTTTTCCTTGAATGTTCCTATCTGTTCCCTCATTTTTCCCATGTTTTTCATCAATTTTCCTTAGTTTTGCCCAAGGTTTTCCCATGTTTTTCGCAAAATAATCACGGCCCAGGTGCCGCGATGAGCAGCGAGGCCGCGGTGATGTAGTCGCCATTGCCCGCCGCATCGCCACGGCCACCCAACTTCCTGGTGAGATGGTGGCTTTATGGGGGAATAAAAAGAGGATGTAATGGAAATTACATAACCCATGGTGAATATTTATGGGGATATAATGGGATTTGTTTTTGGAATATTTGGAAAATATGGATTATATCCCATTTGAAATATAATATGTATATTTGGAAAATTAATTCGCCATTATTCGCCATAGACCCACCATATTTAGATTTATTCGCCATAGAATAATTGGAATATTTGGAAACTATAGATATAATCTATTTGAATATAACTGATATTATTTGTAACTAATGGTTTATATTGATTATAATCTATTTGGATATCATGAAATATAACTATTGTATCCAAGATATCCAATTATATAATAGATGGATATCCATGATGTAATGGATTCCATGTAATAATTAGAGGATAATACAACTATTCAATATCCATGATATCCATCCACCTTCCCCACTAACTATAGGATTGTTGTTATCATGGATAACTCATCTTGTTGGTTTATGAAGTATATAGTTACCCCCTGGTTATTTAACATAGCGAACTGGCAAATCACCCATTTGTCAATGGGAATTTCAGGATCCTAAATTGGAGGTACGTTAGTACCATATGTTTGGCCATGTTTTCTGGGGATATCCCCTTACATAGGCCTGAAAAATAGGTTCCTGAAATGGCCATTGACATTTTGAGATGATTTATGATGATTTACCTTTTTTTAACATTGTGATTTCCTACAGGATGGTGCCCCCCAGTGATGGTTGTTGGTTTATAAACCCCATGAATACTAGTTCGTTATACCCACTATGAACATCATAACCCGGAATAAAACGCTATATGACTGGATTATAATGGTATAATGTGGGTACCATTAGATCTGCCATAAACCATAGTTAAGATACTTATATCTCAACTGAACGCAATCTTGGGGGCCTGATTCTGTATATGATTGGATTACACTGGTGTAGTCATACTTGCTTGTATATGGTTTATAATGGTACAGTTTATTATAATGCTATATATATATATGGATAAACCCATGGACTTATATGTCTAGTGGATGATAATCTTATTTTGTTTAAGAATTGGCCATTGGTTGATATGATATAGTGATATTGGCCATATGTAGGATATCTATGATTCATGTTTGATGGAACTGACTTATTGTATTTTCCATATTATATTGGTATCCTATGATTTGCCATATATATAAGTTTGCAGGTAATCAAAAATTGTATAATGCATATAAATGGGAAATATCTAATATCCAACCTTCTCTCTATTTGGATATCATGGAATACAACTATAATGATAGTATCATAGCTAGTTATAACGGTTATTCATGAATATCATGGATAATTGAATGGCAATGATCGGTTTATCGGTTTATCCCATGATCGTATTTTCTCCATCGCCTACTCCATCGCAGTTCAGCAGAGCTAGAGGAGAGATTTTTTTTTCTGAATATAATGGTTCTGTATGATAATTATAACTACATATGGATTAATTATAATGTTTATCTATGACTGGCAATTGGTTGGTGATATGATATGGTTATTTCAAATGGCTAACACAGACATGTCGAGTTTAAATGAGTTTATGGGATGACATGGGACAAATGGGATATTGGGATATAGTCTATGGTTATTACTGAATTACCGAAATGGGATAGTTGCCGATAGTTGGCTGATAACCAACTTCAGTTTGCTCCCTTTAGATAAGTCAGCTATGGGGCACCATCTTGTAGACTAGACCTCCTAGATATAGACATCGGCAAAACATTTAACATGGTTTCATATGATATCCAGGTAGTCACTTCGCAAACTTAGTTACGGGTAGTTCACCAATATAGCCATAGCCCTCTTTCATGCTGCTATTCAAAACGGCACATTGTAGGCAAATAAGTTCCGCCATGGAGACTTCTCAAATCTTCTCAACAATCACCAGGTGCATCACACATATCACACATATGGCTATGGATCAATACCTATTAATACCACTTTTAGGGGGATGAACATCCATTTATCAGCTATTTTGATGTTCACCAGGGGGATAGGGTTTTGACCCATAACCATATTATGAATGCTTCCAGCATGTTCCAGCATCTGGTTGCACAGGCTAAACACAAGCTGACTTGGTCGCATGGATGAATCGTGAGCTATGCGACAACTTGGTTCCATCATGTTCCATCTCACATAGCTGTGGAAAAAAATAGAAAATACCCTAGACCCTCCTGGTAAACTAACATAACTATGGAAAATCACCAGTTTTAATGGGAAAATCCACTATAAATGTGGTATTTTCAATAGCTATGTTAAATTACCAGAGGGTAAATGAGGCTGTTCATGGGAAAAATCAGCTATGTTCATGGGCCATCTTCATCCATTTTCCAGATGTATCAGGACATGCGGCAAGGTCTGGATGATGCCGTCACCATCCACTGTGAAGAGCAGCTTGATGGAACCAATCCTCTGCTGAACAGATGGGATTTATGGGATTTTTCTGGATGAAAGGTGGGATCACTCCGAAAAATATCATTACATCCATTATTTGGGATGAATTCTTGATGATTATAAATCTTATAATCCCAAATGATTGATGATTATAGAATATGTTACTCCTATAGTGGGATAAATCTTATAATGATTATATTGTTGATGAATCATCATAATGAACTAATAATGATGATTATAAATCTTATAATGAACCAATGAATACCAATGATGATTATAAAGTTTTAAAAATCTATGTTCTCTTTACTCAATCAATATTTTGGTCCAGGGCCTTACACTGCACTGTGGCCTGCATCGACGTGTTTTTTCAACACCTGTTGACCTCCAATATTTTTTAGCGATGATAGGTCCCACCATCCTGTACCAGAAAAATCGACGTTCTCAACGGCGCAAGTTCACTATATATATACATATGTGATATATATATATAAGTATATGAAATATGATTGGGTTATATGTAGTTCACTGATCAGAAAAACATCTCATGTAGTACTATTGGATGATATATCCCACTGGTGCCAGTGGTAACTCCATGTGACGCCAAGATTCAGGACGACCCATGGACCGCCAGTTACCTGGGCGTCCCAAGTAGGGGTCAGGATACTCAATCTTATCCAGCAACACTTGGAGGTACAACTATAAATTGGTCAGCGCTTCAAACTAAGGACCAGGGTACTGAAGTTGATAAACATATAAAAGTCCATCTTTAGGTACTTTAGATTGTTAGAGCCATCTTTAGGTCAGGTAATCTTGGAAAGAAACTCCATCTGCAACCTACATTCAGTGCTACAAACGTGGGTCTCGGCTTCCGGAAGGATCCAAAAATATTCTGGGACGCCAGAGTTTTTCAAGAAGTCGGATAGCTCAACAAGTTTGATTCATGATTCTGAACAATTCAAACGCTTTGGAACCACAGTTATGGTCCTTTACCAGTTATAAGTACTTATAACCCCATTGAAAGAATTTATAATCCCATTTATAACCAGTTATAACTAATAAATGGCCATAACTGTTTGGAACCATTGGTTTCGATATAAATGACCAGGCCGAGGGAAGCCGAGGGACGCCATTGTCCAGCACCAAAAATGCATGGCAAAAGCCACAGAAAACGAAGAAGCAAATGATCATCATGCCACCGATTTTCTTCACCTAAGATGGTGCCGAAATTTATACCTAAGTGCGAAGCTATTTACCTAGATGGTAAAAACCATTGCAATTGGTTAGTGGTAATGAACAAATCAGTGCGTTCTTCAGTGACCAATCTTCTTTACCTCGGGTTCTTTGATTCTTTGATCTGTGGACAACCAAATCTTGGACGGTGGTTTTCGTCCAGCCATGATCAACAGGGCAGAAGGACAACCACAGATCTACATAGATTGACCAACATCTGTGAATTTTGGGTGACTTTGAGGGGAGAAAGCATTACTTCACAAAACTACCTGGGAGAGAATCTGGTTATTAATTGATGAGCGTTGTACCGACAATCGGCCAACCTGGTCAATGGATCTATGATCGAAAATTCTGGCCAACAGGGGAAGGGCTTTCTACCGTTCACCATTCAAAAATGGGGAAGTTTCATTGATAACTACATTTAGGAACACTCAAACAATGATAACCAACCCGCCAAATATGTGCATGATAACATATGATAACTATAGATCCTAGGTTTAGCATTCAAAAACTGAGAGGGTTCCTATAGGTTTTTAGGCACATTGACTTATGCCCAGACTCAGGGACCCATCTTCTCCAAAAATAATGATGGATAATATTTGGGCATTTCTATGTGTATATTCAATATGCATATGTATATAATATATATATATATACTATTATATACTATACATATAAAGGTTCTGAACTAGACCAAGTCACTGAATGCAAGATGGGAATGATGCTCTTCACACCAATCATTCCCAACTTGAAAGCTCTCAAATTATACCTTGGAAACCCGTCACGTGCGAGGCAAGGGACGGTTCACATCAAGGCACACGGCAAAAAAAGGTAGCATTTGAACGAACAATCATTTAAATGATGAAAACCATCAATGATACCCTCTGGTTATGTCAAAATAGCTATTGAACATGGCCATTTAGTTCGTGGATTTTGCCCATTGAAAATGGTGATTTTCCATAGCTATGTTAAATTACCAAAGGGTAACAGTTGGAACAATAACAGATAACAACCAAGATCTTGTCCAAAGAAATCATCAAACATATAAAACCAGTTAACCCTACATCAACCCCCCAAATCCTCACCTGTCATTTCGCCCATCCATTCCTCCGTTGTTCCGTTCTTCGAGGTGCAAAACGTGGAGCCAGCGAAGGAAGACCAACACGGCAAAGAACTCGTGCCAAAAGTCCAGTTGGTAGTTACCTGGATCTGCCAATGGTTTAATAATGGTGGTGAATAATGGTTAATGGTTGTGAATAATGGTTAATGGTGCTTAATAATGGTTAATAGTGGTTATAACAATAGTTAATACCTGATTATAACCATTATTAACTACTATTAACCATTATTAACCACCATGATTAAAGTGAGTTAATGGTGTTTTTTTAGCAACAAACTCACCATCGGTGCTTTATTGGGATGTGATATCATGGGATTCAATGGGATGGGATTGGGAAAAACCCAAGGGAAAATCTTCACCGGAAACAATGTTTTTTTTCCATCAAATATGGGGCGTTTCCTGGACAGATCTGCCAATGGATCCAATGGTTGGGATATTAGTTGCGATGCAACCATTGTTGAGATAGGTTGAGATGTGATGTTGCTTCATAGAACTTAAGGGCTATTCTGAAAGGAACCTGCCGTTGATTTTAGCGAATACGAATGAAAACAAAATATTTATAAATATTTCATAACTACAGCTATTGATTGGGGTGATCTAATTAATTAAATCAACTATGGAAGTTGATAGCCTGATAGCTATGTGATACGTGAATTATGGAGATGCTTTTATGATTCACCCGCTGCTTGACTATATGAATTCTAGACGACACCAGGCAGCTGGGAAGCCTTGTGGATCTGAGTGCAGCAACGTCGCTGTTGCAATACACAATTTGAAGGCAAAGTGTTCAAGATACAGATTGAGTATAAAGGCCTCCCAAACTCCCAGTGCCTATATAGAATATACATATATGTATAATTATCATTATATAATTAATATTCATTAATTATATAATATATATAATATATATGTTTGGTGAACATTGGCATGTTTAGATATGTTTAGCACATCCTTAGGTCGCAAAGAATCGGCCACAGTTAGTTTCCTGGCCTTGAACCAGCGCAGTGAAGACGAGGTAGTTAAAACTGACGATGGCAGCGATGTCCTTAGCTTCCGCCGAAGAACTTTGGGCAACATCTGGTGGATGGTTGCGAAATCACCACTTGATAGGTGGTAAACATCCCATTATTTATAGGGTTTCAACCCTCCAAGGTGATGCAGGATTTCTTCCATCCACAGTAGTTTCAGAACAAATTGAAGAAATCAATGGTAGTTACGTCCTTTACTTGGCCCACAACCGACCTAAATCCATCTAAAATAGTCTAAAATCATATCTGGTTGGTGGTTTCAACCCCTCTGAAAAATATGAAAGTCAGTTGGGGAGTGATATTCCCAATATATGGAAAAAATAAAAAACGTTCCAAACCACCAACCAGAAATGCTATTTACTCAACTACTCTTCTAAAGATAGCTGGCATGTTGTGATTGTGGCATTTTTTTTTGCGGCAAAAAGAGTTATGGTATGTTCTGGTTGCTGAAAAATATGAAAGTCAGTTGGGAGTATTATTCCCAACATATGGAAAACATAAAACAAATGTTCCAACCCACCAACCAGATATCTAAGTGGTACACCTCCCCATCCGTTCCTGCCAAGACGCCACGTAGTTGGCCACGTTGCCCAAATATGCCCCGGGACTCTGCATGGTGACCATGAAGCCATAGGCCTGACAGGCCTCGTAAAACAAGTCGTGCAGGGCGCTTTCCAACATGATGGTCCAGGTCCTTGGCAAAACATCGTGTAGGAAACATGACCAGATGCACACACACACACACGCACACACACACATATATATATATACAATCATATGCATATATTTAGATATAGACATAGACTTATATATATATATATAACTATATATACACATATTATATATATATATATATACATATGTACTGGTATGTATGTATAGATATATTATATACCTTAACCAACCAAAACCTTTAAAAATAAAGGGTTCATGTGTAAACCCGGGGTTTGAGAAGTAAACCCGAGGTTTGTGATTTTCCAATATGTCCAGCATCAGCCATCCTCAGCCCTGTGCCTCAAGTTCGCCGTGACCTTTGATTTTTTCCCCATGGTGCCAACATCTACCCAATGGATCCTTGGCCTGATACCGGGGGTGGATGCCAGGGTCTGACAAAGCGATAATATATATTTGATATTGTTTATATTCTATATAAATTCCTTCATTCTGTGTGTGCAATTTACTTATGGAATGATCAAGTCTTTGGTTTTCTTGTCACCTCCCCCCTGGACGGACCAAGTATCCAGAGCTAATGAACTGATGGTACGTGCTTTGCAAGTACCTATCCATAACCCTGTGTAAAACGGGCATTTGCGCAGTTACCCTCCTCGTCAATCTGGATGGGCGGCCAATAAAATCTTCAGATTGTTGGCAACACATCCCCAAGGGATTGAACCCCTTTATGTTGCGCTGATGCGCATCCCAAAGACTGACCATAAAATGGTGTAAACAGTGAAGCTTTGGTTGAAAAATAAACAAACACCTGCCATTGTTTTTGGCAAGTGTTGCACATTGAGCATACCTCCGCAAAAATTGGAAACCACACTCCGCGACTAGTTTGCACTTAGCAGGTTCCAACCACAGACTTGACCGGTAAATGATCCGGCTGCACTGCTGAATAGCCTTGCAAGCATCAGCTGCTAAGCCAAGCAAAGGTTCGTTCGGAAACGTCTCACTGGAAAGCTTTGCTTCAACAAAATTCATGAGAACTGTACTGAGGGATCCTTTGTGCCATGTACCAGTAGGGAAAGATGAGGTGGTATCCCAACCGATGGATTCTTTTGAAATCTTTGTCACATGAGCCCTTTGAGAATTTTGGTGGCACCACAGCCTGTACTTTGCAGAGAGCGCTGAAAACCGACCATCAACCTGACCAGAATCTTCTTGTTCGGACAACAAGGCAAGAATAGAACCCAAGAAGTACTTCAAAACTCCCAGATGCATCGTATGGAACCAGTCAAAGTTCCAAAGGCATGCCTCTTTTCCTGGTTCATGCAGGAGGTGAGTAGCAAACGGCGAGGGCAGCAAAAAAGGGTCCTGAACAAATTCAGTTGCTAGCCATGCTGGCCGGCGGGTTTCAATTTGCTCAAATGGATACTCTGATTGCCCTGCTTTGCACATATGACAAATCCCAACTGGAGGAGACCGTACATTCACCCTTTTCTGAATGTTGTTGAAACTTCGTGAGAAAGAACCGCACTTGTGAAGGAACGGCCAATCACCAATGATCCCGAGTACGACCCCCCAGTATCTTGGACCGTGTTCGCTTTTGACACCTGTCTCCCACATGTAGCGAGCATCCCTTGCAACTGTGTCCATAAGGGTTTGCCATGTCTCGGATTCATCATCTGCGTAGTCTCGTTTCCGTAGGCTAGCAATCAAAAACCGGTTTGTAAATGTATGCCCCGAAAAGTTGCACTCCATCTTTGTCCAGTTTCTTTTGAGCCCACTGCGCTTTGAATTGCCAAATCCAAAGCCTAATAGACTATGAAATGACATCACGAAATGGGCACTGTGTTCCGTCCCCGCCCCTCGTCTCCGTGGAGGACAAGGGGGATTGCCCTTGATAGACTCAGTGCACCTGAACTTGCCTCCTGAAAAATCTGATGCTGTGGATGAAGCTGTTGATACTGCCTCCAAAACGCACTTAAAATTGCCTCCTCTCTTGCAGGATGTGGCTGGTGCAGCCCGTGGAGTATGTGCATGCAGCTGTTAACCACAAAAAAGTCAAACCAAGTCTGGATTGGTAGAATGGGGATGTGCTTCCAGTCTCCCAGCTGTGTCCTTTCCAGTTTCAGCGACAATGCGAACTTCTTGACTAAGACCCTGTGAACATGTCTTTCTGGGTTCGCCTTGCTACAGCGTGCTATGTTTAGCAGTCCCCCTGATCTTTGCGCGATTTGTTCACCAACGTCAGCAACAAAGTCACTGGCAGCAGAGATGCACGAAGTACATGAGGCCTTAGCAAGCAATGAAAGCAATCTTGAAAGGGCACAGTTCCAAAGTAGCATAGCTAGTCTTCAGGTGTGCTCAGCACATTGTAGTTTGATCATACTGGACATGGAACCCGTTTAGCAAAGTAACAACTTGCAAGCGCGCACAACTGCTTTTCATTTTTTTCAACCTCTAGCAAAGCAACTTGAGAAGACTACCCGTGTAGAGAACACACGTAGCATCCATTTTTGGATTCACTTCACAGGGTTTGATCTCACCCGTATTGTCTCCACCAATGGCTTAATTGGAGGAGGGACCCTGAAAGATCTGTACACAACATATGTGCTGAAACGGGCGCCATCCAAGGAGTTGGTTGGCACCATGACGCTGTCACCGCCAGCTCTGATGTTTTTGCAACCTGGCTTACCTGAGGGAAGGGCTGTCAGGAGGACATATCAATGAGGGGAGCTCATTAAATATACTTGGGATGGCATGTATATAAGTTGTACCTATAGAATATAAGTTAAGTCCTTAACATACTGGTGTCAATCTACCCTGGGTTGTTCCAAAGCATCCTCAATACTCAATACAATAAGTTGCACAAGGTACTTCGGAAGAGTTCGATCAAGGCAGCTTCCAGCATGGCTGGTCCAGCAACTTCCGTAGATTCGAACAGCACCAGCATTTTAGACCATTTGTGATGATGATCCACCTGGTAGCCGTAAAGGGTATTGGCCCAACGAAACATTGGGTTGTGTGTGTAGCCCACCTTGAATATTAATGGTTGCTCCTTCTGGATGAGTGTAGACAGCACGGATTTTGCATGCTGCAGTACTCTACCAGCTGAAACGCCAGGAGGTGGAAGTTTGTAATCCAGAAATTCCAAACTTTCGCAGAATCTATGGGCACCAACATTGACTGCGGAATCCTTTCCATGTAGCTTAGGCAAGTCTGTTGTAGAAGAGGACACTGGCTGCTCTGAATCTAAAAAAATCCCCTTTGCTGCCAGTGCAGGGGTGGAGGTCTCTAAAACATCGGCGCTCTGCCCATCATACCCTTGCCCAGGCTCAGCTTGCAGACGGCAATCTGGCACTGTACTGCTGCCCCTTGGCCATGGAAAAGGTCCCAAGCTTTCCTGGGATTGAAGTGGCGCTGGGAACTGGTGCCCCAAGATCTTAAAATCATACAACTTCCAAGCTGGGATTCAAAAGCTGGAAATCATTGATGTTGGGTTGGAGCCAAGATTCTGAACGGTGACAGGTGAGAAGTTCCCATAGCTCATCATATGGATTTTCGTCAGCATCATCACTCATGATATGATTTTGATCTAGTGCCCATCACTCATGATATGTTTTGGTGTGGTTTGAACAGAAACATGCAGGTTCCAGGTGGTGTGTGCTAGTGACCATGCCGTGCAATGATATTCACAAGTCCACCCACCGTAGATCAAACCCATTTGAGCACTGGACGCCATCACCAATTCTTTGTGAAAAGCCTCTGACAGCATATCCAGGAGCAGGACCTGGCAAGAATACATTCAACAGAATATTATGAATATAATATGTATGAACTTGAACTTGTATTCGCCATGGATTGCTTTTGGAAACTGGCTGTAGCGCCAGCATCCCGAAAGATCGAGAGTTTCCATTGACTTTCGTCAAGTTGATTGCGGCTAGAGACCGCAATCTTGGACCCCAAAGAAAAGGCCATTTGCGTGTCCAGTTGCTTACTGTAAGTATGACAAAAAGATATGAAAAGCTGAACCATATAGATGTTCATTTTGTGTTGCATTGCTGTAAATCAAATTTTGTAGGACGTGAAGGTTTGAAAGCAACACGCTGCCTTTTGACACTTGAAACATATATCATATATCGTCAGAAGAAAGCCTTTGACTTTTTCTAGCCAGGCTTGGCAAAACACTTTCCCTAATTGCCAGCTGCTTTCTTTTCTTTCTTACTCTTTGGCTTCTTTGCTACTGACTCCGGCTTGTCCTTTCTGTCCTTCTTCTCCTTCTTCTCCTTCTTCGGCTTGGCCGGCTCGCCATCCTCAATGCTCTTGTCGAAGAACTTCTTTTGGCTCCTGGGGTTTTGGCAAACTGCGTTGGATATGGTTCAATTTTCCATGGACACTGGGGAAGGAAAAGTCTGGACCAGTTAAGAACCTTGAGATGCGTCCATGACAACAAGGTGTGTGAAACAACCTAAACCAAAACGAAATCTCTTCACAGACTGAAGGTAGCTTGGCTCCTGGTCTTCAGTTCCACTGCAACGGCTTTCGAGCACCTTGTGATGGCGCTTGAAAATCTGAAGCTTGAGCAAATTACGTGGTGGTGTGGTTCAGGTTTGACGATTGCAATCCAACATCCTGAGGGAAACTTATATATCTTATAATACTTTGATGTGACTTGGGCTCCGCACGCCAGAGTGGCATGTTTCATTTTGTCCTCAGCAGCATTGTAGAACCTTGCAGGTGGGAGAGATAACTTGCTCAAATCCAGCGGTTGGCCTCAACAAATAATATATAGTACAGCATCGCTACTGTATTAGGACCGGCTAGTTTCAAAAAGGCAATGCCAAGTTGGGATGTCAATGGTGATGTTTCTGAAGCTTGATCGATATTGTTTGTGACAATTGGTAAGTCTTAGTGCCCATGGAAGACAAGAAACGACTCAGTAAAGAAGCCTTCGGCTTCCCCTTTTGCCCACACATCCTGGCATGAGTCAAACTGACTGTCCAGGTTTGCAATCTCCTTTTTCAGCTGCTCCACTGACCTAGGCAATTGGCAATGCGCTATGCCGACTTTTTCTGGGACACTGCTTTGATGTGGTTTATAATGTCACTTGATTGCCGATAAACTGGGGAGTGTGCTTTTTGGCACCATCGTCGTCAGCATACTTGGTCTTGAGGTCTTTCACAAGGGCTCGTAATTTCCCAGTCTTGGACATCATGCTATCCAGGAACTTTTTGAACTTGTCTTTCGTCTAGCAGGGACACATGGTAGAGAGAAACATTAATGCGGAGGGAAACCATCATGGGCAGTGCAGTGTGTATACAAGTTGTGAATTCTATGACCCAACCTGCCCAAACTTGCTTTCGGCGTTGGGGCCAAGTGCTGCTGCTTTCTCCTTCTCGGCCAGCTGACGGGTACTGCTTGCCTCCAAACTTTTGAACTTGTCACCAAGCTCAAACTTGGGCTCCCCCGTTGCCTCAAGACAAAGAAGGGGGAAATTGAAACTTAAACAGTTTAGCCAGTTAAGAAGTTATAAGGATTCCTTTTTTCGCAGTGCAGGGGCAAAGGGGGCCGAAGCGTGGGTTTCCGACGTTGCGCTGTGACGCTCCCGGGGGCGGGTGGCGCTGCGACGCTGCGACGCTCCGGGGGGCGGGTGGCGCTGCGACGCTGCGACGCTGCGACGCTGCGACGCTGCCGTTGGGCCAGTGACGCTGCGACGCTGTTGGCGCTGCGACGCTGCGACGCTGGAGTGACGCTGCGACGCTGTTGGCGCTGCGACGCTGCGACGCTGCGACGCGGGAGCGACGCTGCGACGCTGTTGGCGCTGCGACGCTGCGACGCTGCATCGCGGGAGCGACGCTGCGACGCTGTTGGCGCTGCGACGCTGCGACGCTGCGACGCTGCGACGCGGGAGCGACGCTGCGACGCTGTTGGCGCTGCGACGCGGGAGCGACGCTGCGACGCTGTTGGCGCTGCGACGCTTCCTTCTGCAAGAGTGCACACAGCGTTGCGTCGCGGCGCGACACGGAAACCCCCATTGAAGATCGTCAATGAATGTAGAAGTTTATATATAACGGGGCTGAAAGAATTAAACCCTTATTGAAGATCGTCCATGAATGTAGAAGTTCAACGGGGCTGGGAGAATTAAACCCTCATTGAAGATCGTCCATGAATGTAGAAGTTTAACGGGGCTGGGAGAATTAAACCCTCGTTGAAGATCGTCAGTGAATGTAGAAGTTTAACAGGGGTGGGGAGAATTAAACCCTCATTGAAGATCGTCAATGAATCTAGAAGTCTAACGGGGCTGGGGAGAATTAAACCCTCATTGAAGATCTTCAATGAATGTAGAAGTTTAACGGGGCTGGGAGAATTAAACCCTCATTTAAGATCGTCCATGAATGTAGAAGTTTAACGGGGCTGGGGAGAATTAAACCCTTATTGAAGATCGTCCATGGATGTAGAAGTTTAAGGGGGTGGGGAGAATTAAACCCTCATTGAAGATCGTCCATGAATGTAGAAGTTTAACGGGGCTGGGGAGAATTAAACCCTCATTGAAGATCGTCCATGAATGTAGAAGTTTAACGGGGCTGGGAGAATTAAACCCTCGTTGAAGATCGTCAGTGAATGTAGAAGTTTAACGGGGGTGGGGAGAATTAAACCCTCATTGAAGATCGTCAATGAATCTAGAAGTCTAACGGGGCTGGGGAGAATTAAACCCTCATTGAAGATCGTCCATGAATGTAGAAGTTTAACGGGGCTGGGGAGAATTAAACCCTCATTGAAGATCGTCCATGAATGTAGAAGTTTAACGGGGTGGGGAGAATTAAACCCTCATTGAAGATCGTCAATGAATGTAGAAGTTTAACGGGGTGGGGAGAATTAAACCCTCATTGAAGATCGTCCATGAATGTAGAAGTTTAACGGGGGTGGGAGAATTAAACCCTCATTGAAGATCGTCATGAATGTAGAAGTTTAACGGGGCTGGGGAGAATTAAACCCTCATTGAAGATCGTCAATGAATGTAGAAGTTTAACGGGGCTGGGGAGAATTAAACCCTCATTGAAGATCGTCCATGAATGTAGAAGTGTAACGGGGCTGGGGAGAATTAAACCCTCATTGAAGATCGTCCATGAATGTAGAAGTTAAACGGGGCTGGGGAGAATTAAACCCTCATTTAAGATCGTCCATGAATGTAGAAGTTTAACGGGGCTGGGGAGAATCCGCCCGCACCGAAGGTGCTGGGGCGTGATCTTCCGGATGGCACTCGTAAAAGGTTACAGGTTTACCTGGGGGGGGGGGGCATTTTTCGGCCAAAACCTCCTGTTTTTGATAGGTCGTGACGCTCGCCTTCAAAAAACACTGTAAAAAACAGTACGGAAGACACCTGTTCGTGAACGCGCCCATCCAAAATCGGCAAGCGAAAAGTGAAAAAAACCCGTGTTTTTCAACTTTTTGACTTCAATTTTTTGGTTTGCAACATCTTTTTTTGCGGTTCCGCAGGTGGCCTGGCCCGGAGGCGGATTTTTGAGTTTTTGGACCCGTTTTCGGACTGATTTTCGTCGTTTTGTGATAGCAGAAACACTGGTTTTTACAGTGTTTTTCCGTTTTCTGCATGCTTGACGGCTAGCTTCAAAACTTCCAAAAACCTCGTAAATTACGCTGTTTTATGTTACGGTGTGAATGAAAACATCGTAAATACCAGTGTTTTTTGACGTTGGTTAAAAAATCACTGTAAATTACAGTGTTTTTGGCCACCTGACCCTCAAAAACCATAGTATTTGCAGTGGTTTCTGCTTCTCACCGCGCAAAAACACTGTAAATAACAGCAATTTCGCCGTTTTTTCATGTTTTTCGTTATTCCCCACCTGCCAGGTGAGGGTTGTTAGATTTTATGTCAGTTGCCTCCTCCTCCTCCTGCCTCGTCCTCCTCTCCTCCTCCTGTCCTCCTCCTCCTCCTCGTCCTCCTCGTCCTCCTCGTCCTCCTCGTCCTCCTCGTCATCCTCGTCCTCCTGCTCAACTGCGACCCTCGACGCACAGTGTTCTCTGTCGGACCTCAACCACGACCATCCATGCTCAGTGTTCCCTGCCGGACCTCAACCACGACCATCCATGCTCAGTGTTCCCTGCCGGACCTCAACCATGACCATCCCTGCCGGACCTCAACCACGACCATCCACGCCCAGTGTTCCCTGCCGGACCTCAACTGCGAGTATCCACGCCAAGCGTTCCCTGCCGGACCTCATGAGATATGCCGGATAGAATGCCAGAAGATATGCCAGATGGAATGTTAGATAGAATGCCAGAAGATATGCCAGATAAAATGCTATGAGATATGCCAGATAGAATGCCAGAAGGTATGCCAGATAAAATGTCAGATAGAATGACACAAGATATGCCAGATAGAATCCCAGAAGATTTGCCAGATAATATGCCAGAAGATATGCCAGATAGAATGCCAGAAGATATGCCAGAAGATATGCCAGATAGAATCCCAGAAGATTTGCCAGAAGATATGCCAAAAGATATGCCAGATAGAATGCCAGAAGATATGCCAGAAGATATGCCAGAAGATATACCAGAAGATATGCCAGATAGAATGCCAGAAGATATGTCAGAATATATGCCAGAAGATATGCCAGATAGAATGCCAGAAGATACGTCAGATAGAATGCCAGAAGATATGCCAGATAGAATGCCAGAAGATTTGCCAGATAGAATGCCATAAGATATGTCAGATAGAATGCCAGAAGATTTGCCAGTAAGAAAATGTAAAAATGTCACGGTGGGGATCACACGGATCACACGAAGTAAAGTAATTTTTTGAACTGCGTTGGTCCGCTATACATGGCCATCAAATTCTTCGCGTTTTTTTTTTCCGACAATCAGTACTTTCGGATGTTTTTGGTCTCAATGCCCCTGCTGTATGAGCCCAACGATGCGGTGCGGGCGGTTGCCGTCGCGAAGCGACGTGAATTAAACCCTTATTTAAGATCGTCAAAGAAAGTAGAGGTTTAACGGGGCTGGGGAGAATTAAAACCTCATTGAAGATCGTCCATGAATGTAGAAGTTTAACGGGGCTGGGAGAATTAAACCCTCATTGAAGATCTTCGATGAATATAGAAGTTTAACGGGGCTGGGAGAATTAAACCCTCATTGAAGATCGTCCATGAATGTAGAAGTTTACCGGGGCTGGGAGAATTAAACCCTCATTTAAGATCTTCAATGAATGTAGAAGTTTAACGGGGCTGGGAGGAATCAAACCCTTATTGAAGATCTTCAATGAATGTAGAAGTTTAACGGGGCTGGGAGAATTAAACCCTCATTGAAGATCGTCAATGAATGTAGAAGTTTAACAGGGCTGGGAGAATTAAACCCTCATTGAAGATCTTCGATGAATGTAGAAGTTTAACGGGGCTGGGAAGAATTAAACCCTCATTGAAGATCGTCAATGAATGTAGAAGTTTAACGGGGCTGGGAGAATTAAACCCTCATTGAAGATCTTCAATGAATGTAGAAGTTTAACGGGGCGAGGTAGTGTTCAGAGGGGGTCGCTGGCTTGATCTTCGAAGATGCAACATATACTCAAAGGGGGTGGCGGGGCTGATGTCTCAAGGTGCAACGTATTGTTCAGAGGGGGTTGGGGAGTTGATGTCTTGTGATGGTGAAGATGCAACATAGTGTTCAGAGGGGGTTCCAGGGCTACTGTCTCAGCTTGTCCGGTGGCTTCTCGGCTTCTCGGCTTCTCGGCTTGTCCGGTGGCTTCTCGGCTTCTCGGCTTGCCCGGCGGCTTCTCGGCTTCGCGGCTTCTCGGCTTCTCGGCTTGCCCGGCGGCTCCTCGGCTTCGCGGCTTCTCGGCTTCTCGGCTTGTCCGGTGGCTTCTCGGCTTCTCGGCTTCTTGGCTTCTCGGCTTGTGCCGGGCTTCTCGGCTTCTCGGCTTCTCGGCTTCTCGGCTTCTCGGCTTCTCGGCTTGTGTCGTACTTCGCGGCTTCTCGGCTTCTCGGCTTCTCGGCTTGTGTCGGGCTTCTCGGCTTCTCGGCTTCTCGGCTTCTGGTCGCATTTCTGGGCCCCTTTTGCCCGTGCTTTGTTTTTTCGTGTGACAATGCTCACATCATCCATGAATGTATAGGTACACCCCCAAAAAAATATAGCCTTTGCTCGCTTTTGTTGGATCTCTTCGTAGCTGTGGGACTCCTGTCGCTTTCCCGACTCCTTCACTATGACCCAGAACTCTTCGTTCCCGTCATACATATTGTGCCTTCATGGCACTAACAATGGAGGGCTGAAGTTCTGTACACGCAACAGATCCAAAATCTCCTTAAAAAAATGGTGAACGAATTGTTTATATATAAAAATATATGGTGTTTCACCAAGTAGTGAACTGAGCATATATCGATAGCATCCTGCAGCTTGCAGGTTGGTTGAGCCTATAGTAGCCCTCGCCCAAAGCTTTGCACCGTGACTTGGCCCCTTCGATCTTGTCCCTGCAGCCGGCCGGGGATGGATGTGAGCATTCATGTGATACAATACATGCATATATCTTGGAGTTATATAAGACCATCAAGCACCAGCTGTATTCTTTTTAAGTTGTCATATGTTGTCATCTGAGATGATTGGACTGAATATGTCATTGGACTTGTTGTGGAATACGTTTTCAATGTGACAACTGTCTATGATAACAAGAATGATAACACATGAAGACCACCAGCAAGATTCGAAGCAATCAAAGCCAATAGACATACACAAGTCTACTACCTCACAGATTTCAACCTTGAGACTTGGATCAAAATGAGGACAGCTGAGGGCCGAACTTGTGCCAATGCAGCTCATCTCTCATCTCGGATTCTGAGTACCAACCTTCGTTAACCGTTAGTTCCACAAGCTGTTTCTTGCTGACCATAATTCTGAGCTCGTTCAAGAAGCTTTCCTGGCGCAGATTATATGTTTTTTTATTGGTTGGATAATATAGATCATAACTGTCGAGTTCTTAGAAATCCTCAACAAAGATTTAACAAATATAGGTAGTGTGAGTAGACCTATCTGACAGGGCCCAAAGAATATAAACACAGGTCCTCTTGGAAATTGTTCTTGCACAGCAGGTCGGCTATGGCATTTCGGTTTCCTTTCAACCACTCATTCTTAAGCATCTCTGGGGCATTGCGATCCATTCGTTTGCTCTTCGGTTTGACCCAGCGGATGATCTTCGCTTTGGCTGCGTTTCGCAGTTTCACCTGCCAGAAACAAAACATGTTATCATACATTGAATGTCGGCACATGTGAAATTCTAAACGTGTTTGAACAAAATAAGGAGTACATTTCCGTTGCTGAAGAATCCACTCTTTAAACTATGGCCTTCCGGGACACCTCCTTTGCAGCATCTGCTGTTTCACCTTCAGCTGGGGCCCCCTTGCACTCAGGCTGAGATGCTGCGTTGCTGGTCTGAAGTGGAGCTTCAGGAACCTTGGCATCAACCTGTGGCACGGGAGCGCCACCAGTCATGGGACTATCTCCACTAGTATCATCACCGCTCTGTTGTTCCACTTGTGGAATAGCTGCATCCGCTCGAACTGGTGTAGGAACTGGCGGCTGGACCCCTGAAGGCTCTGGCTGCACAGCCTGAGAAAATGGACAAGGTCCAAGACTTTCAGTTTGTATATAGTTTCTTTGTCTTATTTTTTGAGATGCCGAAAACCATGTGCTAGTCATGGACAACAGGCTTTTATAGGCTTTTCAGTAAACTGTCCAATCACCAATCACCACCTACCTTCTTGGCCATGGATTCTGCGATCTCCACATCAGTAGCCTCAAGAGTGTCAGTGTCGATAAATTGAAATTCCGAAAGATTCTTGACCTCAAACCTTGATGCGTTTTTTTTCTAGCCAAGGATTTCGCTGCTATTGTATCTTGCTCCTCGTCAGCAGGGTCTGCCTCAAGCAAGGAGGGTCGATGGTGGTTATGGAGATTATCAAGTTAGTGCTAAGGGTCCAGCAGGTGTTGATGGTACGGATTGTGATTGCAGTTCCTTCTCAATCTGATAGTCCAAATCCTTGCGCTCATATTTGCAGTAAGCTAGGGCCCTAGCGAAGCATGATGATTCCACATATAAACATTGTTGAATATCAGCGGTCCTGAATTTGCCGCAACAGATCTTGTTCATCATCCATATGTTGGAGATATACCACGCCATCTTGTAAGGTGGCGCAACTGGAACCCAGGGTAGCCATTGACCCAGACATGGTGGCAGCTTTTCAGCTGACAATTTTTTCAGCTGGCAATTTTTTCAAAAGACCTAGGGCCAAGATGCAATCGAAATGAAAATCAGGATGTGTGTAGTGAATGTACTTTAGGATGGCAAGCTGCTCTCAAACATATATCATTCAACATAGGCTTGTAACATCTACAATGTGCACGCAGTGTTTGGCACTACTTTGTCCCACTTGAGATCGATTGATTTGACATGCTGTCAGAGAACGTTCGGACTAAAGATGCCGACGAATTTAGGTGCAGCAGGTATTCCAGCTACACCCAAAAGTAAGTTTCAAGCCGCAAAAATGAGGTCACAATGGGGGGGTTCGAACCCATTATTTTTTATAGGGTTAGTACGGGTAAAATATGGGTTGAATACTACTTCAGTACGGGTTCGGAAAACCCGAGGTTTTAGTACAAACCCGGGGTTTTACCTCCAAAAATATGGGTTAGTACGGGTAAATAATGGGTTGAATACTACTTCAGTACGGGTTTGAGTTTCAACCCTTTTTTTTTCCGAAAAAAAATCAAAAATCTTTACTTTTGCGAATCCACATAGCTTTGTTGTCGGTTGAAAAATTAGATTTTCTGATTAAGATACTTCGGGTCAATATATCTTCGCAAAAAAATCACCCCTAGGAGACCTCATACAAACGAGCTGGCAATAGTGCCTGCCACTCCGCTGGAATGCGCAACTTTTTGTTGCGGCGTAAATAATCGTAAACTTCGGTAAAGCAAGTGGTTCTCCAAATTTCAGGGTCAGCGTATTCCATCTGTTGAAATGATGTCAATGCCTCGGGCACTGGGTCTGGAAGCTCAGGTTTTCCTTTGCAGGCAGCCTTCAAGTCCTCCAGCATGTCGCAGAATGCACGGGCAAAAGGCACCGGGTAAATCCTGAGCACGGTGGGCTGTGGTGAACATGGAGCATTTGAGTCTCTGAAAGTTGATGGTGGGTGGTTGCTATTCAAAAAAACCTTTTGTTCATAGATTGCTGTGATGAAAGTATGAAGTACTCCCTTAAGTCAACAACAAAAGGCCTTTAATTGCAACCAGCCACCAGGATATTTTACATAGGTCCCACGTAAGTAGAAAAAGATATCTGAAAACTTGTACTGCATTGGAACAATCAAGGGGCTCCGTACTTTTCAATGACTTGGTTCCCTTGTACCGCTTTTTCCCCTTGGCATCAATGTAACGGGTTGCTGTCACCACACCATTCCCCTCTTTCTTCTTGGCCTTCCACCCTTGAAGAACGCCTTTGTCCAAGCGATGAATCGGTTTGGAATTGGAGTATGCATAGTGGCGCTTCGGGGTAAGGCTTTTGAAGTGGTGCATCCACCATCTTACGTTCTGCACCTGAGTATGTGTTGGGACTAATTGGTGCAGCAAAAAAATGGTGCCACACAACAGTAAGCTTTTACAATCCAACACTGGGTTTTGTCATGCGGATCATGAGTATATTTCGAAAGTTCTGATGTTGTTTAGGGGCCCGGCTGCGTCTGGACCACCGCTGTCAAAAATACTTCGGATGGTCTCCCTGAAGGCCGGGTAATATTCTGCCAGACTACCGGATGGTTGTTCAAGACTCCATGCGGCACCAAGACAGGTGCAGAGCAAGATCAGTAAACAACTCCTGGCGGAGGCTGGTTGGTCAACCTTGGCATTGGGTGGATACCCCAAACCCAATGGTTTGAAAACCCGAAGGGGGAACTTTTAAAATTTATAAAGGTCTGGATGGGAATACATGCATCTATGAGCCACTTTGGTTGGTAAAAGGGCAACTCTTTTTTTGGTGTATTGTATGTTAATATATACCATATCATAAATACCACATTTTATGACCTGGAGAACAGGGAAACAGAATCTATATATATTATAAACCAATCCTCTCCATCAGCATGTTGCCAGTATTTACTGACTGGTACTCTTCCACCCCGATAGCATTGCATGCTGAACGTGCAGATGTTCCAGTGTTCATCTTGCTGAAGGATGCGCATTTTAGTCCAAAATGAACCCCAAAGTCGTCCAGTTTTCCACGTAGTACGGCAAGGGTAGCTAGCCTCAGCTTTGTGACGGGATTGAAAGTTCATGGAATTGTGACCCAAGAAAAGAAGTTCAACAATTCATATCAAATCCAATTGTGGTGGTCCATATCTTGCAACGTATTTTAAAGAAACCAAGGAACGCGAACCCTGAAGGGTCGGTAAGGTCCATGAAATTAGACCTCCTATGTGCTTCCTTGTCATGGTCAATCAAATCGAAACGAACGGCTTTGTACTGAGTCATGGCCATCGTTCGGGTCAAATTGCCCTGGCCGGCGAAGAATTCCAACCATTCATAGCCCTGCCCAGGGTTTTGCATGGAGCGGATTTAACATGATAACTTTTTGGCACTGCAACCCGTGGCATGCTGGCCTGCGTGGTGTCATAGGTGAACAGAAGCAAGGCTATCACCATCGCAAACTCCTGACGAGCCGCTTTGGTGCAAACATAGAAACCGAATCGACCAGGGGAACATGTAAGGGCCAGGTGGATCACATCACACAGCAGTAGCAGAGAAGTATATTATATATGTTAATTTCAGAAGTAAACTGTTGGGTTGGGAGTGGCTCCTTTGGAGTACGAAGCTTGCGTAGGCGAAACATCAAATGGTCCATGTTGACCATGGCGAAAAGAGCACGGCCGGTTTCAGACCAGAATGAACCGTTGTTTTATCCATGCAAGAGGGAATGAAAAAATGTATACATCCTGTTTACTTGATTTTTGTTTGTACTTTAAACATGAGAAGCGTCGGTGAAATGAAGCACTGCTTTTCGTTTGCCAGTTTCAAATCTTGATGTCTATTTCTCATACTGGTGAACGAGGAGTGCAATGGCTGAAAAAACATCTCCATCACTGCCAAGACAAGGTTGCTAGTTCAACCCATTTCAGCACTAAACAGTTTGAAACACGCCCCGGTGACGTTTCTTCTTGAGCGTGTTCACACGCACTTGCCACAGGCCATTGCGCCTCTGGAGTTTCCGCCAATGGCCTGGCCTTAGCAGGACAGTTGGAGCGAAAGGGAAGTTGGGGAAAACTTTCTGAGGTGCTGTGGAAGTCTGGGGATCAACCAGGGGATCATTGGTTACTTTTACTACCGGTTATTTCATTTGATCAAAAGCATTTTTTTGGAACATCGACTGAAAGTTGAGAACACTGCAGTCAAAAAAGCGGTCCTTTTTGTTCTTCGACCTGGCTCTGAATCCTCGTTCTCCATTGCAGAGACTAGGCTGGCTCCAGAAAGGGCTAAGATCAATTTACCCAAGAGCACCTAACTTCAAATGGCGTTTTCATGCCGGTTAAGGGTCATCCACGACTGGCTGAATAGAAAGGGGATTCCCCTTTTCCCAAGTCTGAAGCGTCCAGCTCTTTGCCTCAAATATATAGCGATCTAAATGTCAAGTTTGACAAGCGCCCGGGCTACAGTTCCCAAAAGGTTCCACGACATAAAGAATAATATAATTCTAACAGGAAGAACCTTGAAACATCTTCAAACATATCACATATCAAAAAAACATATCATATATTATAAGTCATAGTATGTATAAACAATTTTTTGGGGTGACCAATGCAAAATGTTGATTCCTTTCCCACACTGCAATGCCACAAATGGGAGTGCCACCTGCAAACAACGCACATGCTTTGTGTGCAAACCCGCGCAAGATGTTTGCATCTTGCAACCCCGCACACTTGAACACAGCTAAAGCGCTGTAACCTATGTGGCACGTGACCCACCTGTTTGGCACACACACGAAAGTCAGGGACTGCATCGAGCGCAAATGCTCATGATCTTTTCATGAGTCAGGTTTATCAAAGTTCATGGGTGAACATATTCACAGCATCGGTGTGGATTTCCTTGAGCTGACATGTCATGTTGATCACCTTGGGGTGCTCCTTCATCTTCTCATCTTCACGAGTTGTGTCTCGACCCTTCACCTCATCAACGAAGCGTGCCTCAGCTGGCCAGGAGGTGCGAGTACAATTATAAAGAATCTTTAAGATGTATGATACATGTGCTCATATACATGCAGTATATTTGTCATTTCACCCGACTCAGCAAAAACAAAATTATCTCTGCAAGATAGATCTGAAGTTGAGCATTCGTGGAAACTAGAAATAAGCGCCTGCAAGTTGCAAGCATCTCAGCTGCTTTGTGTGCTGCTGCCATTCGAAACTTTTCGGGGCATGCCTTGTTTCTGCTTTGAAAATAGGCCAAATCTGTTTTTTCAGCCCGACATGTGAGTCCCACAGCGGTCCTTGACCAGTACACATTGAGGCGACATGTGTTGCTGAAACATGCCAACCTCATTCGCATCGCTTGGCGGATTTGGGTGTCTTCCTTCAAATCCTGAAACCCTTTCATAAAACTCATAATTTCTTTCAACCTTCCATCCTTTGTTGCTGGCAGAGCCATGGAAAACTCAGGTGCTTCTGCCACTGCTGGCTCTGCTTGTGGGTGTGCTGCTCGTGCTCGTGCTTGTGGCCGTGCTGCTCGTGCCCTGGGTGTTCCTTCATTGGTCTGTGGATCTTCTGGTGCATGGCTCTCACTCACACGGCTGTTGCGTGTCCGCTGCTTCCTTTGTTGTTCCTGGTGTGCCTCAGCCTCATCTCCTTTCCTAGAATTCTTTCTCTTCCTCTCCTCCTTGGCCTCTCCTGCAGTGTCATCACCTTCAATAGCTTCCCCTCTCTTTGGTTTCTTGCGTTTGCTTCCTGAGTCATCCTTTGCTTTGATTTTCTCATCCTTGCTGCTGCCGCTGCTGCTAGGTTTCTCCGTGGAGCCTTTGGCTGGTTTGGATAACTCTGCTGGTGCTTTTTTCCGTCGCTTTGGTTCTGCTGCATCTGCTGCATCTGCTGCGCTGGCTGCAGATTCAGCTTGTTCATTGCCTAACTGGTGCAATTCATAGATACTTTTCTTTTGCTCCAAAATAGCTACTTTGTCCCATGCCTCAACCTCAAACCCTTTCCCGTGCTCATAGTTTTGGGACCAAGTGCATGCTGCATCCCAAGCAGTCCACTCATCAAGGGTGTACCCATAAAAAATTGCCCCACCATCCATTGCACTTTGCTTGTTTTCCTTTTTGCTATCCTTGGTCTTTCGGGGCTTTCCTTTCTCTGAACCTGCGCTTTTGTCCTTGACAACGCAACCCCTCCCGCGACCTCTCCCGCGTCCTCTCCCTGGCTGAACAAGTTGGTCACCCTCATCCGCTTTTGCTTTCTTGGCATGTTTGAGTTTTAGCTGGTCCATCCTCGTGGTCCTTGCTTTTGGTGGACTCACCTGTCGCGGTTTTAAAACAAAAGCACATGCAAAAGTAAACTGCAAAACGACTTACTATATCAGTTGAAACACTCCTAGTAGGACATGTGATTGACAGGGTTTCAGAACCTACCAGGACCCAAAAACACTGTATGACTTGAAGACAAATGTATACAATATATAGATGGAATGGTTTCTCTGGCCTCACGGTCGCTTTCCGTGAAATCCTCATCTTCCTTTGCCTTGCATGCTTTCTTCGGTTCATGGGTTCCAGGCTCGGGTCTCTCCTTGTCATAACACTTTGTGTCAGATTGACTGGGTAGGACCTTGCCCTTGGTTTGGTACACTTCTCGTTTTTGTTGTGCTGCATGACCTGGCGAAAACAAAGGTTCCTTGTGCTCTGGAGTCTTTGCTGTCATCACATCCACGGGCTGAGTGTCAACTTGGTCGATATGGCCAGCTGCACAATCTTTTTCTACTTTGCGTCCTACCGGTGGAAGCATTTAACATGTGTGTATGTAAAATATTGTAAAATATACTTTACACTCACATGCACCCAAAATGATGAGAGGTTCCCTCCTGCGTCTCCTCTGGTGCTTGCTGAAGCTGGTCTTGGTGTAGTGCCATCACCCAAGCTTGAAGAAGACTTCAAACTCCGCAGCCTGAATTGGAGCATTCTATGTTTTCATTTCTTATGTGTAACTGTTTGCCAATGCAACTCATTAAGATACAATAGTATAGAATTGATATGTGTAAGCCACCCCTTTGTTGCATGTATACGTGTGCATGTGTATATTATGTGATGATGCAGGTTAACCAGTTTTTCATATATAATACACTTTACTTACATGTTTGCATGTTACAAACTGCAGGCTAGAAACTTGGTTAACTTCGCAACAAGTTCTTCCCTCTTTTGTTGGAGCGTCTCGGCACTACCTTGGGGCTATGGTGCTTTTAAATGAACATGTCCTTTCACTGGTATCTTTGCTCATTGTTTGATACTTGCTGCACATCAGGAGAAAACAAATCAACAACTGGATGCGAGAAAAAAAACATTGTAGATGCTGACAAAGCTACTGTTTGCTTCTTCAGCACTGAGATTGGATTGCTTTGCTTCCTCTTTCCTACAACCCTGGAAAGCCACTGGTGAAACCTCATCCTTTACACCTTGAGCCTCCGTTTTTTCAACATGTCCTTCCTGGGTTGGCTGCCCTTTCTCGAGCTGCTTTGTCTTTGCATCTTCGGGGGAATCCACAGTCACAACAGTATCGGTCTTCCCTTCATCCTTTTTGGTGTCACTTGAACTGGCCAAAGTAGGATTTGGGGATTGTTCGGGATCAGAAGTCTTTTCATGTGGTGTGTCCTGGGGCTGGGTAGCAACAGTAGACCCAACCGGTGCTTCTCCCTCAGAACAGACCGAAGATTCCGAAGATTCATCTTCAGGGTCACCAATGCCACCTGCACTCTCGTCCTCGTCATCACTCTCCTGCGTGATTGCAACAAATGCGGATGGTAACTATATGTCATATCTTTCAATTGAAGGAGGTGTATCCTATCACAAAAAATAGTAACATAGTTGAGGTGTTGATGATTCCTGATTTTTTTGATGTTGAAATAAAATTGAAGGCACTCCTCATCTTCAGTTCTTTTCTGCCGGGCTGCTTTGCGCTCAGCAGTCTTGCGGTTGACTTCATCCACCGTTTCCTCCAGTATGGGCTGCACTATGGAATAGCCGGGAATTACATATACACCTTTACATCACATGAGACAAATGTAAATAATATAGTGTACCCTCAAAGTAAGAATCTTAGCATAGCAGCTTTCCCAGTATATCCCAATATGCCCTCTCTCTCTCATATATTTATTTTTGTTTCTTCCCATACGGTACACCACTGCACAATGGTATGCAGGTCGCACCACACCTGAAGCGAAGGATTCATCTCCAAGCAAATGTGCTGAAATGCTGGCACCTTGCAATGGGCGCACATGTTGCGACAACCACTATGGTATTTTTTGATTAGCGAAACATGATTTTGATACGCATGACTAATTCAAAAAAGGCACTGACGACACTTCGTGACGACGGACCTTCATTTTGATGAAGCCTAGCATTTTCCTAAGCTTCCAAGCGATCGCCACAACATCGGGACTGTCCTCTAGGGTCTTGCCACGCTTGTTCTTCAAGTAGAAGGACTCCACCTCATCTCGAAGGGTCTCAATGACTGGCATCGGCCTGCTGGTAGTCATACTCATCCGGGTGACCATAGGCTGCAGGGCCGGATAGTTGGCAACAACCGAGGGTATGTCCTCCCCTTGGGGCGTCACCAGCATATCACCACCATCAAGCACCCGGTCACGAAGCTCTTCATGCCCATTCCAATCAAGATGAAGTTGGTCAATGGGTAAAACTTCAACAACGGCATTCTTAGGGCGACCCGCTGGTTTCTTGCGGTTCAACACCACGGTTTTTCAAACCCCACCAAAACTGCTTGAGGAGCCAAATGGCCCTGGAAAATGAGCACCATTTCAAACAGCCACTTGGTTTGTTTGCCGGTTCCTATGGCCAACACCTGCTGCAGGACTGGGCTGCCCAACTGGCCAATGGCAGCTGAACTTGACGGCATTGTGCAAAAAGCTGGCGTTGGCTGATCATGGCTGACCGGTGTTTGGTGAACAAAGTACTTTTGGGATCGTGTCAGGAAGCTTGCCCTGTACTCTGATGGGCGAAAAAATACAACACTATTCATCTGAGTTTGAAAGTTTGTTTATTCACGAATAGCTATATATGTTACAATATGTTTTAAAGATCAAGTCATATAGTATATATATATTGTATCTTATGGTCTATGTTGAATAGCAATGCTCTGATATTCCATGCTGCTCCCCCAGCAGCTTGATCAAAATGATCTGATGCGCCTGGGCTGCAGTGCGGGTGGGAAGATAGGTGAAATTTATATGAAATATATTGTTTTTCAGTGGTATTATCCAAAACCCGAGGTTTTCGGTACAAACCCGATGTTTTTGGGATATTCCTGGAAAACCCAATGTTTATGTTCAAACCCTATAATTTTAAAGGGTTCAGGTTGTAAAGGTATATATATGTGTGTGTGTGCAATGAGAAGTTGAGGAGAAAATGAGAACCCAAAAACGGATGGCGAGTAAACCACTTCGCCTATTTACAGTGTTGATTTCTGCCTCAGTAACAATCCGCAGGATCCTAGGTACAACTCCCCATGGACACACCGAAGCGAGGTGCAATCGTCGTTGCCACAAGGGAACTTGATAATTGTTACTCTCCAGCGATTTAGAAAAAGTCCTTGGTTCGCAGAGGGGCCATACGGCCACTGGGGCCAAACAGTGGCCCATGTCAAAGTGTTGAAAGATCCAAGTCTGAAATTCTTAAGTAGTCTTACTGCACTGAAACTTTGCAATTTTGGTCTGAGCTTTTCCATCCTGCCTTGAGAACGTGACATCTGAGACCTACTCGAGGCTTTTCCTAATGCCATTGCCACCACAACTGGAAGCAGCTCGCGCAACATGTCTTGACAAATGACCAGGCTGATAGAACTAGGAGTTCCAGAAAGCGATGAGTAACTTGCAACATGTACCTGAGCTGACCGGGCAAGGCACGCGCCTGTTGAGGTGATGCAAACTTGCCGCAGTGAATTTTCGCTACTTCCATATATAAAAATCCCATATGGTATATCCCTATGAATAGTTCGATTCAGAACATGACATTGTATCATCTTATGCCCCCATTATCCAGTGAAATCACCTTTTTTTGGAGGGAAAATATCATGAAATATCCTGTTATATCCCCATTACCCCCTTAAAAAAAAAAATGCCATTTGAGCTGGGAACTTGAAAAAAAAACATCGTCATTCACAGCGCCAAATCTCGCGCGTGCGGAACAAGTGACCATCGTCCGACGAAGGCGGTCCAGCAATACTGCAGCGTAGCAGCGATCGCTTGGTTCTTGAAAATCTCCACCTCAGTCGTCGAAGTACCGAAGGACACCAATAGGTTTGGGGGTACCTGGGGTAAACATACAGAAAAATGTGGCAAACCCATGGTTTCCTTAAAAGAATCTGCAAAGGGTAGGTTTTCCACATCTATATTTAGTTTACAGAAGCGGAAGTTATCGGTCCCTAATTTGTTCAACCATGACTGGAACCAAATGGGATCTGCTGATGCGGTCATTTGGGATACAAATTTCATCGAAACCTGAAAAAAACAATTACCTTGTCAAATTTGTCAAAGAAGGTAAACCCAAGTTTTACAGTATTGAACCAATAATCTCAGAGATCATGTTCAAGATGTTGGATTTCAAATCTAAGACCCTCTATCAAGTGATGTTTTCTTCAAGTACTTCCCTTCCTCGAATTCTCACTCTAACTGGAAAAAAACACATATATACCCTCCGGTAATTTAACGCAACTATGGAATATCAACATCTTCATAGGTAAATTGCATAGCAATGTTAAATCACCAGAGGGTAAAACCAGCAAATTATGAGAGTATCCCCCAGCATTTTCAGCATGTTCCTTCTGCAAAATCTCTGACTTCGCCATGGCACATAGTTGGTGAGGCTCAAGGCAAGCAGAGCTTGAGTAGAAATGATGCCCTTCAGTCTCAGTTGCCTTAGTTCGATGATCTACCTCTGAATCCTATTAACCACGGTGATTTTCCCTAGCAAATTCAAATTACGCTGGAGTTGGAATTCGGAGATCTCCATGATGCATGGTACGTCAGGAACCCCGAAGGTACTCATATAGATATCTATATTGACGTGTCAATACGTTAAATCACTTGATGTACATTTGATACGTGAAACAACTTATTATATTCCTATCTCCATCCATATATATATACATATATATATATATCCATCCCTCTCTCTTTGATCATATCATACTGGACCCCCCAAGGTTAGAACATGGGATGAAAAATATATCCATCCCATGGAGGCCGGACGGCCATCGACTCGGGTGGGCCATGGGGGTGACCTGCCCAGCTGCCGCATCTGGATGTGCGCCAACTGGTCGCGCACCACGCGCCCCGGGGCGTTGCTGCGGAGGTTCGCGCCGGAGCGGCCCCTTGGGGATGGGGTGGTTGATCATATCCCGACAAAATATGGCCTTATATATTTCAGTACCTCCATTTTAGGATCCTGAAATATTGTTTTCAGCTGACATCAGAAAGTCAGGTATAAACGTAGCTATGTTTAAACCAACTATAGCATAACATAACAAGTAAAAATATGCATATCATAGTATACATACTATATCTAACCCTCAGTAAACAAATCGTCTATACTTCAAAATCGTTTCATGGGCTGTCTTCCATTACCAGCCATGATTATACCTAAGAGGGTTCATCTCATCTAATCTATGGGTGAACGTACAATGGCTATTAACCACTTATGATCCTTGGGGTAATCCAACAAGTGGTAAACAGATCCCAATTAACCATTTAATCAATGACTTTTCACTATTAGTACCTCATGTTAATAATGTTAGATTTTTGTAAATGCATATTTAGCAATTTTCTAACATCATATTTAACAATATATATTTTAGAATACCGGTCATTGGCCTCAGCCTTCACCCGAAACCAAGTGGCTTCAACTGGCGGTTGCTCTTGCTACGAAAGATGGACTTCTTCGCGCTGGGCGCCAAATGGTCGTGCCACTCGGGCCAGGCGTGGTCGCCTCGACACAGTCCGCGGAGTGGAGCTTCAAAAGGAGTGTGACATGTTCATGAAAATTGACCAAAACTATAATTAGGTACTAATATATATATATATAATTATATATATATATATCTGTGTGCGTGTGCATGTATATATATATATACAATTATACATATATATATATGCATACATTGTATATATATATATATATTTATTTATATATATATATATATATGTATTCATATTAATATATATATATATGTATTCATCCAAGTGAATCATACCAAACTTACCTTTATCAAAAACTGTGGGTAATTATAAACATGACAATGATAGCAAACATAATAACAATACCAATGATATTAATAACAATATTCGTGTCAACATTAGTTATATCAATATTATCTCATTTGAAGAAGATCTGACGCAATTCTCATAAACTTAATTTCAGGTGGGTTTGCTGTGCAATACTATACACACCACTGGCTGCAACACTGAGACTTTCAGATTTGACCAGCTGCGCTGCACGTCCAAGTGGCGATTCCCTTTCTCCGTGTCGCACTTCCAGCTTTCATCGGTGTTGTAATCAGCCCGCAGCTCCTGTTGAGCTAACTGCTACTTCTGGAGGAGGTGTCTTGAAAGAATCGCTCCCTTTTGGTGCCTGAAATTAAAAATCCAATGTACAATAGATCATCTTTTATGAATTCAAGTTAGTGCTGTTTACATCTATTTATTGTGTTACTGTGAGTTTATCTGCTATTCCTTCTCTCAGTCAATGCAGGCTAGGAAGGACATCCCACAGGCTCCCCTATGGCCGGCTGCGTCCTTGATAGCTGCTCGATTGGGCAAAGGATGATGGTAGACGCTGTCCTGGCCGGAAATATCTGGAAATGTTCTTAGTTGGCAAAGAAGTCGATGGTAGCCACGGGTAGCCAACAAATCATGTAATGATAGGATCCAACGGTTCTCCATGACAGTCCTCGTCTGGTTCAACTGTGAGGATTTCCAACAAATAATCGGCAGCATCAGGCGTGGTCTCCTGAGATGCAACAGCCGGCTTTGTCAAAGACACCGCTGTTTCTGGTGAAAATCCGGGTTTCCATGACAAAACTCTCCACAGCTGCCCGAAACTTCCCCAGGGCCTAAGTCATGGTCATCCCATGGATGATGCAAGGGGGTACCATGGGGCAGTTTTTTTCCCCATTGTAAAGGCCCCAATTTTTTAGGGATCCCCGCAGCAACGTCCAAGAATCCAAAAGCTCAATCCAATGCTCAACATCCAAACTCCTGGGCGAGTTTGAATTAACACCCCCTGCCACACTGAAGGAGCGGCTGATGATATCATGATAGATAGATCTCTATAGGATTCTATAGGTTTCCTTTAAATATCGGTTAACAAAAAATCTGGAAAACCTATTTTGACATCAGAACATGGACCCTGCCAAAAGCCAAAAAAAAACACGTCTTTGACATCAAGGCACTCTTCTTTCTGCAGCTCGTCTGCCACCTGACAGGTGGTCTTGGAGGATCACCACCACTTAGTAACTGGTCAGTAGCTGGGGTTATAACATGTTTTTAATTGACTGGCTTGGCTTATGAAACGATTATCAATTGTACCATCCGCGATAACCCCATGAATAGCCATTAATAACCATTGATCAATATTAGCCATTAATAACCATTGACAACCATTAATCAATGGAATTTTACCATAGGCAGGGTTGTTAAACGTTGTTAACCAGTTGCTGGTTAACGTGGGATGATCCTTCAAGGATGGAAAAATCCTTATCTCGGCCGGCAAAAAAATCCTACTCATGGTGGCATGACCATCCCCCACCTTGTTTCTATCCAATCATAGTTAAATGATGTTGAATGATCATATTGTACTATAATGTCTCATATAGTTAATCAATTTGTAACAATTCAAAATACAGTTGAGAGAATAATATCATCATATTCCCAGGAGAATCCCAATAATTTTAAGATCCTAGTGATCCTAGTTCAATGAGTATCAATATATCAACTTCATATTCCCATGGCTATCCCAGCCAAATCCTGCCATCTGCCGGGGCACATAGCTCTTGTACGCCACTTGATCTGCTCGATCTGCCCCAACGTAGTCGCACAGCAAGGCACGCATGAAGTCCACCTCGAAAAACACGGAACCACGGAACGTGTGAGTGGTGTGACTGGAAGCTGTGCATATTGGGGTGAAAAAAACACATGAAACAATGGTTGAGGGACCATTATCCTGGATAATGAGATATTGAAAGGATCATATGGGATAACATGGGATAATATGGGATGATAAGCTAGGGCCAATTGTGGTTGATGATACATAGGGTTGTATATGAAGAAAATACAATCATGGAGGTATAATAGGTCTTATAAATGTCTTTTAGTCAGGTAAAACCTAAAAGCCTTTAAAATGAGACCAAATGGTCGCATGCTGAGCCACATAAAAGCATATCCTCACCATGGTGGAATCCGGCCCCCTTATTTAAGCCCCCGGGCCGTGTTGCTGGGACAGTGCTCCGAGACGATCAAGATGTCGCCAATCCGAAAGCGCGCCAAGACGTGCAGCCTCCGCGGCGGAAAAATCCCGGACTCCACGGCCACCTCCAGCGCCGTGCGCTGCTTCATGTCGCGCAGCTCGATGTCGCAACCGTGGCGGACCAGGAGCTCCGAGATGTCGTTGGCGCCTATTTTTAGGGTGGGTTAAAGGTGTTAAAGGATAGATGTTTGATATAATATAGATGTTTTTGTTTCATGAGAAATGATATGAAATGATCATGATAGTTCATTTGTAGGTGCTATAGGATGCTGTAGGGGTTAGATGTATAGATGTTTGATGTGGATTGTTTCATGATATCGATGTCATGAAGTTTGCGGGGTATGTTTGATGTGATGAAGCAATATTGAAATCTATGTTTGAGGGTCAAAATGCGAACAAACTGGGCGAAGCTTAAAAATTCAATATTTTTTGCGTACTTGCAGCCATATGCCGCAATGAATGCACTTGCAGTACATTTAGATGAACAAAAAACAGGAACCAAGGTTCTCAATGCTTCTAACCAGTTCAGCCAACAGAAAACAGTATCGAAATCAAAAATGCAGATCCCCAAGTTGAATCTGACAGGCGCATGTCTGAGCAAGAAGCATGTCCCACGAACTCACAGTTTCACCCTGAGCACAAGCATCACGAAAGATATTGCAAGTCTTCGTCCAACTTCAGGGATACCCAACAGACGACAGCAAAAGCTAAGTCTAAGTTATTTGTCCTTCAAGATATGACCATCCCAAATGCTCAAAAAGGTGCCGGCAATTGCCGGCATATTTACCTACAAAAATGTACCCCAAGAAATGCCACAGTTGTCACAGTCGTCTCGTCTCCAGGTGTCTGACTTTCCACCCGCCCAAACCACAAGCGAGAGGCCCATCTTGGCCGCCACGTGCAGTGGGGTCATACCATCCAGATTTATGTCGTTGACATTGGCATCTGGGTGGCTTTGATCTGTTGAATGGTGAATTTTTTTTTTTTTTTAAATCTGGGATGCCGCAAAAGAAAACCACAACATCAGATCATAATTCCAGTGGAAATTTATGAGAAGGGATTTTGGAATGGTGAGCTACACCAGGTCATTCTTACGGTTTGGGGCCTATACAAATTTGAAAACATATAATATGAGAAACGATTTTCATTGGAATATTCGAAGCAACAACAATAATCAAATTCTAAGGTTGTCAACTGGAAACATTCCAACTCCAACCTTAGAAGCAAAAAGAAAAGTGACAAATCATCATCGAGGCGCTGTTGATGAGTAAGTAGCTCACCATCTCCAAGTTTCGAAAATACACCGCGTCCTCGGGGATTTGGGGTTGAAATGGGTTGAAGAAAACATAGAGCCCACTAGCAGGCCGCAACATTTCAACAAATTTCAAATATTCAAGGTTTGGCTTGGACGCAGAATAACGCAAAAGCCGACGTAAAATCCATGATGTGGAATGTTTGGTGATGTGAATTCAACAACCCCATATGCTCCATGGTGCTGGTATATTTACCTACAAAACTGGGCCATTTGTTGGGTCAATATGGGAACCAGCAGCCCACTAGCAGGATGCAAAATGCTGCCAATCCTTGGGGGATCATCGCACGATCGGAAACTGCTTAGTAAGCATAGCCTGGTGAATGTGTCCACATTCAGTGGGATTTTCCCATACCCATAGGATCCATGGTGCTGGTATATATGCTAACATTTGGGGTATATTGATGGTAAATCTTACCATATATAGCATACATGGATCCTATGGGATATATAACTGGGTTGTCTGGATCTAAGACACTTATTTCGATACTCCACAGAGTGGGATTATCCCAGTATTCTAAAGGCAACATTCCCATATTCAGAATATCTTCGCATACCATGTTTTCATCGTACTCCAGACCTGGGTTTTGGTATGTTACTTTGATAGGCATTTCAGCTCAATCTGGAGGGAACAGTTGGCCCACGGCGAATCCATTGAATGCCCCTCCACAGCTTTCTATCCCCTATGTCGTTCCAAAGGAGCTGTGGACGTTGAATGAATTGAAGGCTGCTTTGATAAGGAAGTTTCCTCATTTGTCTACAGAAGAAGGACAGGGTTGTCAAAGGTAACGTTTTTAAAGGTTGGCTAAGTAAAAATTAGCAAGTTTCTTTCCCGGGACCTCACCCAAGGTGAACTTGGAAAAATAGAACCCACTGGTGTGCCCCTGGAAGTTTGGGCCGGCTTTGGGATTGGAATTTTGGTTCTGGCCGCGAAATTTCCCTATGTGGTCTCTATACCAGCCACGCATACTCGGAATTCTTCGCATTCCACAAATTCTTCGCACTCCACATGGGACATCGCACTCCACAGCTAGGGACGCGCACATACTATAAAATCCACGCACTCTGCAAGATCTTCGCACTCCATAAAATCTTCGTACTCGGTAATTTTTTTTTTTTTTTTCGTTTTTTTTTTCTTTTTTTTTTTCTTTTTTGGAAATAAAAATTAAAAATGTCAGCTTTCCAAAATGGAAAATAGAGTTTTTGAAGACGTCAGTACACATACACGATCCAAAACCAATTTTTGGCCAAAAAAAAAGAAAAAAGAAAAAAAAAGCTCAGCAGGGTGAAATGTGATAATTTTCTGGTATATGATGGAAAAAACTGGTGTTGGATTCATGGGGAAGGTCGAAGGGGGCCACGCATACTGTTTTATTTTCGCATTCCAGAAAATTAGCGCACTCCAGGGGTGGCATCGTACTCTATCGGTGGAATTATTTTGCACGGAAGAAAACAGGATCGTCGATGATTTGTGTTCCCAGATCCTGTTGTGCAGAGCTCTTTGCGGGGCCACAAAGATGTCAAGAAAGATGGGGATGGCGCTGCTGATGAAAGGCCAGCCAAGCGTGCCAGAACATAAGCTTAAAGCTTATGAATTGGGTTTTGGGATCGTGAAAAGTGTAGATGACAAATTTCCATAAGAACATTATTAATCCATTTTTGGAAAGCTCAACATTTTTAATTATGACATTTCCAGAAATTGTTGAAAGTAAGGATCTTCTTTGGGGAAGAACATGTGCAGTCGACAACGTACGTGCCAGAAGAAAAGGAATACTTGGCAAACTGTATGAAATACAAATTTCACCTGAAAGGGGTCTTCGCAATTCCCTGAAATTTCCCAGCTATTTTGGCATGGAATATGTTCGGCCCTGGAATATGGGCAAGAAATTGCTAGAAGTATGCGTCTAAGTAACCCATAAATCTGGGTAAATTATAATATTTCACTAACCTGAATGGTTCGGCCATTTTGGGATGATTCCTCTTATTAACCATTCCAGGCTTCGGGAGAACAGTGAGGTCGTTGTAATAATTTACCCAGATAAATATATAGCCTCTGGTTATGACTAACATAGCCATGGAAAATCACAATTTTTAATAGGTAAATCATCTATTTCTATGGACCATCTATACCATGGCGAACTGTTAAATAGCCAGAGGGTAAATAAGTATCTATAAGTGTGATGGTCCTCCAAAACCCTCCAAATATCCTGCTGACTCCACTGTTGATCCGTAACGTTCCACTGGCCATGACACGTGCAATGGGCAGAAGTGGCTCTCACCGTCCAACTTCACACGAGCGTTGATGTCAGCACGCGCTTCCCTAAGGCCAGGGCCAAACCAACGTACCCTGGGAGCCTTAACGCTAAACTAGGGGTTAGCTACGGAAATCACCATGTTTTGCAGGTAAATCGTCATTTTTATATATGAAATCACCATTCTTTGTATGGACATCACCATGTTTTATAGATATAAGTCATCTATCAATCGGCAATTTTCCAGAGCTATGTTGTTTTACTGCAGGGTACCCAGAAGCTTTTCGGAAGGTGGTGGGGCGAAGATGGACGAGTGGCGCCGGCAAATCCCATGATCACTGGTGAATCTTGCTGCAGCTTCCCCCCTTTTTTCCAGGTCAGCAAATATCATGTTTCGATGATACAGACCAATGCCCAAAAAAAGCGATCCATGGTTCCGAAACATCCAGAAACTCCGGGTGGAAGCTGGTGGATCTCCCTTGTTTGGTCCCATATCCATGCATCCCAGCCACATCCATTCACCATAATAAATCAGGGTGGTCCCAAAAATAAACTCCCCATTACTTCCCAATCAAGTTTTAATAATTACCCCTAATAAGGGAACCAAAAACAATAGATACAGTGCTAAAAAGGTTGTAAGGGTAGAATTTAAAATTCACTACTGGCTAATCTCTGACTAATGAGAGGTCATTCATTGAAATTGATATATATATATATATATATACATATATATATATTTTTTTTCGAATTTGACGCTAATCGGAACTGATTGTGGATTTCTGTGATTGAAAAAGACCGACATTGTGATAATATACTTTCGCCTGTGGGATTCCACCATTATCCCATGCCTATTTCAATCTGCCATGAAAGCACGCACCCTGCCGGGGCACAAAAGCAGCTGAACATTCATGAAACCTGCCGGGGTGGGTGGGGATCATTGGGAAGACCAACGACATTTACACCTATGGTGAGTTTATGGTGGTTTAATGGTGATCTAATGGGATTTACCCTCTGGTAATGACTAACAGTTAGCGACATAGAAGCCAGTTAGCGACATAGAAGCCATGGCCATAGAAATGCATAGAAATGCCGTGAGTTTTCCCATTATATAATAGCATGGTGATTTTCCATAGTTATGTAAACGTTTACCAAAGGGTAATGAGATAGAGAGGTTGGCAAATGTCCTACTTTGTTTTACATCACCCAACTGTTGGGGTAATGTAATCTCCAACTGATACTGGAATCTGATGTTATCCAAAAGGGTGTTTTAAACATATACAACCAATGACTAAACTGCAATGGAGGTGGTAACAATCAGTGATTCTTAGATGCACAATCCCATACAACGGTCACATCCAGCGGTCGAAGTATCAACTTTGGACTTAATGGGCTATTGGATTTTGCTCTGTCACTTGCAACGGCACAATGCAGCATATAGACTTATAGCTCATACTTCTAAAATCTTAAAATCTACTAACCGCCAGCCAGTTTTAGGCCATTATAGCCAATCTTCCTTTTTTACTTGTTATACATCTTTTAACTTGTAACCAAAACAACAGCCACACATATATACATACATATATATATATATATATATGTATATATAGCTAGCAGCTAGCCATATCATAATATATCATACCATGTCCTTTATCAAAAAAGACTCAGCGCTGCCAACCTTCGCCACCCACACGCCGAGCAACATCCCTGGACTGCCAGGTGGATCGGTTGTGCTCGGCCTTCCTTCCTGGCGGCACGGGTGGCACGTTGGCTGACACACAAGGTGTGTGAGGGCACCTTGGAGTACTAAACTTACTGGAGAAAAATCGCACGTTTGTTTCTTTTAAAACATTTTAAAATGGTTTCAATTAAATTTGACACTCAAGTATTTTGTTAAAAAAACATTGATCGGCATGTATCATTCGTGCTTTTAAAAATCTTTTCAATTTTTCTAATCATATAAAATCAATACATATTTGCAATTGGTCAAGTCTTGCTGAGTACGGTTGGTGAGGAACCAACATCTTATTTTGATGTCAGGTGGATCCAAAAAAACACAAGAATCTAAAAATGTCTCTCAAATTCCAAATATGGCAAGAGATACACTGATACCTGGCATGGAACTAAGAATCTGCAATATGGAAAGAGACCCGAACATCTGGTGGATGTACAAGTGCTGGATAGTGCTGCCATTTCTAGCCATGCATTAAAACAATGCTATAGTGACAAACGTGCTTGATGTGTTAGATTCATCGGCTGGCATGCCCCGGAAACCAATTCGGAGCTTCCAAAACGGGCACGGAGTTTCATGGATTTCCAGTATCAGTTTGTCCTGTGAAACATTGCCCATTGATGTCCACCCTGGATTTAATAACCCCCAAAAGGCTGTTTAATTGGGAGGGTACCATTGAAGTATTAGAATGATGACTATTGGAGGAGTACCCCCTAATTATTGGAGTGGTTGACATTATGGCTCATGTAGGCTTCCAACACTATTGCCTGCCATGTGTGAATCCTCATCTCCTGAAAAGTGCACTTCGACTTTTCCAATTCAACAATAAGCGTTTAACTACAACCTTCCGGCACCCATGTGGCAAAGCCGATCAACCATCCCATTCACATCGGGGGCATTGGCTTCACAGAGATGAGTCAAAAGCCTGGTACACAAAGGGTGGCCTCAAATAGTTACGATTAATGGATATTAATGGATGTGTATTTCCCGTAAAATATGGCAAGAGGTTTTGACCATTTTTGACCTATCAATATGGGAATCTTCTCTGGTTAATGGATGATTGATATGGTGACTGGTACCATTTCATGGCGAATCGCCACATCTCCACATACGACGAGTGGCTCAAAGGCAACATATGTACACTCCACGTGGATGTCTGCCTTGATGCCGGGGAATCCCCATGGGTCCCCAACTGGATGGATGGTGAAAAAAACATGGTAAAATCCCCAGCAACTAACATGGATGACTGGGGGGCCCATGGCTTGGAAACCTCGGAAACCTCTATCATTTGGGGTTGTTGAATTTATATGTAATATTGGTTTTCAACGTTGAACGAATCAAAATCATCTCCGGTGTGTGATGGTCCTTTTCCTTCATTGCCTATATACTTGTTTCCCGCAAGGGGCCACACTGTAGAGTTTCGCAAATGGGTCACGGCCATGAACCAAGCACAATGGCAAATTCAAAGGCTACATAGTGATACATAGTGTCATCATGTGTAATCCCACTAGCAAGAACAAATGAGTGGTATTTCCAACTCTTTCTCACAAAGAAATTTCGGAAATGCTGCGGTATACTGCGGTATGACACAACTCCCAATTCTCGGCGGGATCGATCGAATTTCCTGCGTGTAACTGGATGACACGGGATCATCTCTCAATCCAGTCCTGATTCTCAACATTTCGAAAAACTATAAATGGGAATTCCGGGATCCTAAAATGAAGGTACTGTACCATATAAAGCCATATTTTGGGTGTATATCCCCATACATAGCCCATAGGCCTTTATATACCGCATCCTTCCAACTTGAAAAATAGAAAGCACCCCCCCGGAGATGGATGCAACGAAAACTCCAGACATTGACAACAAGCATAGGGACGACAACGACGGAGACAGCAGTGATAGCAACAAAAACTGTTTAGTCAAACTTACACAATTGACCAGTCTACAAATGCTCCATGATTTTCTATTCAACTTTGCTCCAACTTGTATAGGTCATTACAGGTCAAGAATCGGCGGGAAACTCCCCAACCGTTGATGATGGCTACTACACCCAAACGGACGCAAGCTACGCAAGCTATGTGCGGCAGGTTGCACTCATCTCCAGCAAGCGTTCCAGCAACGCCGAGTCCGAGTTCAGCGCTGCAATGTGAATGGCGCTGCCCTTGCAGCGTCGCTTCCTCGGGTCCAACGACGTCATGAAGACAAGAACTAGCCAAATACTTACCCAACTTATAGGAAAAGATGTTTCATTAAGTTTCATCTCTCATCTTCAGATCTTACAAGTTTCATGATGCACCTTTAGGGAATTTTGAGGTCTCTTTTGAAATCGTTTGGAGTGACATGGGCTCAAGATGCTCAAATCTTGCGCCACATTTCCCTCTGGGAATTTAAAATGGCCATAGAAATAGTGGATTTACCCAGCTATTAGCTATGGTGGATCTTTTCATCGTTTTTTGTTTTACCAGAGGGTATCCCGAAGAAAGCTCTGTTGCTCCCAGTGATTTCAGACCCAAGCATCTTGTAGATGAACGTCAAACCCCACTTCCCTGGCGCACCGGTGTTCGGACCGCCGGACCGCTTATCGGGGATCCGATCGCAGCCGCCCAGTGCCGCCCCAAACGGAATTACGTAGTGAAAATCATTGCCCCGGTGTTTCATCGCAGCTTGATTTATTAAGATATTATATTTAATAAATGTAAGATAAGTGTCACTATATATACATATTATATATATATATCACTATGTATCACTTAAGATCCTTGGTTTATTCAGATGATTTAATTAATTTAACTATCACAGTATTACAGTACTATGTATCACCGTATGATCACTAGCTGATGGGCTCAAGTGGTCAATTTTTTTGGTCACATCCCGCCTTCCAAGATCCTTTGCTTGGCTCGCTCATCTGCGCCATTTAAAACTTCCTCAGGAATAAAAAACAATTGTGTATCTTGAAGGCTGTTGACATAGGGACATACCCCACTGAAACAGAGAAATGATATGAAATGATGGGGTTCTCATACGTTTGACATGGGAATGGGTCAAAACCTCATCATTTTTTTGGGGGGAATGAACATTACACAGGCCACCAGCTGCAGTCAAGCAACATAGATCTCTTCCAACTGAGTTTCATACTCCGAAGCAATCCCAACTGGCGCAGCAGAGCTTGTTTGCCATCCGAGTTGCAATCCAACAAATAGAAAGAACAAAGGTGGGAAGCATCTCATCCACAATTCACAACAGCAACAACTTCAGAGACGGTTTCAATATTGCAATAGACTACCCTCTGGTAAACGTTTACATAACGAACTGGAAAATCACCATGCTTTTCATGGGAAAATCCACTATTTCTATGGCCATGTTCAATAGCTACGTTAAATTACCAGAGGGTAAAGCATGTGTCCTTGATGTTCAACGGAGATGTTTCCTATTGCGGAAATGACGTGGAATAAAAAAGAAACTGGACTCAGGTGGACCACACTATCCCCAAATCTCTGTCCCTCAAAAAATATCATTTATAAATTATATATATATACCCAGGGTATATATATATGTTAAATGATTCATATCCATCTATATACATATATATATAATTTATATTATATATTGTATATTGTAAATTATATATTGTTTATTATAATATATGTATATAATATATATATATATGTCCCGTCCACTTACCCAAACATCCGCCATCTCTCACCTTCATCCAGGCTTCTTCGCCGCGCATGGGGATCTCGGTGCTCCGGGCTCTGGTTGGGACTCAAGGTATCCTGAGATGATCAAACCATGGGCCATGACGAAACACCAAATCAACTCATGGGACAGTCATCAGTTACATTTTTTTCGAATGTTGAAAAATGTTCAAATCAAGAACTCTAAATCGAATGTGAACATGTTAAAACATGTTTTTCCGAATTTTCGAATGTTAAAACATGTTTTTTTCCGAATGTTAAAATTAAGAAGTCCTCTAAGAATCATACTGCAACCCCACAGAACTTCGATATTGGCAACATCGCGCACTGTAACATCGTTGCAACGGTCACTTGCCGAGCGGCAACACTGGGCCCTCTCACCGTGTTCGGCAGCACGCCATAATCCATGAGCGCAAACGAATGGAGGGAGTGGGGTGAATGTGAATCCTTGGAACTGAGGATGTTAGGCATCTGCCACAAGCGTTCAGCAGAGATTGGAGCTGCTTTCCTTGGAATTTTGCCGGGAAGCTATTATCAGCTTTCGGGGATTAGTAGTCAAATAATTAGTCAAATTACTACAGTCTAAGCCCTTTACCAGTTCAAAATGGTTCTGCATGGTTAAAAAATGTTGGAGTTATCATTCCAGAAATGGACATGTTATAAATAGGGTGATCATTCCAGAAATGAGCTTATTTCGGTGCCCATAGGATCCATGGTGCTGGTAGAAAAATGCTAACATGACTGGGGCTGACATTCATGGGATCCATGTTAATTACCATTTTTCAAGCAGCACCCATAGGATCCATGGATCCGTCATGGGTAGATGAGCTGATGTCGGTGACTTCTACAGCAAGCGACCTCCGGGCGCCAGCGCTTCACGCTCCCCCGGGAGAAACGCGACCCCAAAATGGGGGAAGAGCTGCGGGTCGCGGCAGAGGGATGCGACTGGTGGAGCCCTGAACGAAGATCGAGGTGGAAAATGGACATGGTCCATTTTCGATTGAAAAATGATGCTTTTCCAGCTCTATGTTAGTTTACAGGAGGGTGACCAGCAATCATCAGCAATCACTTCATCCCTCAACTTTTTCCAGAAAATTCCAGAGAAACCCGGAAACCGTTGCTGCCTTCCCTCGCCTTCCAAGCCGAGCCCGCCGAGTGCCCCCACTCGTTCAAGGGGAAAGGTCCCTCGAAGGCCTGCAGGACACGTTCATCTCCACGGAGAACGGCGCCGACCTGGCTGGTGGCACCTCTGATGATGGTGATTCTTTTTCCCAACTGTGGATAGACAAGCTGTGATCCTGTAGATTGCGATGATCATTGGATGATCTTGTCTGGTTGGTGGTTGAGCCTACCCCTCTGAAAAATATGAGTTCGCCAGTTGGGAGTATGAAATTCCCAATATATGGAAAGTCATAAATTTCATGTTCCAAACATTTCCAAACCACCAACCAGTTGTACTTGATTCAAACGGAAGCCTTCAAAATGACCCTTCAACATGAAACCAGGCCTCGGAAGCACGACAGTTTTATCAACCTTATAGCTGGTTCTTGGCATTGGGAGCATTAAATTCCAACAAACAGCCTACCAGGCCTACGTCATGGTGTAACAAACCCACACCATAAGCAACTACAGCGACCTCAATTCAGGACCTGCATGCTTGATGATCTCGATTTGAATTGGATGTATCATTCATAATCATCTATATTGATTGTCTTCAACATCTTCAACATATTTAAACACATATTTAAACCATATATTTAATTCACCTTTTTGAAGTCCTCAGTCATCCCCTCATCACTTCCTCTCCGGTTCCAACATCGGCGCACCATGGCCGCCAAGCCCATCAACTTGGCAAAGAGCAGGACGCGCTGTGCCGGCGGCACGTGGCCATAGACCTGCCATGCCATGGGAATTTCTCGAGCGGCGCCATCTGAAATCTGCTGGAATTTCAAGATGAGAACTATACGGGAGCCGTAAAAAAACACACAATTTCCCAGAAAAACAAACTTAAGAGCAAAGATTGGAGTCGCTCGGACCAGAAGTAAATACCATAACTGGCATCAGGGGTCCCTGAAATTCGGGTCAGCTCCTCCATTAAAAACCCTGGCACCCCAGCGCAATACCAGCCGCACCTGCAGAATGATGGGAGCCGCCTGTGGCTGAAGTCATTCCTAATGGACAAAAGAAGCCTCATCCAACTATAGCATGAGCCGTTCACGACCTTTCACTGCTCATTTTATCAAGAAATGACTGCATCAATTTATACTCAGTGTTCATAAAACACCCAAAGTCACTATAGCGTAAGGTTTTATTTTTGATCAAATAACATCCATGACTTTGGGATTCCCCTTGGTTTTATATCCATGACAACCATGATTCCAGTCACGATGAGGTCACGAGCCTTCAGTGCGCGAAGGGGGTCATGAGCCAAAAATCCTCAGGAACTTCACCGCAAAGCGAACACGGTCGGGGACCGAAAAAGGAGATCTTGGTGCCCAAAAAGGAGATGAAGAGGATCTCTATTAACTATATTACATGGATTATTATTGGGTTTATATGGAAGTACTATTGTATAATATCCACATATATATATATATATCCATATAATCCAATATCAAACACACCATTGCATGGCAAGATGCTAATATTATTAATTTATTTTGCTAATATACCAAGCGCATACTGCTACGATCTAGAAGATTCCAAACAGCTGCCAATTCTGATTTGGGATGGGATGTATCGAGGTTTATGGCATTGGATATACCACATGACGGTCACGATGCCCCAACCCCTTCCATCCCAGGCTCTGAGGAAGGCTTCTGGGTCCGAGAGAGTCTCCAACCCCAAAGCGCCCACCTGCCGAGACCCCAAGTTGTTTTTAATTTCCATAATATTTCAGGAGAACAATACAACAATCATCAAATCTCAGGTGAAACACCAAACATCTACAGTGGAATCTACAGTTTCCCAAATGTTTCTATCATGAAATCTCCAAAACCTCAGGAGATTTCACATCAACATCATCAAACAAACATACATACTATGAATACCATGCCCTTATCCTTACCCAAATGCGCCATGTATACTATATTTACCTACAAATCTGGGTGATTTATGAGGTAAATGTTGGTAAATATTCCGAATGGAACATATGGGTAAGCCTGGCCTCTGCCCGAGCGCAAGCCACAGCACCACCCAGTTTGGACTCCAAGATGTGTACCTGGTTTCAGGTGTTAACAATCAACTATCCAGGAAAACCAGAGTTAATAGTTTTTAAAAGTGTTAATATGTATACATATATATATATATGATTATATATGTTACAAATATCCAATTTTACTATTACGTATATATATCTATGTGTAACATAGATATTTACAAATAGATAAATATATAACCATCCAAGTCTCATTTGTTTCAATGTGTTGTGATCGTTCTAGTATCAAAACGATGGCCCGAAACAAGAAGGCCGTCTTCCCTAAGAAAAAAAACAGTAGTGGATGGACGTATCTAAGCCCAAGGAATTGGGGTTTGAGACATATTTTTGGAGAGATCATCTTTCAATGTTTCATAGTTTGAAAGATCAACCATCTCAAATTGGGTTTCATAACATACATGTATATATATTACCTTGATATATGAAAAACTTGAAAAGATCTCATTATATTTATATGACAACTTTGAGTATTTATAAATATATATATATATGATTATAAATATATCATTCTATATGTTTATATGCGTGTCATTGTTTCAATGTTTCATATTTTGGAGCCCCCCAGCCTGCCGTTGGAGTTCTTCATCCATGGCATCCTTGGTTGTTTTTGCTCATGGCTCCATCGGTGCATGAAGAAGCCGTGGAACCAAGTAATGACATCCTTGGAATCCTCATTGTAAATCAATGGGAATTTCAGGATCCTAAAATGGAGGTACTGTACCATTTTTCTGGCCATATTTTGAGGGGATATCCTCCTACATAGCCCTTTAGATAGGCCTTATATATGGTAGGTGCCTCCAATAAATCGGTTCCTAAAATGGCCATTGAGTAAATGACTGGTTGAGACAAACCATCTGGCTATGACATTCACAGTTTGCCATGGAAAGATCCACCATGCTATTAAGTTCGGTAAACCATCTATTTCTATGGGCCATCTATACCATGGCTATGTTAAATAACCAGAGGGTAAATGTCATAACTAAAGTGATGAAACTGTATAATACGTAGAGATGAGCGATTTATCCTGTGGCAATCTGATCATTGGAACATACTAATTATATATACTATCCACATATGCTTCAACCACGCCATGTTGGTTTAGGCTCCTGACTTTTCAAGAACTGTTGTGTTACATCCATCACCCTAATCCCAATCCCAAAAGAAAAGCATTCTCTCTCCATTTTTAGTGCTTAATTCCAACTTTTGGATTCTTAGTTTTTTCAATGTCAATCCATCTATAAATGGATTAGACGTATGGTTGTGAACGTTTGCTACAGCTAATGTTAGATATGATGCTTGAATTTTAACTATGCTTGAAACTTCAAGTGTTAGCCGTTAGTATATATTCAATGAATGGTGATACGGATGGTGTTTAAATCCAATAAATAACTCTAAGTGTTTAAGTCCAATAAATATGGACTAATCACCAGTAACTAACCATAGTTAAGCGATTTTCACCAGAAAGTTACTCACCAGTAGGATCGATCCGTGGGGTTACCTGGAGAATAACACGATGGTTACCACTGTTATAGCTAATGTTATATGAATGGAATGTATGGAATAGTAAAAACAATAAAAAATAACCACTGTTTATAGTAGATGTATATTCTGGTATTGTGATGATGTATACTATAACTAAAAACAAAACTACAACTAACCGTTATAACCACACTTATCTAATGGATATCTTGGATTTGCTTCAAGGCCCCTAAAAAAAATAACAATTATTCTTTACTTCCCCCAAAGGTGGGAAGATTGGGAGTGGGAAAAAAAACTTAAACAAACCCAGGTTGTAAGTATAAATGTGATGCTCTCTAAATGGATAGTTAACCATAGCTATATTATGGATTATACTAAGGGCTGCAGTTTTTTTTGGGTTTTTTTCCCGTTTTTTTTTTGGTTTTTTTTCCCGTTTTTTGGGGTTTGATGGTTTTGATTGGTATTTGCAGCGTTTTGCAGCTAAGCTCTCTGATTTGCATGGTGTTGTTGTTGTTGTGGTTGGATGGATGGATGGATGGATGGATGGATGGTTGGTTGGTTGGTTGGTGCGGTTTCGTGTGTGCTCTTGCTTGCACTTATGATCTATGTTTGCTTGTGTGCTAACAGTTTCGAACGGCGCTTCTTCAGCCCACAGTGCTGGTATGAGTCTGGTTGCATCGCGTCGAAATAGTTCGTGTGAATGGCAAATGTGACCACAAGCACATACAAATAAAGTCTCACGGGTGGCAACAGGTATGGAATCCAGCACGCATCAAAAAAAAATATGTGCATCAAAAAAAACATATCCAGGTGCCACTGTGTGAGACCTCACGGGTTTCGTGCTGCAAACCTAGATCAAAAAAAAATAGTAGTAGTGGTAGTAGTAATAGTAGTAGTAGTAGTAGTATAGTAGTAGTAGTAGTAGTAGTAGTAGCAGTAGTAGCAGTAGTAGCAGTAGTAGCAGTAGTAGCAGCAGCAGCAGTAGTAGTCGTAGTCGTAGTCGTAGTCGTAGTCGTAGTCGTCGTCGTCGTCGTAGTCGTAGTAGTAGTCGTAGTCGTAGTCGTAGTCGTAGTAGTAGTAGTCGTCGTCGTCGTCGTAGTAGTAGCAGCAGCAGCAGGAGCAGCAGCCAGCAGCAGCAGCAGTAGCAGTAGCAGTAGCAGTAGTAGCAGTAGCAGTAGCAGTAGCAGTAGCAGCAGCAGCAGCAGCAGTAGCAGTAGCAAGAGAGAAGCACATAGGCACAAGTCTCAATGGATATATTGCAAGTAAGAACGAGAAGATCAAGAAAGAAGCACATAGGTACAAGTCTCGATGGATATCAACAAACATGAAATTAACCCAAATAAACGATGATGCTTATGCAAAAAGAAATGAATAGTAGGTAGCAAGGGGAACCGGTTTAAAAATAAAAGCGGGTGGGGGGGTGCAGGGGGGAGGGCGCAGCGCCTCCCCCCGCAATGCGTACCAAGAGAGAAGCACATAGGCACAAGTCTCAATGGATATATTGCAAGCAAGAACGAGAAGATCAAGAAAGAAGCACATAGGCACAAGTCTCGATGGATATCAACAAACATGAAATTAACCCAAATAAACGATGATGCTTATGCAAAAAGAAAGGAATAGTAGGTAGTCAGGGGAACCGGTTTAAAAATAAAAGCGGGTGGGGGGGTGCAAGGGGGAGGGCGTAGCGCCTCCCCCCGCAATGCGTACCAAGAGAGAAGCACATAGGCACAAGTCTCAATGGATATATTGCAAGTAAGAACGAGAAGATCAAGAAAGAAGCACATAGGCACAAGTCTCGATGGATATTTTGAAAGAAGAAGAAAGAGAAAATGAACCCTAAGAAACGATGCTTATGAGCAAAAGGCGAGAGAGTAGGTAGCAAGGGAAGCCGATGAAAAAACAAAAGCGGGTGGGGGGGTCCCCTGCAATGCGTACCAAGAAAGAACATGAAGGAAGTACATAGGCACAAGTCGCGATGGAGATCAATGAAGATGAAATGAACGCAAAATCCCGATGATGCTTCTGAAAAAGGAATCAGAGTAGGTAGCAAGGGGGGCCGGTTAAAACAAGTACATCTAAGAAAAGTCATTTTTTTGGTTTAAAACAAAATGTGAGCGCATGGTTCATGTATGTTTTGGTATGCTTTGGTCACACATCTATGTGGCTCTGACTTGCATCTCACCTCAGTATTTCTGCGACGGGTTCCGAACGAGGCCAAAACGAGGCCCGGACAAGGCCAGAAAATAGTTTTGGAAACCCCTCAGCTCTAGCAGCTCAGCAGCACTTTGCACGCTGCCCGTGGTGGCTGCAAGCTGCAAGTGTTGACTGCACACATGGTCCTTCCTTCCTTCCTTCCTTCCTTCTTTCCTTCCTTCCTTCCCTTCGTTCCCCCCTTGCATCCTTCCCTCCTTCCCTCCTTCCCTCCTTTCCTCCTTCCCTCCTTTCCTCCTTCCTTCCTTCCTTCCCTCCCTCCTTCCCTCCTTCCTTCCTTCCCTCCTTTCCTCCTTCCCGCCTTTCCTCCTTCCCTCCTTTCTTCCTTCCTTCCTTCCTTTCGTCCTTCCCTCCTTTCCTCCTTCCCTCCTTCCCTCCTTATTTCCTTCCTTCCTTCCTTCCTTCCCTCCTTCCCTCCTTCCTTCCTTCCTTCCTTCCTGCCTGCCTGCCTGCCTGCCTACCTTCTTGCCTTCCTTCCTTCCTTCCTTCCTTCCTTCCTTCCTTCCTTCCTTCCTTCCTTCCTTCCTTCCTTCCTTCTTCGCACCTTCCTTCCACCAGAAAACGGGGAAAAAAACCCAAAAAAAAACGGGAAAAAATCAAAAAAAATAGCCCTCCTTATACTAATAACTTTTATGCTAACTAGTATAGGAAGTTAAAAGGTTACCATATTTATATTAACTATGTTGTTAACTAGTATAAGAAGTTATAAGATTTTCATACTAGCCATAGCTATGGTTGACCATAACTATCGTTAACCGGAACTATGATTACATTATAATACTACAACTTAATTGTAAATAGCAAACTATTTCAGGAACATTGGCAATCATTGACTAATGATTGTCAGCCCATAAGCTATACTATAACTATAGCCATAGCTACATGGTTATAACCACAAATATCTACTGGATTATCTTGGATTTGCTTAAGGGGCTCCAAGTGGTTATTCTTGACTAGCTGTTGATCATTATTATAATCCCGGAATGGTGATAAGTGTCAAGGCGAATGGGTGATTTGGGGTAGCCCTATCTTAGGAAACCTCCATGAAAATGATTAAGCATAACTTCCCTCTTAGTCTCATAGCTATGATTCATGGCTAGTACTAATCACTACTCATACCTAATCATACCTATGGTTAATATATATATATAACTATCATCATTAATGATTCAGGGGTGATTTGGGGTAGCCCTAGGAAACCTCCAGATGATCAATCTCACTTGATCATCAGCGGTTGAAATAACTAACTATGATTAAATTACATAACCATAAACTATAATGATTCAGTAAGAACTAACTGCAATGCTTTAATGGTTAACACTAGCTATAATCATTATAACCAATCCAAGCAACTATTATTATTATTATTATTATATATGTTTGATATTAAATTAGGTATCTGATATCACAACTAATCTTGCCACTAAAAACAGAGCACATACCAAATACAATTATTATAGCTAATTATTATTATTATTAACTAGATATTTTTGATATAAACCATCTATTCTAGGGAACCACCTGTTATGGTAACCCTCATCATATTTAGCACATACCATAAATTACTATATTATAGCTAATTACTATTATTATATATCATTATTATTATAAACTATAATATAACTAAAATCATCATATTAACTATATACATTATATAACTAACTAGTCATAATGGTCAATTGCTAACATGAAATAGAATCATTTTAACTCGCAACTATTATTTATTATCATAAATATAATAATTATAAACATTCTAGCAATTTCTGAGATGATAAACAAAATACTTATATACAACTATAATCATTAAAAACTATATAACTATAGCAACTATTAATATAATACAGTATATTATTATTATATTATATCACTATTGTCATTGTTATCGTTATCATCATTATGTTTTAACTATAATGTAGTCTAATTATAATCCATTATAATCTATTATTATTGGCTATTGCTAACCATTACTATTAATTATTATCAACTATCGTTAACCAATATTATGTTATATAGTTATAATCATTGTCTGGTTGTTGTTTTTAACCATCTTGAAGCATATTAGTCAGTTGGGATGAGTATTCCCATATATTATGGAAACATAAAACATGTTCCACACCACCAACCAGATGATGTTGATTTGCCTCATGTTGATTTGCCTCATGCCATTCCCAACTGAATGGAAAATAGTCCAATTCTAATCTATTATTATTAACTATAGTAATCAATGATATAGTAATATAGTCTAATTCTAACCTATTATTATCAACCAATATCATTGACTATTGTTAACTATTATTATTATTAACTATCTATAGTTATAGATATATATATTTTATTGTTATCAGCCAATATTATTAACTATTGTTAATTAAATTATTAATATTATATTTATAATTATATACAATGTGAGGCCCCCAAGATATCTAAGTTGGTTTATAACTCCAATAACTATGGTTTATGGTACTTATAGCGAACTAGTTACTGGGGCTTAAAAACAAACATATAATTTATAGATAACTATTGATAATTAAAAAAATATTAATATTATATATTATATATATATGATATAATCCTCCCCCCCTCCATGCGCCAAGGCGCCCGGTCCATGCAACTGGCGAAGCCCAGCGCCCGCTTCGTCACGCGCAAGGAGGCGCGGGCCGAGCCCAGCACCGCCGTCCTGGGGTCACCGTAACGCGACCGTAGGTCGCCATGGAAAAATGGTGGGTTAATGTCTGGTAAACATAGAAAAAACTATGGAAAATCAGAATGTTTAATGGGAAAATCATCACTTTTAGTGGGAAAATCACAAATTTTACTTTCAAAATCAACCTTTTTAATGGGAAAATCATCATTGTTTATGGGAAAACGAGCATTTTTAATGGGTAAATCATCTATGGGTAAACTACCAAAATAGCGTTCAGTTGCCTTAATGAATGTAAATCATCGAACTATGGAAAATCACCATTGTGAAATGATGGAAAATGATGGAAATGGAGATTGTGAAATGATTTTTTCCATGCCACATCATCCTTCTACAGGATGGGGTCCCCAAGATAGCGTTCAGTTGCCTTATAAGTGGCTAAAGTCTATGGTTTATGGTAGACATAACTACATTAGTTAATGGATATTAATGGGGTTTATAAACCAACTTAAAACTGGGGGGCACCGTCCCGTAGGGACAAAAAATAGCAGCTATGGTGGGTTGACCCTGGATGACCAAATGACAATTTGAGTTAAGCATCTTTAGGCAACACATACTGACCATTTAATTTAAGCTTGGGACTTCAAACATGATAGGTGGGTTTTAAGATTTGGGGTTTGTGTCTCCAGTCTCAAAATCGGGGATGTGGCCTCTTAAAAAAAAGGTGACAGTGTGAAACTTGTTGGAGATTATGATCCCAAATAAAGGGGGACATTGTGTACTTCAAAGATCTTGAGACAATCAATTGATCAGGCCTTTTCTCCAGGAAGATCAGGGTTTTTCAACCTGCCCCTGTTCTACCAGAATGGAAGTAGCGCTTGTGGGGATACTTCAGCAACGATGCGGTAGTAACCCGCACATGTTGAAACTCTCCATTGACTAAATGGGTTTGTCTGAAAATAGGGCATACCTACCATCTGGTTATTTAACATAGCCATGGAAAGATCCACAATTTTTAAGTTCGGTAAACCATCTATTTCTATGGGCCATCTTCTATACCAAATCCACTGGTCAACGATTTAATCATCACTGATGTTCCCCGTGAAACTGGCCATATCTTGAGGGTTAAAAAAGGCCACATAGAAAATCTTGCCCGAGCAAAAAAACTCATAGAAAACAAGCAGAAATCACAGCGTTGGTGGATTTTTTGATGTTGACCTTCCAGTAAACTCGCGCTGTTATACTATAGATGTCCTATGATGTCCTATTAAATTCGATGATTAACTTCTAAAACATGGCGGTTCCATTAGTTTACCAAAAGGTAACCCACAGGATAAAGCGCGCAGGATAAAGCGATGGACCGCCTAGGAAAATAGATGAACATAGAAGAATTATCTCGCAAACATGTGGGTCTTGAAGATCTCGTAGAATGGGATCAGAGTGCACAGCTTGTTTTTTGGATCCCAGCCGCTGCACAGATCTGGCGTTTTTGTTGAGGGCGATTGACGCCACACATCCGTGGCGTGAATCGCCCTCCGTGCAAGTGACACTCACAGGTTATTGGGCACGGATTCCCTCTCGACGGGGCATGTGAGGGGCCCGCTGCTCAACAAAATACTCATATCACATGTTTACACAGGGGTTTCCAAAAATGGGGGTGCCCCAAAATAATGTTTTTTTTTTTGTTTCCTGGGAAAACCAATGGTTTCTGGTGTACTCATATTTTAGGACACCTCCATATACGTACTGCAGTAGATAGTTCGTGCATGTTTCAAACCACCAAATGACGAAGGATTCCCATCAACATGTTTCGCTCCCATCAGCCGGCTCACAGCCCTCGTAACATCACCGGGACGCCGGGACAATTTTTTTTTACCAGCACCAAGCAGCGCCGATGTCATTCCCCATGGGTCATGCAAATACCAATGCCCTTTAAAAAATCGGTGTGAAACCATGGGTCTTGCTATGACAAATTCATCTATTAATTATATATTGTTGTTTTTCCATGTTTTTCCAATATATATCTATGATGATTTACTGGCCACACCGCCATTCAACCACTTTCCTCTGCTGTTTTCTGTCGTCTGCCCGGCCTGGTCGGTATGATTCTCGTCGAATATGATTGGAACACCAGGTTCCACCTGGTTTCCCTACGCTTTTTTGAAAACGTGAGCGCCTCGAACTCGCCACACGCCACTGGGAACATTCTCTCGTCCATGCAGTTATGGCCATTTATTAGTTATAACTAGTTATAAATGGGATTATAAATTCTATAAATGGGGTTATAAGTACTTATAACTGGTAAAGGACCATAACTGTGTAATACGGTTGTGGCCTTGCTGCAACTGAAATTGAATGGAATAACAGTAGAACACATCTCTGCTCATTTGTGGTGGTTCTGGCCTGCACTTGCTTGTTAAGGGCATACGATTGCATAATCATGTATCACGATTGAAAGAAGAAAGTATCGTCGTATGCAAAGGCCACATGTGGAACGGTGATGAACGAATGCCGCCAGTGGACAATCATGGGCAATCCTTGTTTTGTTCTTGTCAATGGGAACGACTTTTTTGAAAGAAATTCTCCATCAAGAAGCCTATTGCACCAGTTCATGATCCAGTTGCTGTTCCTATTCTCGGGATTTCTCGGGTATCTCAAATATCCACCCTGGAGTTCATGGAAGACGAAAGTCCCCGAGGAGATCATGGTCCTATGAAGTTTTGTGCCATACAGTATGGTGTACACCATGTTTAAACACAACCCAAAGTCATGGGGTGTGTTACAATCCTCCGATAATAGTGACTTCACACAAAAACATGTGGAAATCCAAGCTTATCTTCGGAATGCGTGACCAAGCATTTGGCTTCACATTTTGTGAGAGCTCACCAATTGCACCCAGTTTGGGGTTTCTTGAAGGATGGCTTTCTTAATGGCTGACACCCAAAGAACCCTTGCAAACCCTCAACGGAAAGCTGAACTTGGAGAGGGGTTGGCCCCTATTCTTACAGATGGACAACTTTGCCATGTCATGACACCCTGTCTTTTTCCAGCACAAACCTGTTTTTTTGATCACGACCAAACAAAAGAAGGTTTTGGAGGCTGCAGGAATATATATATATATATAAGTAATCATGATAACAATAATAATAGTAATAATAAAATAATATAATATAATGTAACACAATATAATATAATATAATATAATATGGAATAATATAATATAATATAATATAATATAAAAATATAAAACATTATAGATATATAATATTATAAATTATAACATAATATAATATAATATAATACAATATGATATAATAAAAAAAAATAAATAATAATTTAATGTAATATTATAACATAAAATAGTTTAATATGATATAATATAATATTATAAAATATAATGCAATACAATATGATGTAATAATAATATAAGATAATGTGATATAATAATAATATAATTTAATTTAATATAATAAAATATGGTATTATACTAATATATAATAATTAAGACAATAAAAATATAATATAATAAGTTAATTCAATATATATAATATGATATAAAATAAGAAAAAACAATATAATAAAATATAATAGAATAGAAAATAAAAAATAATATAATATCCTATAATATAATAAAATATAACATAATATAACATAATACAGAATATAAAATAAAATAATATAATACTATATATATATATATATATCAAGATAGAGGTACACATAGACATAATTAGCAGGTTGTGCTAACCCAAATATAAAAGCCGAACGATCCCAGCAGTCGGCACGGCAGTTCCTCGCACAGCTGGGGCAGCCGGGCTGTCGCCTCGATTCTGGATCCATCTAGTCCTCTTGTGAGTGCCAAACCCACCGTAAATTTATAGGCAGGACATGGTAGGACTATTTGATTGGACTAATCTTGCGGAGATGATGATGATGATGGTGATGGTGATAGACATGTCAGCTACAAATTTAAACTTGGAACTGGGATGTCAATAACCTGTGAATGCAGTTGTGAATCTATAAAGAAAAGGGTTCTATTGTACATATACAGCCTGGACCAATCAAACATGTTGGCAATCAAGGTTCATAGGAACCCCCTCCTGGGTAGAGAAAATCATTTCTTGTGGTCACTGATAGTGGGTCAAGCCTAATTATGTCCGAGAGACAAAAATATATTAGATTGGAATGGTAGGTCGGCAAGCTTCAAAACATATGATGTAGGATTAAAGCTATCTAGCGCATTTTGGGCCAAATAGACATAAACAAACAAAATGGTAACATAATTACAAACTATAGCAACCCGCGAAAAAACATAGAACAGCAGTTTGTGACTATTTTTAGTGGGGTTCTACTATTTTCTATCTTTTGGAGGATTTACGATACAGTAAGTAGCAAACCAACACATTGAACTCACTTGCGATCGCCATGCGCGCGACATCCGGGCTGCAGATGCTGTGTGAAAACATGGAATAATCACTGCAGGGCCGTCGGCCTGCCACCGTGGTTTTGGGGGACTTGGACATCGAATATCCCAGATTTACAGTGGTAAACTAACATAACTATGGAAAATCAACATTTTTCATGGGAAAATCAACTCTTTCTATGGCCATTTTCAATAGCAAACTGTTGGTCATTACCAAAAATGGTATTTACAGTGAAGAAAAAAACAGAAAATGATTCCATCGAACTTCCTGGAAAAGTGTTGATCATCTGCTTCATGTTTTTGGACGGGGGGCAGGAGTGTAACATCAAGAGTGAGGTTGGAAGCATCTGTCTTCACGCACTGCAACCCCACGAATCTACCATTTCCGTGGGATGTTCCCCTTGCAGATTTGCAGCTTTCACACTCCAGTTCTCTCCCCTGACATTCATCCGTTGTAATTTGAGTCTAAACAAGAATAATACCCTCCGCCAATCAGAGGGTAACGATGGAAAATTCATGGACAATGCCCTATTTCCAGCCATCAAGCGATGGAGGTGTTTGACACTTTTCTGGTCATTCCATGATGGCGATCTGATGATATCTGGCTAATTTAGTGAACTAGGAGTTATATATTGCCTGGTAAATGGTAGGGACATTATGGATAGTTCCGAGTATATGATGGATAATTCTGAGGATATCATTGATATCATTGCATTTTTCCTCAAGAATGACGGCATTCCCAAAAGATGTCACCCCGAGACCCCGAAACGGCCAAGCCGGTCAACTCCCTCGCGACCTGGCCTCACTTCAAAAATTGAGCAGCTCAACTCATCACCTAAGGCTGATTACACGACAGGATGCCCGGTAGAGTCCGGTAGAGACTAGGTCTAGGATGGTATACAGTCACAAAATGTATGGTTTCTAATACTAAATACTTTAGTGATTTCCTGGTGCTTACAATTTGCATCAATTTGCAACTAGGAAAAATGAAATACAGTATATAGTATGCATGGCACCGGACTTCGGAATTCATCATAAATGAGCTTATTAATGTATGTATATATACATATATCATTTTTACTATTGTTACTAGTATTAGATCACTCTTATTTCCTCCAACATAATGCACCACACAGCTGCTGCAATTTACCAACATCTCACCCACCAGCACAGCTATATCACAATTCCTGACGTTCATCGGCCTCCATCTCAGAGTGCAGCGGCGCCGTTCGCCAGAACACGTGTCCCGTTGCTGACGATTCAAGTCGACTCGCTGTATGAGTCAAGTGCTGATGGAGTGCTACCTCAAGCAAAGCGCAGCTTTTCGAAACAGAAACTTGGGTTTACCTCGTTTGGGTTTGTCTGACAATAGGCCCCCAATTCCAGTTGTTTGTGAGTTATCATCACTTTTCCATACTTTCCCCCTTTCAATTCGCATCTGGGGAGTATCCCGCCTTTCAGACGAGGTGGTCCAAAGAAAAATGACGTCTTTATTCGGAAACATGTGGAAACAGTGTCTTCAACCGGGGTTTAAACCAATTCGAGGAGGGCTACGGATATACTAAATGGATGGTTTTTGAACCTTTGCCACCAGCGAGATGGATATGAGACATCCCCTTGAGGCTAGATTCACCAGCCGGGAATTCTACGTCTGGGCCTGCAGGAAGTGGTCACCAGAAAACGCTGGGTTAAGAAACAACCACAGCCAATACAGTTGATTTCACCAGTTGTAAGTCGCGAAATAAGCCCAGTTATGGAATGATAGCTCCATTTATACCCCATTCATATCTGGCTTCTAGGGCTTTGACTGTGCAAGCAATGAAGGCTGGTATGTCCCAAAATGTTGCCTGCCCAATGTCTTCAGCTGTGCTTGTCGAAGATGGAAGAGTACTGTGCTTCACTACGGTTTCAATCGAAACATTGAGGGAAAAAATGAGGAGTAATATGGAATAATTACCAACTTCTATATCGTTTTGGAGCTTACTATCTAGCATTATCTACCAGCACAAGCGGATGGGGTTTTTGTGCCATCAATGTGCTATCCGGCCCAAAAGCCTTCAATCATCCCATCCTGCCATCGCCCCCAGTCTCCGCCTTGCCCACGGTCAGGGTGTGTTGCTCATCTTGCTCAGCACAGCTTGCCTCGCTGTCCTCGTGAGAGCTCATCGCCCAGCTATACGTCTCATCGTCATCTGGCGCTGGTGAAAAAACTAGGGCAGTTTCCCAAACTGGAGTAATGACGGGTCATCTAAGAAGGCCAGGAACATAGGAAGAAAACGGCTGGGGTGGCCAGATTCTGTTCCATTTTTATTTTTTTTTCCCACCAGCCAGGTGAGGGCCTCTAGATTTTGACAAAGGTACAACTCCTCCTTCTTCCTCTACTCCTAGTTCTCCTCCTTCCTCCTGGTCTACCTTCTCCGCCTCTTGCTTCTGCCAGCTCCGGATTCTGTGGAGCACGCCTGGACCCAAGCAGCACAACGTCAGCTCCAGATGCTGTGGGGCCTGGACCCGAACACGTGCCAAAGAGAATGCCGAACACAATGCCAGAAAGAATGTCAGAATCGATGCCAGATAGAATGTCGAAACAATATGTCAGGGTGGGGATCGCTCGAAGCAAAGCAATTGTTGAGAACAGCAACAACAACAACAACAACACCAACACATACGGAATGGTCTGTCATCTGTCCAAAGGTACATACGCAGCGCCATCCCGTGGACATCCCGGGGCCCAAAAAGCGCCTTTGGACTTTGTGACATGCTCTTCACCGAAAACGAGCCTTGGGAAAAAAACACGGCCAGGCGTTAATGGGAGCATTGTTCCCACCGGACAATCAAATGGGGAAACTTGATTCGTAGCTCTTTTTTCCCCATTTTTTGTTGGGAATATGGCTAGACCTAGCTCCCCCCGGCTCCTAACAACTGGAGAGTTCAAATCTCCAATAGTTTCAATGAAGAACATATCAATTTACATGCCACTACCTGCCAAATCTTAAAAGAGAAAAACTCAATCAACAATCTCGACTGAACCTCGGGAATCAATATACATCAAGACACATCAACATGCAAATAAGCAACAATGTAAACCGTAAATCAACATCAGTCAGCATCAATTGTCATCAACCAACATCTAACCCAGTTAATGTCAAATACAACATGCCAATCAAAATCATACCTATAACATCAACGAACAATCATAATAAATTTAACATAGACCCGGGCAAGCCGGCGGCGGAAGTTTCCCAAGAATAAATGACCTATAGTTCAAGGCCAGCCTGTCCCGAGCGTGTCCTTCCCTCGACAAGCGGTTTTTTTTTTCAGCGAGAGACGAAGCAAAGTCTTCACACTCCACACTTCACTCTTCGCACTCCAAACTTCACACTCCACAGTCCACACTTCTCACTGCTTCCTTCACACTCCAAACTTCACACTCCACACTTCACACTTCGCACTTCACAGTCCACACTTCTCACTTCTCACTGCTTCCTTCACACTCCAAACTTCACACTTCACACTTCTCACTTCGCACTTCGCACTCCACACTTCACACTCCACACTTCACACTCCAAACCTCACACTTCACACTTCTCACTTTGCACTTCACACTCCACACTTCACACTTCACACTTCTCACTTCGCACTTCACACTCCACATTTCACACTTCACACTTCACAGTCCACACTTCACACTTCTCACTGCTCACTGCTTCCTTCACACTCCAAACTTCACACTTCACACTCACTTCGCACTTCACATTCCACGTTTCACACTTCACACTTCACAGTCCACACTTCACACTTCTTACTGCTCACTGCTTCCTTCACACTCCAAACTTCACACTTCACACTCCACACTCCACACTTCACACTGCACTCTTTGCACTCCAAACTTCACACTCCACACTTCACAGTCCACACTTCACTTTCTAGTCATTTATTCTTGGGACACTAATGCCGTCACTTCTACTTCCCACTGTCATTACCTAAAAAGGGGCCAGTCCAAACAGTTACAATACTCATTGTCACTACAGCCACAACGGTCATTGTCAAAGTAGTCTTTGTCATAGTATCTATGGTCACAGTAGTCATGATCAGAATAGTCACAGTCACAGTCACATCAGGTATGGTCACACTAATCAAAGTCACGGTGGTCATTTTATGGAGGTTATCAACATACAACCGCACGAACGATGGAATTACTTCACACTCCACACTTCACACTTGTCACTTCTCACTGCTTCCTTCACACTCCAAACTTAAACTCCACACTCCACACTTCACACTTCTCACTTCCCACTGCTTCCTTCACACTGCACACTTCACAGTGCACTCTTCACGCCCCACACTTCACTGCTCTAAACCTACGTGCAACGGCGTCGGAAAATTGTAGCTCCAAAACCGGATCTCGACGCCAGAGCGAAAAAAAAAGATTTTGAAGCACTTTTTAAAAAGATTTTTAGAAGGAAAATCACTAGCGCCTAAATGAAGAAAATCTGCTGACAAATCACTGTCGCAGCCTTCATGCAGCCACTCCAATACGATTTACGAAGTCCAGCTGCAAAAGACAATAGTATTACGCATGCAGCCTCAGCATGAAGCAACCTTGACGCAGCTATTACAATGCGATCTGCGGAGACTGAGTTGCAAAACACAATAGAACTACGCGCAACTGGGTCGGAAATTGCAGGTCCAAAACCGGATCTCGACGCCAGAGCGAAAAAAAAGACGATTTTGAAGCACTTTTTAAAAGGATTTTTAAAAGGAAAATTACTAGCGCCAAAATGGAGAAAATCTGCTGACAAATCACTGTCGCAGCCTTCATGCAGCCACTCCAATACGATTTATGAAGTCCAGCTGCAAAAGACAATAGTATTACGCATGCAGCCGCGGCACCAAGCAACCTTGACGCAGCCATTACAATGCGATCTGCAAAGACTGAGTTGCAAAACACAATAGAACTACGCGCAACTGGGTCGGAAATTGCAGCTCCAAAACCGGGATCTCGACGCCAAAGCGAAAAAAAGACGATTTTGAAGCACTTTTTAAAAGGATTTTTAAAAGGAAAATTATTAGCGCCAAAATGGAGAAAATCTGCTGACAAATCACTGTCGCAGCCTTCATGCAGCCACTCCAATACGATTTACGAAGTCCAGCTGCAAAAGACAATAGTATTACGCATGCAGCCGTGGCAAGAAGCAACCTTGACGCAGCCATTTACACTGCGGGAACGATCCTACAGTTGCAAAGCACAATGGAATTCCATCGGCAACTCATCCACCAGCACCACTTGCAATGCCATTTGCATTGCGGGAACGATCCTACACTTCCAAATCACAATGGAATTCCATCGGCAACTCATCCACCAGCACCACTTGCAATCCCATTTACATTGCGGGAACGATCCTACAGTTGCAAATCACAATGGAATTCTGTCGACCGCACATGCACGAAACACAGTTGAAACCCCATTTACAATGCGGAACCGATCCGCCCATGATCCGAGCATGATCCGACCACACACGAGACCGTCTCGCACCCGTCGCACCGCAGAGGTAGGTCATCGAGGTTCGGGGACGGACTTTGTATGGAAAAACATAGGCTTTCGTGCATCTGCTATCTCTCCAAAACGCATTTCGTGCGAGACTTCCTCCAAAACTCCATCGGCAACTCCTCCACCAGCACCACTTGCAATCCCATTTACAGTGAGGGAACGATCCTAGAGTTGCAAATCACAATGGAGTTCCATCGGCAACTCATCCACCAGCACCACTTGCAACCCCATTTACAATGCGGGAACGATCCTACAGTTGCAAATCACAATGGAATTCCGTCGACCACACATGCACGAAAAACAGTTGACACCCCATTTACAATGCGGAACCGATCCGAGAATATCCGCCCATGATCCGAACATGATCCGACCACACACGAGACCGTCTCGCACCCGTCGCACAGCAGAGGTAGATCATCGAGGTTCGGGGACGGACTTTGTATGGAAAAACATAGGGTTTCGTGCATCTGCTATCTCTCAAAACCGCATTTCGTGCGAGACTTCCTCCAAAACTCCATCGGCAACTCCTCCACCAGCACCACTTGCAATCCCATTTACAGTGAGGGAACGATCCTAGAGTTGCAAATCACAATGCAATTCCATCAGCAACTCATCCACCAGCACCACTTGCATCCCATTTACAATGCGGGAACGATCCGACAGTTGCAAATCACAATGGAATTCTGTCGACCACACATGCACGAAAAACAGTCGACACCCCATTTACAATGCGGAACCGATCCGACCATGATCCGCCCATGATCCGAACATGATCCGAGCATGATCCGACCACACACGAGACCGTCTCGCACCCGTCGCACCGCAGAGGTAGATCATCGACGTTCGGGGACGCACTTTGTATGGAAAAACATAGGTTTCGTGCATCTGCTATCTCTCAAAAACGCATTTCGTGCGAGACTTCCTCCAAAACTCCATCGGCAACTCATCCACCAGCACCACTTGCAATCCCATTTACATTGCGGGAACGATCCTACAGTTGCAAATCACAATGCCCTGACTAACTCTTTCCCTCACTAACTCTTTCTTTGACTAACTCTTTCCCTCACCAACTCTTTCCCTCACTAACTCTTTCTTTGACTACCTCTTTCTTTAACTAACTGTTTCTTTGACTAACTCTTTCTTTGACTAACTGTTTCTTTGACTAACTGTTTCTTTGACTAACTCTTTCTTTGACTAACTCTTTCTTTGACTAACTCTTTCCTTGACTAACTGTTTCTTTGACTAACTCTTTCTTTGACTAACTCTTCTTGGACTAACTGTTTCTTTGACTAACTCTTTCCTTGACTAACTGTTTCTTTGACTAACTCTTTCTTCGACTAACTCTTTCTTTGACTAACTCTTTCTTTGACTAACTCTTTCCCTGACTAACTGTTTCTTTGACTAACGCTTTCTTTGACTAACTCTTTCCCTGACTAACTCTTTCTTTGACCAACTCTTTCTTTGACTAACTGTTTCTTTGACTAACTCTTTCTTTGACTAACTCTTTCTTTGACTAACTCTTTCTTTGACGAACTCTTTCTTTGACGAACTCTTTCTTTGACTAACTGTTTCTTTGACTAACTCTTTCTTTGACTAACTCTTTCTTTGACTAACTGTTTCTTTGACTAACTCTTTCTTTGACTAACTCTTTCCCTGACTAACTCTTTCTTTGACTAACTCTTTCCCTGACTAACTGTTTCTGTGACTAACTCTTTCTTTGACTAACTCTTTCCCTGACTAACTCTTTCTTTGACTAACTCTTTCCCTGACTAACTGTTTCTTTGCTAACTCTTTCTTTGACTAACTCTTTCCCTCACTAACTCTTTCTTTGACTAACTCTTTCCCTGACGAACTCTTTCTTTGCTAACTCTTTCTTTGACTAACTCTTTCTTTGACTAACTCTTTCCCTCACTAACTCTTTCTTTGACTAACTTTTTCTTTGACTAACTCTTTCTTTGACTAACTCTTTCCCTTTGACTAACTCTTTCCCTGACTAACTCTTTCTTTGCTAACTCTTTCTTTGACTAACTCTTTCCCTCACTAACTCTTTCTTTGACTAACTCTTTCCCTGACTAACTGTTTCTTTGACTAACTCTTTCTTTGACTAACTCTTTCTTTGACTAACTGTTTCTTTGACTAACTGTTTCTTTGACTAACTCTTTCCCTGACATTCTAAAAGTCCGTAACACGGAAGTTTCTCCCCCTAAACTTCCTTTGATAAACATCATAAATGAACATATACGCTGTACGTATCAAAATCACTCAACTACCAACGAATGCCAAGCCTGGATTGAAAAAAAATACTGTCCCAGATCCGTGGATCCCAAAGATCCAACATTCACGAACCCTTTGGTAATGAAAAACCATTTGCTATGAAGAGAAATGCCATTCAAAATCGCTGGTTTACATACGTTAAAAACAGTGATTTTCTATAGCCAATGTTGGGGTGAACCCAGAGCGTGCTAATGATCTGGAGGGTTTTCAATCCGGGGTTAACTTTAATCATGTATCCTCAATTTGCCACACATTTCCAACATTTTAATGGCACATCTCCCAATACATCCCCTAGCCAAAGGCCATCAATCACCAAGATTGATTATCCCAACTGATCAGAGTTTTCTTGTTCTCACTCCAAATTGATCCTGATGAAATAATACCCCATGAAACAATGAAATACCAATTTTGCTGATTAAGTACCCGCTAATGTCCCACATGGAAAATCGCATGGTTAAATGGCCATGAAATATAGCTACGTCCTTATGCCATATCACATATTCTCGGTTAAACAAAACGAGTTAATTCCACATGAATGCCATCTCATACGCATAGCTCCTTAGCTCCCTGCAAATAACTGGCTAGATGAATTTTCCCATGTTTTTCACCATATCAGTTGGTTGAACTCCCACGTTCTATCCCCATAGTCCTATAAAATCCCTACGATGTTCCTATTAGAATGCATAGCGGAGAACGCTCAAATACATCCAAGAGCATGGGGAAATCCCCATGTTATTCACACTAAGGATATTCCCATGAGTACTATTCCCATTATATTCGCAATAAATCTCTTTCTATATATATATATATATTTGTAATAAACTATTATATATTCTATGAGGGTCCTCTTATATTTGTGGAGCTTATCCCCACTATAGTTATGGATATTGAACTAAATGGTGGTTATTCCCTTTTTCCCAGAAGAAATATTCCCATTCAGTTATACGTTGGTATATAAAGAATGGTAACTAGTCCAATATATCATATATCATATATCTATCATAAACACTTAGTTTTTCGAGTTATCAACCAACTTAACTATCATAAACCAGCTCTAAATTCACCATGATTTTCCCATCATTTTCATGCTTTAAATATGTTTAAATCTGTTTTCCCATCCTCAAAGATTCCCCCCAAAAAAGATCCCCCAACAGTTCTCCAGTTTCGAGCTGCAAAGTAATGGCCAGCTGTCGGCTTCCCCATAAACTCCGCGAGACGTAGCACTCCGCTGGCGCCATCACGTCCTTCAAGATCACCGTCAAGGGCGTCTTCCTACAGCGTCCCGACATGCTTGAGATGTGTCGGACATCTATATCCCATAGGTTTTTGGAAGCAGAAATAGAGATGGAAGTCCAAGGACTCAAAAAGTACGGCCTTAGGACTTGTAGTTTTTTTCAACCTGTTTGAACATGATTTGAAGTGTTTTTGGGAAAAATAGACCTTATAAGAATTGTATAACTGAGAAAATTGAAGAGTTGATGTGTGAGAGGGCGAATAAACAAGAAAATTGGGAGGTACGGCATACGCAAAAAACTAAGGGTGACACCAAAACAATCAAAAAAGTGGAAGGAATTGACCAGCCCATTCAAACAACAATAATTATAGGTGCAAAACATGTTTGAAACCAAAAAAATCGGGCGATTCAGCTTGGTACGGCGGAATTGCATGGAATTGCCTGATTGAAAATGGCTGCACATCCATGAAATCAAATCATTGGCTCGGTATTGCTTGGTTTGACAGGGACAATCTCACAGAAACCCATAGGATTTCGCCCAGACCAACCCGAACATCTACACTTGAAATAGTCAACTGATCCAGCGCGCCTTGAAAATTCCAACTTGCCCCAAGCAGTAGCTGATGATACCAAATGATGCCACCCAGTTATGTCCACCCCACCATAGTTACAATAGCAGTAAACCATACCTATTCGAGTGAACTAAACCAACTTGGCTATCATAAATCAGCTATAAATCGCCAGTTGCCATCATTTTGCAAAGTTAAATAATCTCAAATCACCGTTTCCCCTGTGGGGGCCCACTATCGCAACACATCTTGGCATTCTCCGCAACCGAGTGTCTGGGCCATGAAACTCAGCTGACGATCGGCCTGGAAGGCTAGGCTGCACGGCAAAAACATGCCACGGCTGCCACGGCTGCCACGGCTGTGTGGGTTCTGTTAGGTTACCAGATGGGTGCCCAACAGAATCTGTCGCAATTTCGGATTCGGATCCTCGAACGCTGAATCTAACGTATGGAAGGCTGCGCCCCGCCTGTTTCGCCATCATCATCAGCTTCCTTCGGTCTTCCGCATGAACTGCATCACGCAAAAAGTTACCTTCGCAGCGTGCCCGCTTGCCCCGCAGCCACCGGAGGGGTCTAATCTATGCTGGATCTAATCGACCTGAAAAAAAAACAGCTGGCCCCAGATGTTCTCATAGGTATTGAATGGTAATGACCTGTGAGATCATGATGAGGCGAGTGACTCATGGTCCAACATGGTCAGAACATGGAGACGACTATGAGTATGAAAAAAAACACATAATGACATCTTCCATATTTCTCGAAGCTAGGACGTTCAACCTGTAGCAGTGCAAAAGTCCAAGGGTCGATCAGCTGTAGTAACAAGCCCTCATCCTGACCCTCACCATCAACGTCACCATCAACGAAACCATCAACGTCACCATCAACGTCACCATCAACGTCACCGTCATCATCCTCATCATCCTCATCATCCTGATCCTCATCTTCATCATCATCGTCATCGTCATCCTCATCATCCTCATCATCCTGATCCTCATCTTCATCATCATCGTCATCGTCATCGTCACCGTCGTTATCGTCATCATCATCATCATCACCATCCTCATCCTCATCCTCATCATCATCATCATCCTCATCATCCTCATCATCCTCATCATCATCATCATCGCATCATCATCATCATCATCACCGCATCATCATCACCATCATCATCATCATCATCATCCTCGTGGTGATCACCACCACCATCGGTGGGACTGGTGCTCCTCTTCCAAGTGATATTCGAACACGTCAAGCAACTGCTTCCAGCTTGAAGGCCCGTTGCATGCTGGCCTTTTTCCTGGGTACAGCAGGGCGTTGGGGGCTCATGGCCAGGAGTAATCCCTTCCTCCTAATACTAAGCGTCCCCCAAATACTAAAAACAGGCGTCCATCTCCAGTTTCAGAAAATTTCAGATTGGCCAATTTGACTTTTAATTGATCACCTTTAGAAAACAACAATTTAAAAATCAAGCTACCATTTGTGTGTTTCCCCCCCTAATACTAAAAACTAGTCAACCCTGGGATGATTATTAGGGTCCATCCGATTTTTTTTTAGTCTTTTATATTAAGGCTTTTAATTTAGTATTAGGGGGAAGCTTCGAATTCCAATTTTTGGCAATATTTTAATTGCGTTATATAAAGAAATTTAATTGATTTTGAGATCGGAAAAAATAGTTTTTATCATTAAGGGTTGAAATCTATTAATAGGGTTCCCTAATAATAAATACCCCCCTAATACTAAAAACTACCTGCCGTGTTTATTAATAGGGGGGACGTTTAGTATTAGGAGGAAGGGATTATATTAGCCACGAAATGACCAAAATTCAAAGGGAAGACAGTGATAAATAAATCTTATATAAATAAACCATCAAATTTGGGGAGAGGACACCCTATTTTCAGACCATAAATGATGTAGATTGATAGGTCACGGAAACATTTTCTGGTGCCGTTTGCCCACAGGTGGGGGGCCCTAGTGTCCAGAATCTTGACTGATTTAGGCGGGGAAACACATCCAAAAAATATTCCCTCAACATCTTTCGAAAGAACACCAACCCCAACAAAAATAGCAACACATCAATGACATCATCATTTATAAATTATCTACTGGTTGGCAGTTTGAAAGTCAGTTGGGGTGATTCTTCCCAACATATGGAAAAATAACAAATGTTCCAAACATTTCCAAACCACCAACCGGATCTAACATGTGATATCCCGACTGAGATCCCGCCGTGATATCCCGACTGCAGCCTGAGTGGCTGGGCAGCGATCCATCAGAACACTTTGCACGTCCCAGCTGGGATCCTCGACGGTCACACGGAAATCGTGGGCTCCACCGCCTATGTTGCGGTGGATGACCGGCGAGGTTTTTGGAGGTTTTTGGTGCCAAAGATCTGGAAATCACCAAGGAAACTCGACATGGTTTCTGTGTAGTTCTGGTTGGTGGTTGACCTACCCCTCTGAAACAGAGTCAGTTGGGATGATTATTCCCAATATATGGAAAGATAGAAGTAATGTTCCAAACCACCAACCAGAGTTAAATATGATGAGGAAGGGATGTACGAGGGTTTTTGTTTGGGATTAGGACGAAAACAATTATATGGGATGGATCAAGACCTATTGAGCAACATTGAAGCACTATATTTGAGGGATGAACATCCACTACAAGCTATTTCAGTGTTCACCAGAGAACATCAGGGTTCCGCAGTCAGGAAAACTTCGGCCATTTTTGCATCGCTGCAGCCCAGTTACTGACGTGCCAATGGCCCCAGGTGCTAACAAAAAGGGTGAACAATGGTCCAGTTGAGCTTGCCTTGGAAGTCTTCGAATGAGGAACAGCTTAAAGCTTATGCAAAAACTGGATGGCTGTAGATGCTGTTGGAGCTACACCAATCATCCTCTCATTCCAAAGAAGAAAAAGACGAAGGGAAGCATAGATGCGCCCGCGCAATGTCAAAACATTGTGTGACGACAAGCCCAAACCCCACCTGAGATATCTAATCTAGTGGCATCAGCCAATCCCCCAAGAGAGGGATCTCGGCAAACAGCAACAATCCACACCGAGCGACGATGAGAGATAAGCTCTTGGCCACTACATCCTGAGATTGCCGGGCCCGGGAGTTTTCATGCACATCTTGAACCATTGGCCGTGACCCATGACATGTTCCTTGACACATGATACAAATGGATACTTAAACTTCAACAAACTTTACCACAAATGACCCATTGCCACCCTATCATTTCACCAAAAACTATATGAATCTGGATAAATAACAATTCGCGACCTGGCATGCGGCCAATTGGGGCATAGTTACCCCTATGAAAATGGGCTGAAAACACGGCGACCGGTGGAGTCGGTCGAGCATCTAGGGCCGTGTAACATAGGACCTCTTCCTGCCAGTAGGTGATAAAGCCCGCCGATCTTAGCCAGTAGGCCACAGGGTATCCTGTCCACACCACATACTTCACCTGGCGTTGGATGGGGCCGGGTCGTGACCCCAAAAAATGGGAACAGGGGAAACTGTAAATGTCATTGAAGGTGCTAATTTTTGATGATCTGAATATTTGAATCCTTAGCCACTTTCTGATGTTCCATTTCAAGTTTGTCCAGCAATTTGGGCAAGAGATGGCAAGAGTCAGAGAGTTTAAAGCAGCAATTTTCATCAAATGTTCATGGATATCCACCCGACTTTCAAATCATGTCCATAGGTCATTGTCATATTGTGTCATATTTATAGGTTGAATCCCTCATGCCAGATAATCCTTCAAATTCAAAAAACATCCCAGAAACATCCCATGTTTTTCCGGCATTCCCCTGAAAAAACCACGGATGGCCGCCGCCACTGCCCATCTGGGTGCCTTCAGGTAGAAGGCGCAATTCTCCGCCGTGGCCGGCTCGACCGGCAGCCGGGCAGCCTTCACGAAGGTCGACGCCATACCTGGGATGTCACGGTGGAAGTATGTTGAACATCGATGAAACTATGAAATTTTAGTTGGCAAATTTCTTTCCAGTCTGACAATGCCGTTTTCATGTTAGACAACTGGCTCCAGCGCCTATGATCCTGGACATGAGCCCAAGCCAAGCTGCACAGGGTCGACAGGGTGAAGGCAATTCGTACCTCGGACCGGTGGTGCACCGTATCATCGGCTTGAGGAAATGAGGGGAAGCAGCAAAGCTTGAAAACACAGACCAAAAAACAATTTAATCAAAATTTCATGGCTTTAGAACATGTGGAAACATCTAAATCTAATCTCTTGGTTCCAGGTGTTCGAAGTCAAAACGTTCAAGTATAAAACCACCAGGAACATCCAGGAGCAATGGACGCCGTAAACCTCCCTGATTTCGACATGACCGCATGCACCGCGTGTCTTATTGGGCGCGCCTGCCAATGCGGACTAATCAGAGCGTCAGTCTCAGACATATCCACCTGCGCAGTGAAGCTCAACCAACTCTACCAATTCTCAGGTGCTGAAAACTCTGAAAACTTGGGGCAACATGTCCAGTTCGCCATTGGCTGATGTGTGATCTTCCACACCTGCACGGCGATTAATCCAAAGACCATGATGTATGCCTCAGTACGGGTCGGGTCTTTGAAGCAAGTGGTGGGCAACATCCGCAACAACTGTGGCGTGCTTCGAAAGAACGGGAACACGCCAAAGATTCTTAGGAAGTCATGGAAACTTATCAAAACAATCAGCAACCTAACATAACCTAACTATGTAGCCATGTAGTTTGCAAAAAAATCTTAGTGACTAAGAGTCCTAGTGGCTCCTTCACTCCCTAATTTGGTGGAGACTATAAATCTATATATATATATAAATACATAATATATCTATATATATATAGATAGATAGATAGATAGATAGATAGATAGATAGATAGGTAGGTGGATGGATGGATGGATAGATAGATAGATAGATAGATGGATAGATAGATAGATAGGTAGGTGGATGGATGGATAAATAGATAGATAGATAGATAGATAGACAGATAGAGAGATAGATAGATAGAGAGATAGATAGAGAGATAGATAGATAGAGAGATAGAGAGAGAGAGATAGATAGATAGATAGATAGATAGATAAATAGATAGATAGATAGATAGAGAGATAGATAGATAGAGAGATAGATAGATAGAGAGATAGATAGAGAGATAGAGAGATAGATAGATAGATCGATAGATAGATAGATAGATAGAGAGAGAGAGATAGATAGATAGACAGACAGACAGACAGACAGACAAATAGATACCCATAGCTCCTTAGCTCCCTCCATTGCCCAAGTAGCTGTGCAAAGCATCAATTCGAAACTCTGGGACAAGGAGGCTTTGGTGTACAGCCTGGAATGCATCACCCACCTGGCGCACGGCACTGACGGCCGGCTGGTCGAATCGCATTCTAATACCGCAAGAATGTGATTGGAAACCATAGGAACTGTGAGAATAAAATTGGATACCTATAGGCTTTAGATGGAATATAGATGGCTATAGGGTCTACTGGGAAAGGGCCTTTGCCAATTGCTCTTCTCAAAATGCACTGAACAAATATATCATTCTCTATTCCACTGACTGGCTCATAAACCCTTGTCCATCTTGGGGAAAAACATATGCAGAGTGATCCCCAGCAGGAAAACATACACATCCGATGCTCTTGGGAATGCTGTGCATGCTGTGGGAGTTTGCGGTTGAAGCGAAGTGTGGCATATATTCAACTTCATCAAGCGGAAGTGAGAAATTAAACATTAATTGCGACCATCAGTTGGTTGACCCACAGGCAAAAAACGGCGCAATACAGCTCCTAAAACATCCACCCCCGCAAATTATGGGTTGGAAGTTGGAAGCGATTCTTTAGCTTGAAAAAAGGGCAATCCTTGGGTCCAGTGACAGGTGCGCCCAGCTGGTGATCAAGCCAGCTGGTTTTTCACCCAGCTACTGTTGCGGCGACAGGAAGGTCCAAAGTAAAATGTGCCACGGTTCACGCAACTCCTGAGGCTAGAGACGTTTGGGACCTTCCAAATTCAAGCCTCCAGGTGGGATAGTATGGGATAGTACTTCCCATACTTCAAATTCAAGGGGTATGGGATAGTTTTTGATCCGAGAAAGTCTCGGAAGGCGGGATCTACAGACTTAGACACCATGGTCATCGTTAAGATACTTGGATACTCTCACAAAGCTACAGTTAGAAGTGGATATGTCATTAATTACAACTGTAGTTGCTACGGTGGTATTCGCTGGTAAACTAGCATGGCTATGGGAAATCTCCATTATAGGTCAGTCATCTAAAAATGCTCCATTTTCCATAGCTATATCTGTTAATTTACTGGAGGGTATATCCCATGAAATCCCATGAACTCCCCCATCCGGTTGAGTCAATTGCAGGTCATTACCATAGCTATACTTCCACCAGCTGTTCTGCCACCGGCTCTCCTTGATGCCTTCAAAAAAGGCGCCACCGCCGAGACGGACGCTGCGAGGACTGCGACACAACATGTAGATGTAATACACCCCGGCCTTGGAGCGGAGGCGTAGATTTACCCTCCAACTTATTCGTGAGTTGGGCCAAGTTTCAAGGTTCATATATATTATATATTTTGAATGGGAAAAATAGATGATCATCAACTAATGGACACTCACCATGCTATAGGTAGATCATCTGTTTCTATGGTCCATTGTTCAATAGCTATGTCGATTTATCGGAGGGTATTCCCCCAATGAACCATAGAATTGGTTATTAACACCATAAACCATGCATATTCTATGGCTAGTTTTTTCGGGAACACATGAAATAACCATGGGGATTCCCCCTATAAAACCATAGAATTCTCCAGGTTCACACCAATTCACACCGGTAAATCATGAGATATTCGCCATGGCCCAACTTTGTGGATGGGAGAATATGGGGGTGAAGTTTGAAAAAGGCCCATGGCCCATGCCGGAGGAGCGTTCAAGCAAACATAGAAAACATATGATCAATTATGATCACATAAGTAAATAACTATATATATATATACAAGTATATATATACAAGTATATATATATATATATGTGATTCAATATCATGAACTAGTTCATGAACTAACCATTGGAGTCTCAGCTTCATCCTTATTATCCTTTCCCCCTCTGTAGCCTCCCTTGCAAGGCACAAAGAATGCAATGAAGGCCAACATCTCTGAGACTTCGCGTAAGCGAACCAGGAAGACAACTTCACCACTGCTGGGATCTTTAAAGTGAAGCCTGCAACCGACCACTCAAGGCTGAGGGGATGGAAAGGGTTGAAGGTGGGAACTGTCCAGGTCCTTACGATGAAGTCATCTGCACTGAACTAAGGCGCGTGTCCAAATTCAACAAAACACGTGTCTCTACATTGACAAAGATGTGACCATTAAATGTCCTTGGGTGCAAACCCCTCTAAAACATGTATCCATTCATCCATCCATCCATCCATCCATCTTCTCACCTATTCAATCTATTCATCCAAGGAGCATCAGCCGCAGAAGCATGATGAGGGCAAAACAAATAATGAACTCCATCATGAAAATTGTTGCTGCTACGACCTCGACGAAAACTCCACTGAAAATTTCAGCACGGCATGCCCCAGAAAAAACATTGATCAAAGTACTGATAAAATCAAACCTGAAAATCATTCAAAATCCCCTCTAGTTTGAAAGAAGATCCCATAATTCATCCTGACTGCCTCAAGGAAGACTGGGGATCTGGTGTTACTTTATTTAAGGATGGCTTGGGCTTCCGTTCCTGGCATCAAGTGGTTCCTGTTGAAAACCATGGTACAAACCAAATATCAACTTTGAAGTACTGCGGGTCAAACAATGTCATAAACCACCCATGACTGGGATTTTTTTTGTATTTTAATACCACCTATAAAAATGTTCATGACTGGGGGATGGTTTATGGCCTTGTTTTACCCACATTAATATGCACTATTTAATGTCCATTATCCAATTAATATCCATTAGTCTCCAGTGATTAATGGGATTAATGGGATTGACAAACCACTGGTTTATGGCATTGCGTTACCCACATTATCTCATTTATCAGTATTTATATCCCAGATATGATCCCACGATATCTCCATATGGAGGTTTCCTAAAATAGGGGTACCCCATTTCATCATCCACTTTAGATGGGGATTTTCCATGAAATAAACCATCCAGCTATTGGGTACCCCCATTGATGGAAACCTCCTGATTATAATATTCCATCCAGAAAAACAAAATCCCACTAAATATCATTTATCAGTACTTATATCCCAGATATTATCCCACTATATCTCCATATTGTATTCAATCCAGATAAACAAAATCTCCATATTATATTCCATCCATATTGAATATGCCAAATTGATCCCACTATCGCCATATACCCTCTGGTAATTTAACGTAGCTATTGAACATGGTGATTTAGTTCGTGGATTTACCCATAAAAAATAGTGATTTTCCATAGTTATGTGGCTGTTTACCAGAGGGTATCCATGAAAAATGCTGGATCTTTCCATATAAATCGCCATTTTCCCATGGTTTTCCCATGGTTTTCCCACATTTTCATCGCCACATTCTTCGCCCCTTCGGCAGTCCGAAGCTACGAATGGCCATTGGACAATGCCAGGGGATCCTAGGATCTCACCCAGGTCTACCACCTACGCAGCGCCAAGATCTCCAAAAAGGATTTGGCAGTTTGGCCAACAAAAACTCAACAAATATATATATATATTGGAGATTTCTATAGGGACCTTCTATCTATCTATCTATCTGTCTGTCTGTCTGTCTGTCTACCTATCTATCTATTCTATCTATCTAATCTAATCTAATCTATCCTATCTACCCTATCTATCCTATCTATCTATCCTATCTATCTATCTATCTATCCTATCTATCTATCCTATCTATCTATCCTATCTATCTATCCTATCTATCTATCCTATCTATCTATCCTATCTATCTATCCTATCTATGAATCTATCTATCTATCCATCTATCTATCTATCTATCTATCTATCATCTATCTATCTATCTATCTATCTATCTATCCTATCTATCCTATCTATCCTATCTATCCTATCTATCCTATCTATCCTATCTATCCTATCTATCCTATCTATCTATCTATCCTATCTATCCTATCTATCTATCTATCTATCTATCTATCTATCCTATCTATCCATCCATCCTATCCATCCTATCTATCCATCCTATCTATCCATCCTATCTATCCATCCTATCTATCCATCCTATCTATCCTATCTATCCTATCCATCCTATCCATCCTATCTATCCTATCTATCCTATCTATCCTATCTATCCTATCTATCCTATCTATCCTATCTATCCTATCTATCCTATCTATCTATCTATCTACCTATCTATCTATCTATCTATCTTCCTATCTATCCTATCTATCCTATCTATCCTATCTATCCTATCTATCCTATCTATCCTATCTATCCTATCTATCCTATCTATCCTATCTATCCTATCTATCTATCTATCCTATCTATCCTATCCTATCCTATCTATCTATCTACCTATCTATCTATCTATCTATCCATCCATCCATCCATCTATCTATCTATCTTATCTATTTTATCTATCTATCTTATCTATTTTATCTATCTTATCTATCTTACCTATCTTACCTACCTTACCTATCTTATCTATCTATCTTATCTATCTATCTTATCTATTTTATCTATCTTATCTATCTTACCTATCTTACCTACCTTACCTATCTTATCTATCTATCTTACCTATCTTACCTACCTTACCTATCTTATCTATCTATCTTATCTATCTATCTATCTATCTATCTATCCATCTATCTATCTATCTATCTATCTATCTATTGGACCTTCAAAAAATCTTGGAATCCCCAATGATTAATCTACAGTCGGATATTTTTCGGAATATGATGAGGCCTATATCCAGCTGGCTTTGTGAAAGATCTTAGAAGCCTATAGTTTTTGACAAGAGATGGTGCCCTGAAAGTTGAGGAAATCAGGACCCAGGGTGCCTTTTAAGTGGCTTAAATTGGCTGGGAAGCACAAGTTCAACCCATCCATAAGTTCGACACATTCACATGGGCTTGTCTGAAAAGAATACGCCCGGACACATCCGATCATTGAACATTTCTTATATAAAAAAGTCTGGTTGGTGGTTCCAACCTTTAAAAAAATATGAAAGTCAGTTGGGATCATTATTCCCAATATATGGAAAAATTATCCAAATGTTCCAAACCACCAACCAGTTATAGGAATCATTTTATGGGTATCCCCATGTTCAAACACACGTCATTGACATTACAAAATCTGGATCCAACCTGCGACACCTGCGACCAACGGCTGGCGGCCTCTTGATGCTGCAGGCGCCACAATTGCCACGCCAACAAGAGGATTAAAACTACCGCCTCTTGCGCGCCACAGATTCAGAGGAACATTGCGGGTTGAACTTCGTTGGTTTCTTCGGAAAAAGGGCTGATTTAGCGCCCTTTTTTAGATGGTCATTAAAGTCATGAAACAACACATGAAAAGGGTCATGGAAGAAATATGTTCGGAAAACACAATACACGGGCAGCTTGGGGCATGACATATGTAAATTGGTGCTCACGACTAGGACCGCCAACGAAAACGCCCTGCAAGGAAGAAAGGGCTTCATGGACATGTTTGCTTCCAAAGACATCCACAAACCTCCAGAGCAAATCACAACAGCCAGCCTGCAAAACCAGTCCAACTTGAGGCCGCGCATGTTTCCATCGGAGTCCGAACATCACCGCGCGAGAAGGAGATTTCGAGCGGAATTTCAAAGGGGCGTTGAGAGTTGCTGGGAAATTTATGTTGAATGACTCTTAAGTGGTTAGCAAGCCCCTTTCGAAAACTAGTGAAGCAGGGCAGCAAGGCAATCATAATCATAAAGCAACATGTTGTGCGTGGTACTAGGCACGTATTCTTTTGATATTCTAGCTGATATGGAAGCTGCTTTTCTTTGGTGATGCAATTTCCGACATATCTGGTCGGAGAAGTACATCCGCATGTTCAAGCAAGCATTGGGAGAAGATTTTGCATCAACCCCTTGTTACTAATGACAATCCCCCCAATTTGGGTTTACAATCTTACTGGGGTGGTTAAATGGAATCCTCCGGGGGGTTCTGAATAACCCTGCCCCCCACACCATGATGAGGACAGCTTTGCTGTCGCTGGTTCTGAAATCAAACGGCAACGTTTGACAAAAGGGGCATTGTTAAATCAACCCCCAAAAAATACAGAATGGTCAAAATGATTTATAGTTTGAACCCAGAACCTTCTTTTGGAGAATTGCCAATGAAACAAACGATATGTTCATGGTGCAATGGTGTAACATTCCTATAGCAATCAACATATGCCCGCTAAGGAAGACACTGCCACACAGATCTTCGTATCTTGGTAGTTCTAGGACTTCCCCCGGTCTCTGGAGGGGTGCTGAAACACAAGCCTGGATAAAAACACAATTGAAATACATTTGATCGGGACACATTTCCCTTGGACTCTGTCTCACAGCTTTCCATGTCAAGTTTAGGTCATACATATACATAGGGCTGCAAAATCAAACCTTCACAACCAGTCAGGGTAGGAACCAAATTCCCATTCATAAATCCGAAAAAACAAACCCGCACCGCAACTATAACGAATCCACTGTGTGCTTTCACAGGTAGTAGGGGAATTCTATTCTCAGATATTCCCATATATTTCCTATATATTTTCCCCTATTCATTGCCAATCTTAGATACCCTGCAAAAAAATAAATTCTTTGCTGGTTAGTAGATATTCCCATTAATACCAAAAGACTAAAAAGGATTAACATATCCATGTAAGGCTGACCTAGTATTTTATCTCCATTTATGGCAGGTTTCATCAACACGCCAGGACCGCCGCCCCGCACCTTGCCATCCCAAAGACCCCCATCTGAAGGGTTTTACCCACTTCCTGCGCATGGGTGCGGAACAGTTTGAGTGTTGGGACAATGGCGCATTTGGCTCCATGATTTACAGTACCTGAGTACCTTAAAAAACAATAATGATAATCTGGTTGGTGGTTTTAGTCAGTTGGGATTATTATTCCCAATATATGGAAATATAAAAAAAATTGTCCAAACCACCAACCAGATGATGTTGATTTGCCTAAAAGATTGATTTGCCTCATGTCACATTGGAACATGTTCTTTTTCAGCATCTTACAGGATTTTGATGGAAAATCCATGGGGTCAGATGTCTCCCCTGCACCGCTCTCGAGCTGCATGATGGTGGGGCTGACAAAAGCTATGGAAAGTGGAGCATACCTTATCCATCCAATATCCATCCGCATTCCCTCGGATTTAGTGCTGCATCCAATATCCATCCCGAATTATGTCCTCGGTTTTAGTGCTAGCAAACAACCACTCAACATCAACCTTCAACACGTTAATACCATATTAGCCAACCTCCTTTTATTCACCACAAGACATCCGCAAAACTGGGAGATTTCAGGGGCATCAACCCCCGCCCCATCCCTTTTGAAATCAGGGCCTTCCAGAGGTTGGTGCCATCCAAGGCGCACTCCAGGTAGCCCTTCCAGACTGTGTGTACCTCCCCCAGGTGTCTCACCTGGCAGAAGGCCACAAGAACTTGGCATGTGCCATGATCAAAAGAAGGTATACCATCCAAAAAATTGATGTAGACCCTGGCAAATAGGGGTTGGAAGATTGGTTGGGAATCCTTGCAATGGGTATATTATAATCCTGAATGATGGGGAAAATGACACGGGATGAGCATTGCCATCTATATCTCTCTCTCCATCACCATCTATATGGGAAAACTAAAATTTTCAATGTTTTGACAATGGCACATCTGATGTAACATGAACCATGGGCGGAACCAAACCCTCTCTTGACTTTCGCAGCGCGTTCAACACAAACATGAATATCTCAAAATAAGTACCTAAGATAAATATATGATTTGCGAATGTATGGGGTAATCACACGTCTGCCCATTACCAATCTGGACACACAGTCATCCTCCAACTCACCCTCCAGCAAACTACCATAGATATCTTATGCAAAATCCACCCGAACTAACATAGATAATTATGGGAAGATCCATAGGAATCCATCATGGATGGATCATGTTGTTCATTTTCCAGGAAAATAAATTAACATCATTCAAAATCTAGGAAAATCCATAAAACCCATGAGGGGGGTTCCATAGATTGGGTTTGTCTGAAAATCAAGTCCTCAAAATCCAGTGCTTGATTATCATGTTCACTCATTTTCCAATTTGAACATGATTATCTAGGGTTATATAAGCTATATATAAGTTACCCTCCAGTAAATTAACATAGACCCTGGCAGATAGGGGTTGGTTCAGATTAGTTTTCACTAAAAAATGGTGATTTTCAGGGTATTGTTAATTTACCGGAGGGTATATACCCCGGTTATAAGTTATATATAATGCCAACCCTGGATTAATAAATCCCAGATAATTGAATATGGATAATTGATGATAGTTGTAATAAACCAGTTGGATTATACCCCCCAAAACATGCCAAAACTTATAAGTTGGTTATATAAGTTTATATACCCTGGTAATTTAACATAACTATGGAAAATCACCATTTATAGTGAACCTATAGTGACAGTTAGATACCCCCCATTTTCAGACCCCAGATCCAACGGAAAAAACCGACAAAACTCCGAAGCGCCTCCACGGCTTCGGCCAAGTGCGCGAAGCAGGCGGAGGCCAACCAGACCATGCCCTCCATGGGGCCGTGCGACTCCTGGAGGAGTCGGCTGGGGGAAGTTGGGATCTGCAAACATATCAGATCAAGTAATATATAGGTATTCCAATTATCAAACATATCATGTATCATGTATATTATCTATATATAATGATAGAAAAATATAGACTCATAGAATCATAGAATATAGCATGATATTGATCAAGTAAGATTGTAATGGAATATCTATCTATCATATATTACCATGTCATGGAATATCATGTATATATATATATATTATATAACATAAAGATCATGTACATATTATATATATATATCGCCTAATATAGACAAAAGGGGGGTCGAACCAAAGATGTTCCTACCACAACCCTTTACCATAAACAAAACAAGTAGAACCGCAAGCACACTTTTGTGCACTTGAGCCATAGGGTCGGTAGCATACTTAATTATACCCCTTTACCCAGGTGGTTGTTAGGGTGAAGGGGAAAGTATCTAGCTCTACCTAGGGCTACTCTCCTTATCTAACGCTTCTAGATAAGGGGTGCTATTCTGTACATGATTGGAATAGCTAATTGGTGTGTTGGACTCATAGCTAAGGCAAAACTACCTACACTGGACCTACTACCTATGCTATACATGGTGGGGCTCAGGGGTCGGTATATTTCAACTCCCCCCTCGCCTGTTCCACACGCACTGCGCATTGGCAGTATCCTAAGCAACTACTGTCGCGTGAACGGGCGTTCACAGCGACCTAGGCTTTGGATTTAAGGTCTAAGGGAAGGTCAGTACGGATTCCTAGAAGGATTAGTGCTGCTGCCCACTTGTGTGGAGGCAATGCCTTGGTGAATATGTCTGCCGCCTGATCATCGGTGTGGGTGTACTCTATCTCGGCAGAGTCATCCCTGAAGACTTCAGACAGGCAAGACAAATTAACTTTGTGTGTTCTAGTTATATGGCGAAGCTTGGGACTATATCCTTTCTTCACAACTAGGATTGTTGCTTGATTATCTTCGTGGACCTTAAGGGTTACGGAGCGTGCAAGCAACAGCTCCCATAACTGTAAGGCAGGCAAGCCTTCTTGATAAAGCGAATGGGCTAAACTAACAACCTCGCTCTCCGTGGTCGATCTAGAAGTGGATGTTTGGCGCTTGCTAATCCATGCAAGTGGGAAGAAGGAACTAGGGCCAGTTAAAACCAAAAAGCCACCGGAGGTTGAGCGTGCAGTTGATCTGTCGCCGGCGAAGTCGGCATCGACAAACAATCTGAGCTCTAGGTCTTCAGGCTTGTCCTGAATGGTACCTACTAACCTGTAGTGTGGGGTTGAGGCTATATATTGGATTAATCTTAGGACCTTCTTATCATCCCCCCTGGACCACGACTGGACCTTTGTGGCCAGATCATTGATAGGCTTGATGATGTCGGGACGTGCAAGTCTACCTAACCAAAGGGCTTTCATCAAAATCTTACATGCGTTTGGAGCTAGTTCCCCTTTAGTTTCATCATCTTCAATGGTGATGGATCCCTCAGGTGGAAATGGCGTGGCGGCATGCTTGAGTTTGGTGACACCGGTTATTGATTTATACAAATCTACGGTCTGTTGAGCGTAGTCTGCCATATCAAAAACCATGCCATCTTGGGCTTGGAAGGCTGCACATTTTTCATGACCTTCGGTCTTGGATAGTGGGGTAACAACATGGTTGCGTCCAAGAATCCTATAGATGGGCTCTGGGGGTTCGATGTCTACCACAGAAGTTAACTTACTCCAGAATGCATCATGCTGGTCGGCGGGGCCAGCTAGAGTTAAATCGTCTACATAAGTTGACAGAAGTAACTTTGTATCTGGGAAGTAAAAATTTCCTGGGTATTCTGAACTTCCTGTCCACCAAGGTTCTTGATGATGACTTTCAAGTGTTGTTCCCACAGGCCTCCGGCATCAGGATGACCGTATAAGGCTTTAATTAAGAGGACTACGGGCTTAACAAACTGTTGTTTCCAATACTTAGGGCGGAGCTCCGGGGGAAGCTCAATCCAGGTTTTGTATTTGGAAGATAACAGTGCTTGGACGTAAGCTTTGACTGCATCTGCAGCCGTCGCGCGGTTACCCGGCAGCGACCCATACGCCAGGCAGGCGTTTAGCCCTTGGACGGAGGTGGGATTTGCGCCGAGTTCTTGGTAAACCGCGGCTGCACCATGTTCGTCCTTTGCGCAGTCTCCTCTGTACACAATGCGCCCCTTCATTTTGTGAAGGTGGTCTGCAAGCTCGTAGAATTTAATGGACGCGATGGTCATGAGCTGACCAAAGTGCACTGATACACCCGAAGCCTTAGCTTCTTTGCGTACATCTTCCTTCTCGCGGACCGAGCTAAGATCCCAAGTACCAGCCTTAACCAAACCATCGGCTTCGGCACGGATTGCCTCGAGGGCCTTGGGATTGGACAACATCTCTGCACGGGACAAGAGCTTAGTGACCATTGCTTTGATCTCAGGCGTTGGCGCCTTAGGGTCTTCCAGGTGGAAGGCTTGGGCGATCAATTGTTCGTGGTCAAGAAGTTCTGTGACCAACCTATTAGCAGTGGGATCTGATTCAACAGCTAGGGCTAAATCTTCAAAACCAGCTAATGGGGATACATGCTTAAGGTGCTGCTCAATTTCCCTATGGGGTTGAGGCTCGCTGTTTGCCGGTCGGCAAGGCATAGCAGGAACGGACTGCTGGGCACATTTTGAGGGATACAAAGCTTGCGCAATTAAATTAGTCATTTGGGGCGGATACATTGCGGAGCGAGTGGTCTCAGCTCCCTCACATCTGGAATGAGGTTGCTGGCATCGACACCGCATATCTTGAAACGCCTCTACAATCCGGGGAGAAGTGGTCTTGAGCTTCCATGGCTTTTTGATGGGATAACCATTTTTGTCGGTTAAACCTACGGTACACCCTTCAAAACCAACCAACGGTCATAAACTGGGGATGCTTCTCAAAGAATGCTACAACGTCGGGCCTTTTCCAGCCAGAGCAAGGTCTTGGCCATTCAAACGTTACAGTACCACCATGATTGAGAACCCTTTCAGCGCGTTTGGAAAAACTCTTAAACAACCGTTTGGACTCTTTGACCTGGTGGGCAAGCTTCCTAATGAATGCGGCACCACCCCTCTTCCTATTGATGTACTGCCAAGGGGATCCGGATGTGCAAGGGATAGAGGCCCACATATGTGGAGGTGCAACCTTAGCGGCTTCATCTATCTGATAGTCTAGTTGCTCACATTGTGACTCATCTCCCAGGTCTATCCTATCCTTACAAAGTCTAACATGATTAATGCCATATTCTTGGTGAGTAAAACCCATCTGGGAGTCCTCAGAACAAGCAAATTCAAACATGGTTGACTTGGCATTGGGTCTGGAAGCTTTCTTGGCAGCTTTCCGGCTCCTACGATTATCGCGGTTAGTTGGCTTACCTACAGCGGGGCAACCAAAAACAGGCAGCGACTTTTGACATAGGTCGGAACATCGATTGGCAACTTGGGGAAGAATAGCTACACCAGAAACGGAAACAGAAGGCTCAGCTGGAGCGCTGGGTTCGGACGACCCTGGTACCTCACCTCTTATGAGAGTTTCCTCAAAGAGCGCCCTATCCTCAGCGGAGAGGTGCGATGGTATGGGATCGGGATCAGGCAGATCCTCACCGCGGAAGATGATGCCATGTGCTTCATCATCCTTGTCTTCTGCTTCTGTCTCACTTGTGGGAGGTGGAGCTTTCTTTTCTTTTTCGGCTTCTTTTTCTTTTTCAACCAACATTGCGAAGCGGGCTCTGCACTCATCAGTGTGCACGCGCGAATGGCCAGTGCAGCCTTTGCAACCAGGGGTCTCTTTCCACTTAAGGATACGGTCTACGGTTATATAAACAGAACGACTTTTGAGACCTGGTGTAGAGGGTGAGGCTATTCCGCCCTCCTTGGGGAAGGGCACATCCTTTAAGGCATATTCAGGCAACTTAAGATCATCTGGGTTATCCCCCCTGATGAGAGCTTGGTGGCGTGAAAAACCTACTGGAAAAACAGGATCACCTTCAGGGACAAAGATTTCTGCTTCTGGAACATCAACGGCTGAATTCCCACCTCTAGTGCGATACTCTTGGTAATCTAACACCCTTAAGATATTTCTATATCGGAAACCGGGATCAATCCTCCAACCCAAAAACAGACCAGGTGACATGTTGGGCTCCAAAGTCCTTTTGGTGGGTGACTTCCTACGGTAATACACTAACTGACCAAAGCATAACCTCATGCCATCAAACTTATTCCTAGTAAGCGACTCCCATTGGGTTTTGTCGGGGTCAGCTATTGAAGGCTTGTCGAATGACATTGAAAGGCAAGCATATGGATAGCTATATGTGTGGTACTCGTAGGGAAGGCCAGATTGGAGGTGAACAGTGCGGCAACATTCTTTCTCCTCTCGAACATCTCTCTCGAGGATGGCATTGTGGGGCCATCTGTTCGGCAACGAGGTTTCTGGAACCATGCCTACGGCATGTGCCGCCTGCTCAAGCTCGCCTGCTTCGTCCATTTTGATGAACGTTCGGGTGGTGAGCTCTGATCCACGCAATCCTAAGAAATGCCTAAAGTTGCGAGCATGCGCGTCAGCAGTACGTTTAGACAATGGGTATGCAACACGCGCACCGGAGTACGCATCGCGGATGACATGATGCGACCTTATTCCCCCTATACCTACACCCAAGTGTTCGGACCCTTTAGCTAAGATAACATCATCAGTAGCAAGCTGTTCCAGCGGCTGCTTTGGGGGATCAACAAAATCATCGGCTTTGCCATCTTTGACATGTGAAACCCTCATGGCGGTATCTTTTGCTATATGGCACAAAGGACAGTAGGGATTTTTGGGAAAATGGGTACGCAAATGTTCAGGGCTAGTGGCTTGCTGCTTTAGAACTTCATCCTTAGGCGGCTCACCATCACCTAGCTCTACCAAAAGCTTATCATCCATTGGGTGTTTAGGCTCCGACGCGCTAGGGGGCCCAGCAGCGTCCTCA